ATTGTCTGTAAAACATTAAATGTATTATAACAAGAAACCTTAAAGCGGCATACATCATACTAAGTCAACAAACAAAAGCTTTAACCTGAAAACTGAAAACAAAAGACTCTTGCTTGTTTTGTCTTCATTTTTCCCTAGCGAGAAGAAGTGCCTGATGTGATCTAGATTGTGCTAGCTGCTGTTGGAATGCGTGGATGGAGAAGAGTCAGTAGAGGCATCAGTAGCTGCTGCTTCAGTTGGAGAAGTTGGGTGTGGAGCTGCTGAGATAGACTAGGTGGCTGCTCGACACCAGGTCTTGGTGCCACTGTCAGTACTATAGCTTCACATAGAGCCGTCAGCTGCTGGCTCATAAGATTGACAACTCCAGTTAGATTAATCAGATCCTTGTGATAACGAGATTCACCATCAGTGTGAAAGTGTTGTGAAACAACAATGTCCTCAACTTGTTCGACAATCTTCTTTGCACGTTTGTCTGCAAAAGTGCCATTGGGTTTCATGTCCGTCTTCCTCACAAAGTCTGTGATAGCTGGGCTCCTCACCACACTCCATCATCTGTTTGAATTGCTTATTGTAAAAAGTAAACGACAATAAGGCAAATGGGGAGAAAATTGCATAAGAAACAACAAGGGATTTAGAAAACATAAGGGATAATAATAAATTAAGGGACTCAATCATTTGCACCATGTCACATACCTTGGCGTATGATTTTGGAGTGTTGATGCATACCATCTCCACCACGTATGACTTTTCAAGTTTGTAGTGCTAATATCAACCAGAAATCAGTGGTAAAATCACTTTAAATATCATATTTTGACCTCATTGTCAATGGAGATCCTATCATGAGAAGGCATAATCTTAAGTTACTGAAGAGGAATTCTAGATAAATGTAGTTTAAATTTTATATATTGTACATAACAATCACTTACCAAAGTGCGTCCTTTATCTTCTGGGGATGGAGAGTCGGCTGGTTTCTTCGTGCTCCTCGTCCAACGTAACCCCTTGCCATTAGTCCGCCTCATGTGGTCGATGCATACTGCAGTTATAGAGATTTGAAAGACATTAGAGACCAACGTGAAGGTAACTATCACTCAAAGTATTGTGCATACCAAATCGTTTCTTAACTAAATAATTATATAATGAAATGAATGGATTTCAGTAGTGAAAAGTTATTGTTTTAGCCACACAAAAAAACCTTGTGATTTAAAGGAAGAAATTAACTATTAATCGGATTACTGTGTATAAACATCAATTACTGAAAATTGAAGAGATAACTTCACCAAATTAGCAGAGATTCAAAGAAGATTTGAACACTAAATCAATTTCAACATAATAAATATCAAATACCCAAGCAAAATTGCATGATTTCATCAAAAAGAATCTAACCTTAGAGATTAGTGGCTAGGAGAAAGAGAAAAGGAGCAATGGAGAGAGAGAGAGAGAGAGAATGAGATATTGTGTATTTTCTGCCATGAAAGAGGAATGGTCGATTAAGAGAGTGGGAGAAACTGAGATATTATAGGGTTCTTTGTGGAAGGAGTTGAGGGAAAAGAATGAGCCGCGAAGGAGAAGAGAGAAAGAATGAGCTGCCATTCGCGAATTGGAAATGAGAGGAATAGAATGAGCCGCAAATTGGGATGAGAGGTAAAGAAGATCTAGGTTTTGCAAAAATCACGAGAAATCAAATTTTGACCAAAAAAGTGTGCGGGAAAATGAAAAATTTGGGGAAGGTTTTGGCGGAGAGTTTCCAAACACTCGGCGGACATTTCCAAAAAATTGAAAGTGTTATTCAATTTTGTATATGGCTACAAAATATATGAAAAGTAAATGTTATTAACTATTGAATTTGCTAGGAACCAAATATGCAAGTGTTATCATTATTATAACTTCAAATTTCATATAATTTGAAAAATCTACACTCCAATATATATATAAGTTACGTATCTTTCCTTGAAGTTTCATAGTGATCTTCAATGTTATTAAAAAAATATACAATCATTCAGACTTGGCATTAGAACCTTGCTTGATGTTTCATAGTTTAACTTCAATAGTAGTGTTTTTTCATACATAAAAGAAAACTAGTAAAGAAAAAAATTAATTATTTAAACCATAGAAAACATTGAGGATACATATTTAAGTTAATTTTTGGAATTAATTGATTCACTAGTCTAAGTAAACTAGTGAAATTGAATGAATTTAGCCTAAAGCAACAAGCCAAACTGTATATGAATTAAAACTAAAGCAAAAAGGTATTATTAGGAAATTTACCAAGAACACATGCACATGTTACATTACGTCTTGATCCTTTCCCGACCGTCGAGAGTTGGCCTTGTACGTGCCCGCATGTTTATTTTTTACTGTGACCATCGAGAATTGTCTTGTGAACTGTTTTCTTTTTTAAGCAAGGTTAGAATTGTGAACTAGTTTTGAGGTGAAACATATAACAAATATGTTCGGGATGAGAAATGTGAGATGAGATTGAGTTGTTGATCTCATTATATAAACTGACAATCGGTACCATAGTTAATATTTACGTTCAATGCAAATCTAACAATCTGACATAAAATAAGTAATTTAAAGATTTCATAGGGAACCAAAGTGATTGAACGTACACCAACATAACATAATTGTATCTTTTTTGTTTTTTCTAACATTCAGCTCTTATTAGAAGTGAAAGGAACAAAGAACAGAGAGTCTTCTCCAACAAATAGAGAACAAAAACAGAGTACACAAAACAGAGCCAACCGTTTACACAGACGTCTTTCAGCCTAGCAGGATCTTAAGTCGCCACATTTGATGGAAATCTATCCTCCACCGTTCTTCTTGCTATAAGCCATGCACATTGTTCGAACCAGGCGACTCCACTAGTCACATATGTACACTACTTCCTTGCAAACTGTTAATATCATCTCCAAAGATGGTTCCTGGAAAACTGGCCGAGCCGGTCGGTGAGTGATCGTTCCTACTAGCTCAGAGGCATCTGTTGCAAAAACAACTCATTCAACACATAGAATACACATGCTCTCCACAGCTCAAAGATGTCCACACGCCTTCGCTTCATTTATGCTATCTATAAAACTAAAGGCTCTTCTACTACGAGTAATTACAACTCCTTCATGGTTCCTAACTATCCACACGCTCCGCCAACAAGTTTCTTCTTTAGACATCGACATAAATGTGTTGTTTACAACTTGACATCCTCGCACCAGAAACAGAGAGAGATTCTTCCATGCACTCAAAGAAGAAAAATCCCTGAGATAGTTTCTCATCGTACAGTGGCGGCTCCCAAGAACTTACAAAAATCCTATTAGAAAGCACTTAAAAATCTCCTCAAATAAAATGATTTCAAGAACATGTGTACGTCACTCCGTTCCAGACCGTGGAGGATTGAACTCAAATAATCTGTTTTTTTGTGTAAAACTAATCCATAATCATTTTTTGTTAGTGCATGTGTAAAACTAATCCATAATCTTTTTTCTTTAGTTAAAAAGAGAATTTCATTCAAAAGCTCTGAAGGAACAGATCAAATAGTCAAAACAGAGTATCAACCAAGAAAAGTAAAACCAGGCTCCTAAAACAGAACAGCATACAACGAGACCTTTTACTACACCATGGCAATTGGCATCTCCTTTTTGAAGAGCTCTCGCATCCATATGGGTCCACCTTTTGCCGCATACATATAAGATCACACTTTTCGTCCTGTCACATTTAGACGATTGTCCATGTGACTACACTTTTTGCAATCTCAAAAACTCCTCCGTTACAATTTGGAGCTTCGATACAGTTGTCCCGTCCTACTTGATCTCTTGTTAGCTCAAACAGACCTGCAACATGTCCCATAGAGACTTACCAGACATGCAACCGTTATAGATCTCTAGGTCGTTTCCCACATGGAGACTTCTCATACTCTCAAGGGCCCTTCTCATATATGGCTTGACTTCTCTCTCACAAGTCACAACCCATGAGACACATAAATCATTCTATATATTCTTCAACCAATAGAAACCTATATTGTATTTCAGTCGACCTTGATTGTGTTTTTCCTCTTCTGAGCATAATAGACCCTCGTCACATTTAGTCCTTTCTGTTCTGAGCATAAAAATCTGTTTAAGACTTTATGTTACCACGCAACGGACTGGTGAGGTACAAACGCTGTTGCCATTCCGCAACACATATATTTATAGCTATCTGTCGCTAATAAAAAAACTAACAGCAACAATTTATCTCTAGCCAGTGTGTAGCTATTTAGCTACAGAATGTCAACAGAACCCGTACGTAGCTATATAGCTACGGATTGCTACAGATTTGCCACAAATTTGGCTACGAAAGTAACATTTTTTGTTTTGTCGCCATCTTTCGCTGTTTACGTAGCTAATGGCGATGGCTACGGAAATGCCTTCGCCGGTCCGCAGCTAATTCACTGAATTCTTGTAGTGTGATCCTCTTCTTCAACAAGTCCTTCTTGAGTGAAGATGACCTTGCACTGTTCCTTGGGGTTCTGAATAGCTTTACCAGGTAGTTGTCCTTGCTTTGTAGCAGCAGCAACAGAAGAAGCATGATTCTCCAGAGAGTAAACCCTTGTGTTGAGGTTCTCGATCTTAGAGTTTATTTCAGCTAGCTTCTTGCTTGTGTCCACTACCCCATCAGCTTGCCCTTGAAGTAGTTGCTTTAGCATTGCTTTGAGCTCATTCTCTTGTGAAGGTGCAGGCTGGGGCGGTTGGTGGGGGAAGCCTGGTGGGATATTCATTTGTTGTCCAGGGAAAGTGCCTTGTGGTCCTTGGTAATTGTTCTTTTGACCATACCCATGTTGTGGCACCTGACTCGATCGAGCTGCTTGTTGTTGAGGATATACTTGGTCCTGAGGGTTAGCAACATCAGTGTTGCGGTATGACATGGCAGGGTTGGACTTGTAATTATAGTATCCTTTGTTGTAACCTCCTTGCCCATTGCTCATGTAGCACACCTCAGCAAATTGTGTATCCTCCCCTTCTTGGACTGGTTCCATCTCCTCAGCAGACACAAAGTTGACTTTCTTCATTGTGGACTGAGCTAGGATCAGCTTATCCAACTTCTCATTCAATGCCTTAACATCTTTTCTCAACTTTTCGTCTGACTCGATCGAGTGGTGGGTCGAGCTCCGGTTGGTGCGATCATACTCTTCTCCATAGCTTCCATTTGAGTTAGCTATGTTCTCCACAAGTTGCCAGCCATCATCTACATCCTGGTTGAGGAAGTTCCCATTGCTAGCTGTGTCTAGCATCTCCCTATACCTAGGCAAGCATCCTCTATAAAGAGTGGAGAGTAGGATTCATTGTTGAATCCATGGTGTGGGCACTGACTTGTGTAGCCTTTGAACCTCTCCCAAGCCTCTGCGAATGTCTCATTGTTTCGCTGGATGAAGCTGGATATCTCTCCTCTAAGCTTGGCTGTGCGACCGGTGGAGAAAAACTTAGCAAGAAAGGCCTTCTTGCATTCATCCCAAGTGGTGATTGTGCCATGGGGCAAGCTCTTCTCCCATTGGTGAGCTTTGTCAGCTAGAGACATAGGAAAGAGTCTCAGCTTGATGGCATCTTCAGAGACACCATTGATCTTTGTCAAATCACAAAGCCTATCAAACTCATCAAGGTGGTCAATGGGGTCTTCACTTGGCAATCCATGGAACATCTTGTTCTGGACAAGGTTGATCATTCCCAGCTTGATCTCAAAGTTGTGGTTCTGCACTGGTGGTGGAACAATCCCTTGTCTCTGTTGGTGGCGGTTTGGAGCATCTCCTTGACCAATCGGTCGAGTTTGCCTAGCTCGACCGAGTCCATTACCCAAAGGGTTTCCATTCCCCTCTGGTACATCCATTGTATCAGCAACAAGCACCTCAGGTTCCTCTTGTACCCTCTGTGACCTCTGAACCCTCTTTCTACCCGTTGTAATGTCTAGCTCGACCAAGTCTTCAGTTGACCGACTCGATCGAGTTCGCATACACCTGCAAAAAGAGACAAAAACCCAGCAGTACAATAGAACAGGGGTGGTATAGCTTGATCGTCCAAGTGTGTTTGAAACTCAAATGCAACAAAAATATTCCCAAATCGGCAACGGCGCCAAATTGATGATAGGATTTTGTGTGTGTGAAATGAAATGAGGTGGAATGCAAACAGGGGTGAATAAAGATGATATGGTATGGTGCAAAACACAATCACAATCAACAATTCCTCTTAACCATCATAGTCATTGAAGTATAAGAGGTTATCAATCCAAAATGGGAACTTGTTACTCTTTGAGAATATGAAACAACCTGAAAGTCAAGCAAGCAGTTATAGATTTGAAGTAACACTAACAACCTAAAAATAATGAAAAGCAGTGCAATAAAAGTAAACAAAGCAGTGAAGTGTCAGCTCGACCAAGAGCTCGAGTCGAGCTAGAGCAAAGTACCAGCTCGATCGAGTTTAGGGACGAGTTGAGACAAACAAAGCTAAAGGTGACGACTTTAACAAGATAAAGAGAGAATTAGGGTTCAAGACAGGGTTTTGCAATCAAAGGAATCTACACTTAATCAATCTAGCTCTTAAAACTCCTTGTATCAAGGCTTCTCTTGATATTGGGCTTCTCAATGCCTAGCCAACCCTTTCCCAAGGTGGAGGCTATCAACCAAGGAATGATCTCAGAAACAGGGGGTTAGCCAGTGAGAATCAGACCTTGGAGGCTATAGGATCATTGCCCAAACTAATCCATCCAACCCCTTAGACCTCTATTGTCTAGAGCAAGAGATATTGGAGCTCTTAGTGGATCTTTTCCAGCGAATGCCATCACTTCGTGTGGGGAGTCGCCTAAGGACTTACAAGCCAGGGGTAGTGGTCATGTAGCCTTAAGATCTATCCAAAAGAGAGAGAATCTAGATTAAGACCATAAGCAAGAGCTTCAAGAACTCAAAGAGAGGATTAGATCTCTAAAAAGTAAAAGGTACAATAATTTAAAGGAAACTAAACAAAAATAATCTAAAACTTCGTTGTTTTTTTCGTGGCTAAGAGCCCTTAAATACAAAGAGGATTAGGTTTAGGGTCAAAGGGAAGTCAAGGGGGAAGCAACATTTTTCGGGTTTAACTTTGACTCCCCAGCTCGATCGAGTTGAAGCTTGGCCGGTCGAGTTGAGGAACTCGACCGGTTGGTCGAGTGGACGGTCGAGCTGGTCTTCAAGATGGCTTCTCCCTTCTTCCTTTGCGTATCCAGTTGAGCTGCTTCCATGTGCCAAGTCCCTCCATGCTCCTTATGTCCCATATGCTCCAGAATGCTCCAAAAGACCTATTTCAAAGGACCAAACATGCATATGTATGCAAATGCAACCTAAAACTAACATGAATGCATAAGAAGAGAAAAGGAACAAGATATGATGCAAATGAAAGCTAAAACCATGCAAAAGATGCATAAAAGATGTGCTAAAACTATGTAAAATGCAAGTACATCAACTGTACTCTCTCTATTTGGGTAGAGAGTTCTCCAAGTCTTCCATCTAGTTCGTATCGCGTGAACTCTAGCTTTGTCTCAATGTCGCGGCTAGTTTTTCTTTGGCTCTCCATGAAACCCTCAAGCACGGCATCGAAATGGCTATCTCTCCGCCTATTGAGAACATGGTCGTGGTGTGAATGCAACACTGGTCTAGGTGGTTGATGATAAACCGGAGGTCGGTTTTGATGATGATGGTAATGATGCTCGTCTCGGCTAGGTCCTTCAAACGTCGGATGAGCGCGGTTGGGAGGGAACGGATGTGGCACGATGTTTACGGCTGGATCTTGGTAACCCGGCCGTGGAGATCGTGTGGGATCAGTGTCCGGTTCCCAAAGTGGATGTTGGTGTTGTGATTCATCTCCAAGTACCTATAAACACAAGATTTAAAAGAAAAAGTTAGTATTCGAAAATACCAAGATCTAGACTTAGTTTTAAACAAGACTATGCAAGTGTTTATGATGCAATCCCCGGCAACGGCGCCAAAAACTTGATCGCGGCATCTATGGGATGAGTACAAGTAATAATTCCCTAAGACAACTAGTGTTGCAAGTGCACAACATATAATTGTAGTATTTAGGGGTCGAACCACAAGGGATTGGATTTCACACATTACATAATCATAGAGTTTAAATGACTAAGCTAAATCAAAAGATGCAAGGGTTTGTGTTTGTTTAGAACACGCAAAAGAAAAACAATGCAATTCTATACAAGCAACATTATTGAACTATTGAAAACTCTTTTGAAAACATGAGCCAAGTCGATTGAAAAGTTTGTTAAAATCCGATTCTTTTGAACTCAAAACACTAAGGAAGGATTATTCCACTTTCGTGGTTCCAATCCCCTATGTCTCTTAAACCAATGGGCTCAGCTTTCGTTGGTCATTGTAGAGTGAGACATGCATTACATCCAAGTAATGATTGTTCACAAAACTCTTTAGGTCTACTTTCGTAGCCTAAAACGATTTGCCCATCAAATATTATGTCCGGAGATATAACAAGCTTTTGGAGAGTATATCAACCTAAAATCAAGTCACTAGTTAGCTACTCTAGCAACAAGCATTAAGCATAAATAAAGATGGAGAACCATAGGGTTTCCCCTTTTAACAATCGATTCAAGATGGCCATTATATCACGTCCTCATTGGAAGGATCCATAATTCAACAATGAGTCTTAGATAGTAGATGAAGTCTCATGAATCCTTAGAGAGAGAGGCGGCGGAATATAGACTAAACCACGCCTCACCCTTAGGGAGAAATCTCTACTTCTAGACTATATAAATTGAAACATGCAAGCTATATACAAATGCAAAAGAAGAAAAGAAAGAAGAAGGAGACCACCTAAGTGGCTCCGAACTTTATTGAATAAGTGTTTCTTGTTATGCGGCTGGTGATTCTTATTACAAGAGGCTAAAAGCAAGTATATATAGGTAGAGAGCGGGTCTAGGTCGGCAAAGTTGAGCGCGCGCAGAAGAGGAAAGTTTCCATTTCTCTTTAGCCGCTTGAGCTTGCTCTCCAAGTTCTTGAATGGGCCGTGTTCAGGCCAATGGAAGCTTCTGGATTGAGTTATGCTAGTGTCAAGATGAGCCAAGGCCTTGGGCGCGGTATCTCGGGCCTCTTGATCCATCAAAGTCTCCATGGGCTCTACTTAGGCGCTCGTCGGACATGTCTTGGTAGAAAATAAGTTCCGGTCCAACGAGTGATCCAAATGACCTCTTTCCACTTCGCCGCGGGTCATGACTCAAATATCTATCTTTCCATATAAGAAACATGACTTTTGGACGTCGGGAAGGCATGAATATGCGGTCGTACTTCGGATGCTCCGGTTTGGTCTTTAGCGAGAAATGTAGATTTGGTGCTCTAGACTTGGGAACTTGGTGATTTGACTCTTTTTGCTCCATTTTGACTCTTCTTTGCTATTTTGACCTGAATGATGCTCAAAACCAGAATATACAAGAAAACTACCTCTTGGGCATAAAAACCACATTATTTGTATTAAAAACATAGTGAAAACCTTGATAAAAACATGAAAGATATGGGTATATCAATCAGGCGGATCTACTTAGCAGGATCAGAGTTGCTCAGCAGAGTGATCAGAGTTTGCTGGATGCGACGAGAGTGACTGGTTCTGAGTATGAGGTCTCTGCGAATGGGACTATCTTGGTTCGTGGGCGAGTTTGTGTGCCTAAGGATGTGGAGTTGAGACATCAGATTTTGGGAGAGGCTCATGCGAGCAAGTTTTCCATTCATCCGGGAGCGACCAAGATGTACCATGACCTCAAGAGGTACTATCATTGGGTCGGGATGAAGAGGGATGTAGCAGACTGGGTTGCGAAGTGCAACACTTGTGCCTTGGTGAAGGCAGAGCATCAGGTTCCGGGTGGTCTTTTGCAGAGTTTACCCATTCCAGAGTGGAAGTGGGACAGGATTACGATGGATTTCGTGGTTGGACTACCTGTTTCGAGGACTTTCGATGCTATCTGGGTGATTGTGGATCGGTTGACTAAGTCGCACATTTCTTGGCCATCAAGAAGACAGATGGAGCTGCTGTCTTGGCTAGGAAGTTTGTGCGAGAGATTGTGAGGCTGCATGGAGTGCCAGCTAGTATTGTGTCAGACCGTGATCCCAGATTCACTTCAGAGTTTTGGAGGGCGTTTCAGGCAGAGATGGGCACTAAGGTGCATCTGAGTACAGCTTATCATCCGCAGACAGATGGTCAGTCAGAGAGGACTATTCAGACTTTGGAGGATTTGCTGAGGATGTGTGTGTTGGATTGGGGTGGCCATTGGGCAGATCACCTGAGCTTAGTTGAGTTTGCATACAACAACAGCTTTCAGGCGAGTATTGGCATGGCTCCATTTGAGGCTTTGTATGGGAGGCCATGTAGGACACCCCTATGCTGGACCCAAGTGGGGGAGCGCAGCATGTATGGAGCTACTTATGTTCAGGAGACGACAGAGAAGGTTCGTGTTGTGAGGCTGAACATGAAGGAGGCTCAGGATAGGCAGAAGAGTTATGCAGATAGACGCAGACGAGAGCTTGAGTTTCAGGTGGAGATAGAGTTTATCTCAAGATGGCTATGTTGAGGGGTCCTAACAGATCCATAGCAGAGAACAAGCTGAGTCCGCGTTTTATGGGTCCGTTTCCAGTAGTGGAGCGAGTTGGGCCATTGGCTTACAGGCTGGAGTTGCCTGAGATTATGAAAGCCTTTCACAAGGTTTTTCATGTGTCGATGCTGAGGAAGTGTCTTCACCCTACAGAGGAGTTAGTGGCTAGGATTCCAGAGGATCTTCAGCCAGATTTGACAGTGCCGGCAGTGCCTGTGAGGATTTTAGAGAGGAGGGAAAAGGTTCTGAGGAACAAGAGGATTCCCTTACTGAGGATTTTGTGGGATTGCAGTGGTTCTACAGAGGAGACTTGGGAGCCAGAGGCAAAGATGAAGTTGAAGTTCAGGAAGTGGTTCGACAAGCAGGTCGAGGAGTGAGCTTATTTCATCTTTGTAGCCTCAGTTGTTATTTTTGGCTTTGGTGTTATTGTATTTTCGTTTTCGTTGTAACGATATACATTTTGGAGTTTTAATGAGATGCAGTTTTTCCTCATTTTGCCTTGTGTTGTAATGGTATTCGGATGTTACACATGTTTGACCAGTTTTTGGTTGTGAGACGGTCTAATCTTATGGTTATAGACGTTTGGAATTTTTACTCTAAGGATTGCGATCCTGAATAACTCATCATGTTTTTGGAGACTTCGTTCTCTGGCAGACTCTCTGGTGCAAGTAGGCCTCAGTTGAGTGACTTAGCTGGTGCAAGTAGGCCTCAGTATAAGCGTTTAGTTATTTGGGTGCAAGTGGCCCAGTATGGAGCAGCGGTTGGCAAGTCTGGGTGTAGTGGGCCCAGTGGGAGGTGTGGACTTGTCTGGGTGCAAGTGGCCCAGTACAAGTGGTTTGAGGTGATGAGTTAGGAGTAAAGATGTCTAGAGACGTGTATGACATAAGATTAGACGTGTCTCGGGGATCAGTGAGGATCTCCGGTGTTGCGGCCTTGCGAGGTCGGGTTTTGTGGTCTTTGTGACGTTTGTGTTGGGATTCGAGGTCGAATCCAGTTTAGTGGGGGAGAGTTGTAACATCCATAAACCAAAAATAAAAATTGGGAATTTTGTCGGTTCAATTTAAGTGAATTGGTTTGGGTCGGTTTAGTGGAGAAAGCCCTAAAATCAAGTTTAAAGAGTGCAGCCGTCTTCTCTTTGGAGAATTTTCGAGTTCAGACAGAAAAAAGAGAGTTTTTGGAGAGATTTTCGAGATTTTGGAGCAGATTTTGTTACTGTTCATCGGTACTGTTCATCGGGTTACTGTTCATCGTCGGGATTCACCATGTTCATTGTCTTTCCTTTTTCCTTCAGTTTCAATCATTGTCAAGGTGAGTGCATGACTGTGGGTCCGCGATTTGCTAGATTAGATTTGGTTTGTGGTTGTTCTTGATGAGTTTATGTTTTAATTGTTATTTCATGATATTTTGGTTGTTTCTGTGATGAATTGTGTGTTTGTGTGGTTTAATCTGGTTTAATTGGTTTAATTGTTTAATTGATTTGATTCTGGTTTATTGGTTAATTGAATTAAAATTTTTAATTCAAATTGTTTGATTTATTTTCGGATTTAATAATTAATAGTTAATTTAATTAATTAATTAATTTAAAATAATTATTTTAATTATTTTAAAATATGGAAAATTATTATTTAATTATGAGAATTATTTAATAATTGAGAAATTGAGTTTTAATTATTAAAATTATTTAATAATTGGAAAATGGTATTTAATAATTATTGGAGTTTATAAATATTATTAAATATCTAGTAAATTGCGTAAATGGCTCGTAGGCAGAGTGATTGCCTCACTAAGTATTTATTAAATACTTACGCAACTCCATTCCAATGTGTTGCAGGTAAAAGATTTGTGTGATCGCGGAATCAAGGCTGAAGAGGGGGATGATAGGATGTTTACTGTTTTATTGTTTTGCATTTTTTGCTAGACTTGTTTAATTATTATTTGCTTCCGCTGAGCTGATTTATTTGTTATTGATATTTTATTTATTTAATTTATTTAAGACCTTCGCTAGAATTGATTAATATTTTTAAAAAAAATGTTGGTTATTTCAACCGATAAAGCTAAAGAGATGAGCAAAAAAGCTTCCAAGAGTCGAATGTCAGAACGAAATGGGTTAGGACCTCATAAACATCGAGCTGGCTCACGTTCATATGCTAAAGTTGTAGATTTGTTGGTAAGAAATATTTTTTTCTTTGTATTATTTCTGTGATTAACCATTTTAATATAATGTTTACATGATAATATTTTATAGAGAAAAAAAAGACAGGAGATATCTTACATTAAAGTTCTCCGAGAGACTCACAAAAAGCCTTATGGATCATTTGTGGATGAAAGGGCCATGCTGATCAGTGAGGGATTTGACAAGGATCTAGCTGATCAGTTAAGTGTTTACTTTGGTGTTTTAGTTATACTAGGTTTAAGCCCGTGCTACGCGCGGGTGGTGTTGTTACTTTTTTTTTATGTTTGTAAAATTTGTTTTTAGAAAATATAAGATATCTTTGACGCAATGTTTCTTTAGGTTTTCAAGTTGTATTTTACCACCACTCATATGATGCGACAAGTTCATTATGGGATTCATTTTCTATCTTTTATAACTTTTGGATCGCAATTCTAACATCCTACATAAATTTGGTAGAACAATGAGTTTCAGATAAGTGAAACTCCTGTCTATTCTGTTAATTAATCAATTATCTTAGATTTTTAGTTGATTAAGGAGAATGAAAGTCACACGAAATATCGAATGTATCATCAACTTTTACTTTTATGTTTTCCCTACTTCGATGAAGGTAAATTGTCAAGTGTGTTTAAAGAAAAAAAAAACATATATCTCAATTTCTTGATAATGCAATTGCCTATCCAATGCCATAATTTGCAGTTAAATCAAAACTTTTATATATTTGTCACAGTTACAAATATCTTCACAATTCATTTGCCAGCAAAAGATAATTTACTTGTCTTTCAGCTTTTATTCCCAATTAATTATTAGTTTTACGCTCTTTTCAAAATACTTTGAAAATTGAAAAAAAAAATCATTTTTAAAATATTTTATTTGTATAGTTTGCTTCTGAACCAATTTCATAATATTATATATATATATATATTTCTTTTTTTACTAAAGATAAATTTTCTCAGTTTTGAATGGATTTTTTTATTAAATTCAAATATTAATTTATCAATTTTCAATGAGAATAAATCGCTGTTAAAAATGAGTTTTTGGTAGACTATACAAAAACGCCACATACAAAAGCAGTAAACATCAGATTTATACAAGTTTCTCTATTACTACTTATTAGCAGAATAAAGTTTCTCTATTCCTACACAGTCAAAGATGTAACTATAACTGAACAAAAATAAAACATTATAAGACATTGTAGCCATCGATCATTTAACAGAAATAGGAAGAAAATTAAGAACCTTGAGCATATGCGGCAAATTTAGTATGTTTAGAAACAAACGTAAGTCTAGTAGAGAGCTCCTTCCCCTCTCGTGATGCAAACTTGCAAAGGGAAATAATATTCGATTTATTTCACTGAATCACAAACAGAGGTCCACACTGACATAAGATCTTAAATATGTTAAATTTGCTGAAAGGCGTACGTAAACATTTTGTTTCGATTTATACCACTAATATTTGTTTCTCCATATTTTGGAGAAGATAAAACTAACCTACAAACAAATATGAATCATCATGTGTGAAGAGAAGAGACCTATCAAACTCACTTGCTATCGCTGTGGCTGCTTAATTTTTGAAGAAAAAATATTTCTTTTATGGATTTGGAGAAGTTTATTTTGCACAGTAGCTTAAGACTATGGATTGGATAGAGAATAAGACATTTGTTCAGTTTCAGAGTTTTTAAAAGGACTCTGAAAACTTGTAGTTATCTTTGTAGCTTGTCAGCTGGGATTTTAGTTGCTCTGGTTGAGAAAATTGAAACACCTCAATTTGTTCTTGGTCGACCTTTAGGCATACATTCTCTATTCCTGTGGTTTTCGTTGCATAATTTCTAAAATGCATGAAACTGATTAAATTTGTATATTTTTCAGGCCAAGAATTAAAGTAGAAGCATAGTGAATTTACCCCGATTTCATGTTTACGTTGCTCATAAGAGGTGCAAACTTCTTCAACTGATTCCTCGAAGGCAAGAACATGTTTCGTGTACAAGTCACATGAACAAAATTATATATATTTCAAATGGATATAAACCTGTATGTAATACAAATCGTGTAGTGCTTGAGCACCGATGGCGATTGTTCGTTTGCCCTCTTTGTTACAAACTTCATTAGACTTTTGAGGATATAAGATTTCTGAACCCTGCGGTTATGTTCGTACATTAGAAGAACATTAGGCTTCATAGTTATCATGATAAAAAGGTTTGTGGAGAATTTGAAAGACTGATCTTACCTATACAACACCTAAGATCAGAAGCATCTCCAATCTCCATCAACAGGAAAATCTTTGGGTACATCTCCTTTATTATTTGTTAGCTGAAATTTAGAAGAATAAACACAGTTTTAGGCTTTTAGCAGACAAAAATAAAGATTTATATGTAACCGCTGATTAGTTGCAGGAGTGGGTAGGGAGGAGTGAAGAACATTTTCCGAGATGGGTGAATTATTTTCATAATAACAATCTGATGATTCATTAATTTTGTTGAACTTTGCAGGAAAGCCAAGCTATTGAACTATCCGAGCCAGAGAATAACTGAAATTATATAAAGTTTATGGCTACGACATTCCTAGATGAAGAAAATCAGACTATATTGAGACTTGAGAAAAGCAAGTGACCTTTTCTTGCAGCCAGTTTCGAAAGAGGTGTACACCTGGAATTGGAGATCACGTAGGCTACATTAAGACCAGAACTTGTAGATGATCAATCCATATGAGCAAAAGCGACCAAACATGTTAGAAGCTTATAAAAAACATATACCATAATACTACTGATGCCAAAAAGCTATGTTGTGGTCTTTGGGTCGTTTTTCCCTCATCCAGTCATCACCAGAACGAAATGCTGAGACATGAAAAACAAATTAGAGAATACAATGAGATTCAGAAACACCAGTTCACTCTGACACAAGTATAAATTTGAGGAAAAATAATAATTTAGATAGTTTGGGACGTATTCAAGATAATGGACCTTGGTAGATAGGAAACATTACTCTAAAAACCGAACCTCAATGCTCACATGCCATTGCTCTCAACGCCATCGAAGAGAACAAACCTGCTGGAACCAAGCATAAACAAAGACGGTAGAAGTGAGTGGTAGTTAAAATCGATTATAGCAGCATAACTTGAATTGTCAAACAATACCTGAGCTTCTTAGGACTGTTATCGCAGTGACCCCACTCTCCATGTGACCCCACTCTCCAAATCGTTTACATTTGTTCTTCCTGTCACCAGCAGGCAAATCTCGAGGGCAATGTCCATGAAGACCCCAGTTGTAGCAACGACCAGGTGCTGGAAGAGGGCCTCAGTTGGTCTCCATGTCTTGTTCCTCCACTATCGACAGCAAAAACAAAAAAAGGGACTAAACAGAACAGAGCTGAAATCAAATAGTGTGAGATAAACTTTTGCAGAATAAACCTTTCGTACACTCACCATGCACAATCGCAAACCTGAACATTCTTACGAAAGGTAGTATGTCTCCATTTGCAAAGACAACACGTACGATCAAAGCAGCAGTTAACTTCATAATCGCAGATGCTCTAACAAATGCACTGATTCCGATTGAATAGTTGTGGTTCACCAAACAAAGCTCCGCGTATGACTACAAGATTGTTCACATCATCGTATTAGCCGTTTTGAAAACCTCCCAAACTCTAGCTATTTTCAATCAATTACTGAATATATCACCAAGACGTACGGAATCATTCCTCTTACCAGAAAATAACGAAACCAACTCCACTAAACAATAATAAAAGTGGCCGATTAAATCCAGAAAGACACAGATGTAGCCAGAAAACGAATAAGAATAACAAAATTAAAAGGAGAAAAAGATCAGTGTGTAACAATGGCGGATCATTGACCATAAAATCACACAGAGAAAGAAAAGCGTGAGATTGTTTAGACCTTATACAGCGAGTTAAGCTCTTTCTTTCCCTTCTTCGTCGTTGAAAAGTACTTAAAACCGTGACCCCCGTCGCTCATTTCATCCACGTAATGCTCTTTCTTCTCCGAGTTCTTGTGTGAGAGAGACGATGAACGGAAAGGCTAGAGACGAAAGAATCTGCCGTCTATTTTTCTAATAAAGGTGCCATGTTATTATTTGTGATGGTAAATACACCCTGAAAACGGGAAGATGAAGAGTCGAGAAAGTAACACAATCGTCAAAGACAAAGGAGCAGAACCGGCGTGTGTTTTTAGAGACACGTGTCTTCATCTAAGGTGCTGACGTGTCCCTCTCTCCAGCCCTGACGTGGCAGTTAGCCGGAGAGTGTTGAGCAACTTTTATAGTATAAGATTTTAAGTTATTTATTAGCTTGTTTGGTTTTTATTTATCATTTTATTTTTGGTGTTTCGCATTATTAGATTTTTCAATCTTTGATTGTCAAATAAAATGCTTTTTTATTCTAATATTATTTTTTATTCAATAAATAATATGCAAAATATCAAATCAATCTGTTACGATGTTGCAACTTTTGTCACAAAATATATGAAACTGGTGATAATTACAAATATGCAATCTTAACTTTTGATTTTACGTAGCAAAATCAATGAAATCATTTATTATAATTCTACCACATAGTTGCAAGAGTTTTTGTTGCAATAAAACTACAAATTTACCAAGAGATAATTTATTGAAAATTTGCTATGGTATTTATTTACTATATGTTTTACGTTGCAATATTTGCAACTAGTTATGGTTGCAAACATATGTCGCAATTTCACAATAAATTTACTAGAAAATTATCATTGCATTTATGCGACAAACATAACAAGAAATTAATTCATTGTAATTTTGGCAACATATATGCAACAAACACGAGTTTGCAACATTCAAACAGCAACATTATCAAATTTGTCGCAAATTTATTGCAAAGATTAGGTTTGCAACGATATATTGGCATATTGCAACAATTTTTTTCAGTTGCAATAGGACATTTTTCTTGTAGTGCCACAATCCGAACCAAAATGTGCGATGAAAGATCAAAAAGAGAAAGAGAAACAAAACCTTACCCAGAATCTTCCTCTACGGTACAGAGCAAACTGACACAAAAGGACCAGAAGAGAAAGAGAGCTATTGCGAATGGGAAGAAGAAACACCTTAGAAGCAGAGAAATGGAGCGGGAATGCGAAAAGACATGACGCAACCATTGTTATTGATAGCGGGATCAGGTTTTCCCAATTCATATCCCTGATTCTGCAAGTGCACAGGTCAGAAGTAGAAACGGGTTATCGAACACAAGGAGTAGGTAAGTACACTACAAGCTATGTGAGTTTAACTTAGTTAGGACAAGAGGATAGATTGTGGTTTTGGTATGCAAAATAAGTAACTAAACTAAAGGAAAGCACTGTAGAAACGGTGTATTAATAAGGGAAAGACGCTAGGCAATGGGTAACCTAGCAGAGATTCACGAATATCAAGTTATGCAATCATATTCATTAGGGGGTTTGAATGCGCCATCTAGAACTCAAAACACGGATGTAAGATCATTCCACTGTTGTGGCTCCGACCTCTTTGTTAACTAACCTAATAGCTAAACTTTTGGAATGTCCTTAGATTGTTAAGCAAGCATTAATTCGTTCAAGCCTCAATTGTTCACAACCCCGCATAGATCAACTTTCACAGTCTATGAAGTGTTGCCCACCAACTACTAGTTCCGGTTATATAGCAAGTTATTGGAGAGTATATTAAACCTAGGATCTGATGCTAGTTGATCAGAAAAGCATGCAACAATGATATTAAACAAAGGTGAAGATCTATATGATAAACCCTAATTTGAATTTAGCAACCTTATGATTCATGAACTCATTGAAACCCACAACCTAACTAGAAATCTACTCAATCATGATGCAAGTAAACAAGCATAAATCAGAGAAAGAAATCATAGTATTATAAGGAGAAAAGGGTTTAGAAAGCTTCTCTATGTCGACCTTCTTGATCTTCTCCCTTAAGAAAACAATGAGAAGGAAGTAAAACAATGGAGATTCCCTCTAAAGGGAACTCCCTAGTGCGGCCCTCTCTTCTGTTTCTCTCCTATGGGGCTCTCTGTTCTAATGAGGCTAAAAAAGAGTATTTATAGTTCCCTAGGTCTTCACAAGTTTAGGTTAAATGGGCTGAGAATAGTTGAAGTTGCATAAGTGGGCTTCTTGTTCGCGGAGATTGGGTCGACCGTGAAAGGGATGTGGTCGGCCGTGAGGTGATGATCTTGGTCGTGAGGTGATGATCTGGATCGACCGTGGGTCGTTTGGTTCCCTGGTTAGTCAGTGCGTGTGGCCGGATGCTTTGATCGCATGTTGAGGAATCGGTCGAGCGCAAGGCAATGCTTTCCGGGTTGATTACTGCGCTCGGTCGGCGGCATGGGATATGTGGTAAATCTGTGTATTTGTGGGGATTATTAATTTCTGTATTTTAGTGAATTTGGAAATCCATGCTAAATTCAGTAGTATTGGTTCTATGATTTTAAAATACATATTCGAATCATGTGTTATTGGTTCTATCATTTTAAAAACATGGATTTGATTTAACTGAGGATTTTAGTAGATTTGGAAAGATTTCAGTGTTAAAAATACACAGAATGAAATACGAGGGAAAACCTACAGATTTACAAATACCTATTAAAATCAATAAACTTTACAAGGATTTGTAAATATTACATGGATTTCTAAATCAATTAAAAGAAATGAACCAACAACATAAATATTGAATTCTAAGATTTTTTTAATTAGAAAACATATATTGAACGTTGTTTATATATTGACTAGATTAAGGCCCGCGTATACGCGGGTATATTTTAAGATTTTATAATAAAAGCATAGAAAATATTAAACAAAATTTAATCATTTTTAAACGTAAACAAAATAATATTGAAAACCCGATAAAAATATTTAAATAAAATAAAATTGGTAATACTTTTACATTTTTATTATAATTGATTTTTCTTTTGAATTTATGATATGACAAAATGAATTAATTTGTTTTAATATTATTTTTATCCAATACATAAACACTTACACATGTCTAAATCTGATCAACTGATTAATTAATCAAACTTTTATTATTCCATTCAAGAGATTTTAATTGATGTAATCTTTATTTCAATTTTGTGAGTTATAAAAATCATATGTATCGCAAAACTGTCAAAAACATGATTTTTTAATTGGAGAAATAGAATCAAAGGGATCTGATGAATTTGTGATTGAGAAACTTTGACTCTCTTTTATAGGGATTCAAGTAACCTATTCAGTTATATGAAATTTAGTTTACATAACATTATTTATTTCATTATACAAATAGGATTTTATTTATTACATTATTTTGATTTTATTATTTGTTTGGATAATATTAATTTGATTACATAACATTATACAAATAGGATTTTATTTATTACATTATTTTGATTTTATTATTTGTTTGGATAATATTAATTTGATGAATGGAAAACCTTTCTCTATTAGGATATGACAAATATATTTTTATTTCTTTTAACTGTAATGGATTAATTTTTTTTTTAAATTCCTTTATCTAAAAGCATCCAACTTTATATAATAAATTTTGATGAATGGAAACCTTTTTCTGTTTGGATATGGCAAATATTATTTTTTCCTTTTTGATATAATAGATTAAATTAAATTTCGTTTTTTTTAATTAACATTTATCTGAATTTTTTTTTTAATTCTCCTTTTTTCTAAGACACGTGTCACGATCTTAACGGACATAAACTTAAAAGTGACACATGTCGCGATCCTGAATTTTATAAAAATCCTACGTGTCGCAACCACGTCGTGCGCATCCAACTTTATATAATAAGATATGTAAAATTTAAAACAATAAAAAATAAATTTCCATCATTAAAAACTACTAATTGTACAAAGAAAGAAAAATCTTTAACAATCAAATATGGTTATTCCGATAAGTAAAAAAAAAATGGTATTTACTTTTTGCAGAAAATTCCAACACCACTGCTCGATCCTCCGGTGCAATCAACATTGTTTTGATTTAGCAACAATCGCTCCATCTTTTCCAAACTTTCAGAACCACTGGAGTAAACACAAGCGGTACAACTCGTTTCAAGAAGCGAAATCGTTCTATATTTATCTTCCCCACCGACGATGGGCATAGCCACACCTGGTTTGGCCGGATTCTCGAAATCCTCTCTATATGTTCTTCCTAAAACGCCCTCCACATTTTGGGACAACCTCAAGAACCGAAATTGAACTTCCAGATGGGCAAAGCAATCATTTTCAGGTCTCCCGTATTTATGGATCATATCATCTTTCTTAGTAACTGGAACCACGTTAGCCCAAATTTCGGCAATGTCTGGTAACGTGACCAACACGGAGTTTATGTCTGAAGTTCTCTCGATCTTTATATAGCCTCCAGGAGGACTCCACACCGATGCATCTCCTTTTAGTAAAGAGATCTCTTTTCCTTGGAAGGACAAACGGAGATGGTCGACTTGGTGGTCCCATTTTGCGGCCTTTGTGGCCTCGAGTGAAAAGGTTTTACTGTTGGGGCCGAAGATAAGACCTAGGGATTGGATCCATGTGAAGTCTCTAGTTCGACCAGAAGGTCTTAGACCAATGAAACGTGCATTGACCTGGAAATCAACATCGGAGACGAGTGCAAAATGCTCATTACGTTTGCCGTGAAAGTAGAATACGATGCCGTCGCCGCCGATGAATCTCGGGTCTAAGCATGCTGATCCTTTACCATTGCAATTAGGCTTTCTATCTGTTACAGAACAAAAATATGATTATTTATTACTTGATATGACATCGTTTTAGAGAAACGAAATTATTGAAGTCTAGCTAAACCGATCTCATGATTCCTATATAATCCTAAAAGAACCAAATACGATAAAATTATCCTGAATCCAAATCTAACCGGAAAAAAACCAAAAAAAATCTAGAAAAATATTTGACTAAAATTCGATTATATTCCTAAATTAAAATCGTACCAAACTATCCACACTGAATTAAGTAAAGGGTTTTCTGCAAATTAACCCTTCAAGTGGTTTTTGTTTGCAAATTTACCCTCGACTCTAAAAAAATGCATATCAACCCATAAGTTCAAATTAATCCGCAATATAACCATGAAAGTTCTCCCTAACTCATTTGCATTTTTTTATATTTTTCTGGTCTCGTGAAACTAAATTAGTTTCGCCAGAAAAAAAAAACAAAAAAAAGGAAAGATAATGAAGTGTTTACACAGAAAAAAATGAAGTTTTTGTTTAAATAAATTTTATTCATAATCCCAAAAAAAATATCTTAACAATATTCAAACCAAAAGCCACAATAAACAACATTCATTAAAAGTAATGGCATACTTACTTCGGCAAGTGGCTCTGCAAATAGGGTTAAAGCAATCCACGACGCATGCCTTGGTGCTACCGTAGGGAGGGGAAAACGAAGGGCACTGAGTTGGGCAAGTCTGCTTCTTAAGGAAACATGGGCTCTTCTTTTGAAAACATGTCTTAGTTTCCGAAGCTGCATCGAGTTGTACAATGGTCGTACATGCAAAGATCACGACCACCAATCCAATGTACAAGCCATTGATGCAATTAAGATCTCTCTTCATTGCTTTGACTTCTCTCGGTAATCCAGGGAAATGAGTTATATAATTGTATCCTCATATGGCCTCTATTTATAGAATTGATCCTTGGCAAGTGGGAATTTTTGTAGGAATAATTTAATAATTCCTTTGTATGTAGTATGTGCACCGACACTTATACACATTAATTCCTTCTAAACGAATTTTTAGTTATTTTTTTGTCAAGTCAAATTCTCTAAAACACGTACATTGTTTCGATGGCGGCATCCATCTAGTTTTCTTGATTTTACTTATTATTTAAATTTAATTTACTACTCGGGTTGAATTGGTATACTTCATATGATAATACTCTCTGTCTATATATATCATATATACGAATTAATTTTGTGTGCCTGTAATCTACCATTCTACGCCACATGGACTAGAAGTCAAAGCCTAAGATAATGCCCCGACGATTTTGGTCAATAATCCTTGTTATTATTTAAGATCAAATATTATTTTTATAATTTTCGGGTTTTATTTATTTATTAATAACACTCATATTTGATAAGAACGAAGACTATGATCAACTGGTGACATTCATTTAACGATCAATGTAACAATAACAAAATGATGATCTAATGTTAACATTCCATAAGGATTTTGCGAATGGTGATACAAAAATACAGTTGTGATTATGGTACGTCGATGGTTATGTGCTCATTTTTCGATGGTATATCTCACATACTACTAGATTTTCATCATAATTTCAGTTGTAAGATTTCTAACGTGGTCTATTTAGAACTGAAATGTTCCACTTTAGGATCGCATACAATAAAAACCTAAAAAAAGAAATGGTAGCTAACGAGTTTAATAGTTAACAATAGTTTAATACTTGTTGATGAAACGGTGTCATTGGGTAAGGTACTTCTCAACTATGCTGCACATGTTGTGCATGCGAAATCGCGGATCTAGGGTCAAAGATATTAGTTTACTATTGATGTCAAAAAATGAAGAAGAGGAAGATATGAGTACACTTGTACTGGAATTTCACCAAATCTAATTTGAATAGTGTGTAAATTTTTTTTTTTTTTTTTTTTTTAATTATTAGTGGTCCTATGTGAGGTAACAAGAAAAACCGAGCCAAACTTCAATTTGTCTATGTACGGGATGCTTAGTTCCAAATTAAAAAAAAAAAAAAAAGTTTAAGTTGAGATTCTCCAAAGTTATATAGTCAAATATATATATAGTCAAATATTCTTACGTATTATTTACATAATTTATTATTTAGTTTCAAATATAAATATGTTCACATGGATTTTGTCTTTGTACAACGAATTTATAACCCGTATGTAAAGTAGGAGCAAGTGTATTATTTGCTATAATTCCATTAACAAAACTATAGTCAACGTTGGAAATAAACATGTGCCATTCTAGTTGACTATATATTAAAGTTGATGGTGAAGTTTTTTTAGTCCCTTTAAGCGTTTGGTAATCCTTTTGGCTTAACAAACGTCGATAAAATAACTTTATGTGTACTTCAATATCAAAAATGGGTGGGTAGCTGAAATGAAAAAAAAGTGGATGGGTAACTGAAATGGATATTGAAATATGATCAAGGGTTTCGCGAAGCAAGCGTTTATTACATGCAACGACGGATATTGAATAAACTAATCAAATATCGCTATTTCAACCAAAGCTAAGGCCTCAAAATTTAATGTTGATTTCGGCCAAAACCTCTTGTTAATCCAAAAGATCTATGTTATAGTTTTTTTGTATAAGATGTTCGAATAAGTTTGTACATTAGTCAACTTAAAGTTTCGCTAGATGATGGACCCGCACTCTAATTTTTTATTTTTCTTTTCCTAAAGCGCACTTTAAATTGTTAACTAACTACATGATGTGGAACCAAGAACATAAACCAAGAAAGAAAAAAACAAGCGATACACTTAGAAAATGTAGTATGGATCTCTGGTTACATTGATCAGTAGTTCATAAATTTATTGATCACATATTTCTGGTCAATAATAACGTAGCACTAGCACGTTTTGGACGAATATTGGTTTGGTGAAATTTGGTTCAACATGCACTTAAAATAGAAGTATACTGTATACATGTACATGCATAGGGGATTTTGTTTTTGTCGACATACAAATGTCATTCTTTAAGATTTTTTCGTTTTCATAATAGTGATGAAAGTATCTAAATTTTAGTATCGAATTCAGACAGTCAAAAATTTAACTTGGAAGTCTTTATTTCAACACGTTTTTTTTCTGCTTTCACCGGACTACATAAGGTATGACGACTTCACATATTACCAACATATACATAACACAATAACACAACGACACAACTTTCATCACAACATATGTAATAAGACCACCGAAAGTTTCAAGACGCTACGCGCGCTTAAGCATTCACAACAGCTCCTCCTTCACAGATAAAACAACCGAAACAATCAAGTTAAAACCACGCTTGCCACTAGTGTAACCATCATTTCAAAATGTATAATTCAGTGTGTTTGAAATTACCATTGGGGTGAAGAACTTGACCGGTGAAGTAAGAGGAGCAGTGGTTACAAGCCAAGAAAACATAGGAAGGTGCCACCTCAATTGGCTGCCCGGCTCGTTTCATTGGAACCTCAGACCCAAAGTTCTTAATCTTCTCATCATTAAAGGAAGCTGGGATAAGCGGTGTCCATATGGGACCAGGAGCCACACCATTCACACGGATTCCTTTCTCAGCTAGCTGAAGTGCAAGCCCTCGAGTGAACGCCACAATCGCTCCTTTTGTAGAGGTATAGTCAAGAAGGGAGGCGTTGCCTTTGTAAGCGTTCACTGATGTTGTGTTGATTATGCTGCTTCCTTCCTTCATATGCTTCAACGCATGCCTAAAACATTAAAAACAATATTAATTAATCACCATGACTTCATCAAAAACATAAACCCCATGTTTACATTCGATTTAATTCACCTTGTGACAAAGAAATAAGAGAATATGTTTGTACGGAAGACTCGTTCCAGCCTAGCCTCATCGATCTCTTCGATTGAACTGCTCTCGTACTGCTCTGCTGCATTATTGATCAAGACATCAATGCGTCCAAAGGCGTTAATGACTTCATCAACGACCCTCTTGCAATTCTCATCGAATCCTAAATCCGTAGGAATAGCAATCGGGTCTTTAGCCTCTGAGGTTTTTGCCTCCTTCAACATTTGCAGGGTTTCTTGTGCATCTTTTTCCTCTTGACCCTTTACGTAAGTGAAAGCCACCGTGGCACCTTCGAGGGCAAAACAGTAACTCACAGCTCGACCAATTCCAGAGTCTCCTCCCGTTACCAACGCCACTTTCCCCTGTATATATAGTTTGCATGCATGCATTAATTTTCTGAATGGTAAAACAAAATTTAAAAAAACCTATGTCAAACTATAGGTTATAAAAAGTAATTACACGAAGCTTGTTGGAGGGTTGATAATCTGAGCTAGAGAATTGTGGTGATGGGTCCATGACGTGTTCTTTGCCAGGTTGTGCTCCTTGTTTTTGTCGTTCAGAAGCCATCGCTCTTACACACACTAGCTGAGATAATACTCGATTTGTTTCTCTCTTTTCCGGTAGAGAATACTTGTAGATTTTGATTGGCAATTGAGAAAACGGAAATGTAACGTTTGATGATGAGACTCTTGACGAAGTGACCAGTCGATACAATCCGTTCATGGCCATTATATACATGCGCACTTAGCTACACGATATACATGGAAGCAGCATATATCTCTTTAAAGGATCTGACACGTGGCAGGCTAAGTTGTGTGACGTGGGCAGACGAGGATACACGTGTTGGTGAATGAGTTCGGATTTGTGGTAAACGGCGATCCTTGAGACATGGACAAAATCAGCTTAGTAGTTACACAAGCATTTTAAGACATTTTAAGAGTATGAAGGAGAGAAGCTGATTTTGTCCATGTCTTAAAATCATTAAATGTTATTTGCCGACAAAAGAAAATATATCAAATGTTCTTATCCTTTAAGAAAAACAAAACTTTTTATCAAACGATAATCCATAAATTTAAAACTTGTTTATGTTTTGACTCATTAAAAATTATTTTCCGACAAAAGAAAATATATCAAATTTGATTTATCCTTTAATTAGTTATCAAAATCTTATCCATAAACTTCTAAAATTAAGCTAATGGCGATATTCTGTATACATTTTATAAACAAAGTATTTTGTGGACAATAACCAAATATATTGTAGAGAAGTTTTGCCGACCATGTACAAAAAACTCCTACTTATTTTATTATTACACAAAAAAATTTAAATGAATCATTAAATTGCGTATAAACATTTCAATTTTCTTCAATTTATTTCGGTCTATGAAAGAAAAGTTAAATTATGATCGGTTAATTATAACTCCTAGCTAGTTCTTCTACTTTTTTTAGCCTAATTGTATTTATTATTGTGCATGCCTGACACGTGACAAGAATGCGCATGCATACACGTCGCCTTTTAGTAAAACGAAGCCTCCTCTGTGCCAAGTGTTTGCGACTTTAACGAATCTTATCAAGAACGAGTAAATTTAAATCTGAAAATGTTACAAACAAAAAGGATACAATCCCAACTCATTTCATTCTCTTTGCCTTCGCCTTCGATTTATCCGGAATCCTACACTGCTTTAATTACCTGAAAAATAAGGAAAATCAAATTGTGTGAAGAAAAACGGTCTTTATTACCAAGATGTCTCTCTCTTTCTACGTAATTTATCTTCTCATATTCTCCCTGATTTCCACTTGTGTTATCTGCAACCGTAAGCTCTCTAGCTCTCTCTCTTAGTGTAAGTACGTTAGGTATATATTTATCTGTACAAACCCGATCGTGCTTTAAAAATGTCGACGTAATTGCATCTAATGTTTTCTATATTTGGGGACAACATATGTTTTTGTCTGGAAAAGATGGTATTGCTCATTCTTGTGAATCTGTGGTATAAAGTAATAAATGTTCTAAAACATTTCCACGGGGCTTTGGCAATCAGTTCTAAGAACATAATATTTGGGTTAAAATTATAATCAGTCCCAATGTTCATTTAAACTCGTTAGCTATCATTATTAACTATTTTACTCGAATGATTGCAATTTTGCTTTCCCCCCTTTTTTTAATGACACTGCATACTTTTTTTTTTCGGTTTTAATGTATGCATGTTTATTTATTTATTATATTTGTGGATGCAATCTTTCTCATAGATAGTTTTGCCGTCTTTCTGATGTTGTAGAGGCGGAGGATAATCTTCTACAAGGCCTTAACAGCTACCGAACTGCTCAAAGAGTTCCACCTTTTGTTAAGAACGACAAAGCTGATTGTGTGGCCGATGAGATAGCTGAAAAGCTCGAAGATCAGCCATGCACAAACCATACCACAGCAAGCATGGTTACTCCCGGTTCAGTTCCTCCACGATTGTCAAACTACCAAGACATTCTCTCTGAGTGCAAGGTCGACCCAAACAATACCCGTGATGCATTGATCTTACCCGTTTGTATCCCCAACAGGATCCCTACCTTGGCTTTAACTAACTACACCCAAACTGGCTATGCTCGCTATTTAAATGATTCAAGGTATGTCGGGGCTGGTGTTGGGTCGGAGAAAGAGTGGATGGTGGTTGTGTTGACCACGAACACTCCTGGTGGAAGTTTCGCTAGTGGTGATGCGACGTCAGTGAGAGCTATGGCTGGGTTAGGGCTAATGGGGTTGTTGTTCAGTTGCTTTCTGGTATTGTGAGCTAAGATGTTCGTGTTTTGTGTGAAGACTCTTTATATCTATATGCTTGTGTTATATCAAGTAGAAAAAGTAACCATCGTATCAAGTATAATTAGAAATTTTATGAAATACACCTCTTGATTGTTAAAAGCATAGCAAAAGTAACCGAACTTTGATTGTTTAAAAAGAAAAACAAAGGAAAAAAACTTTGATTTTTCAGTTCTTCATGAATATGTTAGTGGCCGGGTTTGAATAGTTGGTTTTCGATCAAATAAGACTTGTATTAAGATTTAAGACCAACTCCAATGTAATTTTCTATCTTCTCTTATATAAAATTGAGGTTTCAAAATATAGTGGTAATCTACAACTTACCTTTGTTTTCTCCTTTAAAATTAAGATTTCTATTTTGTTATAACTTTATTGGAAACTAAATCTAATGGCATATTTTATTTATCATATTTTGCATCCAAATAGTTATTTTTAATTTATTATATTTGATGATAATATTCTAACATTTTGGACTTAATTTATTATAGTATTATTAGACTAATTAACCCATTTAAACATGCAAATACACCATCAAAGTTTCATAGATATTGGACTGTTCTTTTTTTTTGATAAAGATTATTGGACTACTTAACTAAAGACTATCAGCAAATATGAGAAACTTTACAAGAGGTGTGACATTATACAAGTGGTTGGCTTTATTTATTTATTTTAAGTTTATTTTTTCGTTAAATTTATATTAATTAAATATATACATGAGACTTTATTTAGAGAACATCTAATGACATTCCGTTTTTTTATCTTAGCTTTGAGATGGATTGTATATATAGTGATTACCAAAAATATAATGCTTTAAACCTTTAAACCTTTATGAGTTTCCGTGTGTGCTGTAAGTTAATATAATCAAACAACATCATTCATAGTTGTAGCAATAAATCAATTTCGGAGAAAAGACCAATGACGAAACCAACCAGATGACCAAGTTAAATACAAGCAAAACACCATTCATAGTTGTACGGTACCAATAAGTTCAAAAAGAGAAACTAACGACATTTTCCCAAGGCAAAAAATCATCATAGTCAATCTCTCCATTGTTCCTTAAATTGTATCTTCTTTTGTTTCTTTCTTTAACATAGATCTCAAAGCCTCTGTCTTTTGTTCTTCTTACCCCCAAGATCCGACCACACCTTCAACATCACATCTGTTGCTTCCTCCAATGTGGCCTTCCGGTTTTCCTCATAGTTCCAAAGCTCCAAAGTCACAAAGCTAACACTTGCATTGTGATCCTCTATCTCCTCTTTTGCTCTTACCACTTCATCACAAACTCTTTCACCATATTCATATTTCAGCTTTAGCAGCTTCTCATCGTCCTTAACCACAATTCTCGAAATTTTTTAAAAGTTTATTTGAGATACTATATAGAAACAAGAAGATCCCATCTTTTCAAAAATTGAAGTGTATAGTACTAAAGTACAAACCTTTGGTGGTCCATCAGACTCAAGGACTTTAAATGGATGCCATTGCACATCTCCGATTTGTGCTTCCCACAATGGATATAACTCCTCAGCTTCAATCTCTGGTCTTGATATTGAACCTCTATGTTTCCTCATCATTGCTGGCAAAAAGGTTTTAGGATGTAGTTGCCCTAATCTCTTCACTCTGATGTTCTCTGCACTCACTAAATCATCATTCATATTCCAGAACTGCCCACAAAGTCAAAAAAGGACATAAGCTTTTCATAAGACTAACTTAATAATATTTTTTGTTTTGGAACAAAACAGATTTAGATTTTTTTTTTCTGTGTACCTTAATCATCTCTTTACGAGCGTCTTGATACTCGTCATTTGTCACACGTTCTTTTAGTGTCAGAGTCTTCATATTCTCTTCTAGTGTCGTTTCACTTGCCATGAGCTCTATCAGAGATTTGGCTATCTTCTCAAATAACTCTGCATCACCATCACTAATCCCCACCATGTGCTTCATCACATTGGTGTCACCTTTCAGCTTCTCTATCTTCAACTCCTGAATATGGAAGCTTTAATACACACAGAACCAACCGTGTTTAGCAGTGTACAAAATCAAACAATTTGTAATTCATGTTCACTGAGTTTCCATGTACTTAACCTAAATTTACTGTCCTAAATTTTGGCATCCCTTAGTCTACTCTAACAACTAGTAAAAATATGATATTGGATTAAGATTAGGGTCATAATAAGATTCTGGATGAATAAGTATTCTAAGTTTAAATTAAATTGTTCTACTCATCCACCTCTGTGTGACAAATCAAGATTATTATTATCATGTAATACGTTAGATTATGAAAGAACTTTCTTGCCTGGTGCTTCTCGAGTTTCATAGCTTCCTCATTCTGCTCCAATATAGCCTTTTCATTATACAAAAACAACAACAACAAAGAGTGAAATATTTCAGATTTGTTTATATTTTTGTTTTAATTAATATAAAGAGCAAAATCACCATTTCAATATCAAGTCTGGATTTTCCCTTGACATATTTGTTTTTGTTTGTTTCCCGCTGCTCGATCTCTCTCTCTCTCACGCTCATCTAGCTTCTTCCGCTCTGTCTCAAGCTCTTTCATAGAGTGTTCATGCTCTTGTATAATATTCTTATACAAATCTATCACATTCATGTCCATATTTTCGATTTCTTCTCATCAAGAAGAAACACAAAACAAGTCAGCAAGATCCAAAGCGTTTCCTGAAGCAAACGCATTGGATGTAAAGAAACCGGTGAAAGAAAACAATTCTTTCCGAGGTCGTGGAGGTCGAAACAATCGCGGACGTGGCGGACGTGGGAGATACAACCCAAATAACAAAAGGTCATTCCAATGGAATCGCTCTGAACAATCTTCAGAAAAAGAGCACCAAGGAAACACCTCCCAGAAGCGAGAGACTGTTTGTTACAGATGCGGTACAAAAGGACATTGGTCCCGGAATTGCCGTACTCCTAGGCACCTTTGTACATTGTACAAAGATTCCTGCCAAAGGCAAAGGAAAAGAAGTAAACCTTGCAGAGCACTCAGAGGGAACAACCCACCTCGATGCTTCTGACTTTGCAGATGATTTCGATGACACCGTCCCATCTGAAGTCTGAAATATCCGCCATGTGACTCATGAAATCCCAAGGATTGTGTTATAAATAATTGCCACTTGTGTGAAATGTTTAAAATTAATAATGCTTGCACTATCTATTTATGTATAATTATTGTGTGATGCTAAACTACTTATGTATAATTATTGTGTAATTTTTAACTATTAATGTATAATTATTGTGTGCTATTTGCTTGATTAATAAAATTACCTTATTTATATAACTTGTTTTGTTGATCTCAGAAATGGATTACAAAACGAATGGAACAACATCCAAGATGAATAATGGAGATATATGTATACCAGACAGTGGAACAACGCACACTATTCTGAAACATAGAAAATATTTTTCTAATTTAAAACCGACAAAGATTATTGTCAATACAATCTCAGGTCCTGCAGACTTGATTGAAGGACTGGTAACGCTAATTTTGCATTACCTAATGGGACGAGATTCTCAATAGATAATGCATTATTTTCTCCAAATTCAAAAAGGAATTTGTTGAGTTTTAAAGATATATACCTTCAAGGGTTTGATACTCAGTCAGCGACTGAGGATGGAAAGAAGTATATGTATATTACTTCTGAAAAATCAGGAAAAGTGAAAGTATTGGAAAAGTTACCAAAACTCCCTTCTGGTTTGCATCATACATATATAAATGAGATAGAGTCACATCTAGTGATCAAAAGAAATCTTGATGATTTCACAATATGGCATGATCGCCTTGGCCATCCTGGTACTACTATGATGCGAAAAATTATTGAGAACTCACACGGCATTCCTTGAAAATGCAAGAAATATACCAAGGAAAGAAAATGACGTGTGCCGCGTGTTCTCTTGGAAAATTGATAATAAGGCCATCACCATCCAAAATTGATAAAGAATTGCCAAAATTCCTTGAACGAATCCAAGGTGATATATGTGGACCTATACATCCACCGTGTGGACCATTTTACTACTTCATGGTAATGATTGACGCGTCAAGTAGATGGTCACATGTTTGTCTATTATCATCTCGAAATGTGGCATTTGCGAGATTTCTAACTCAGATAATCAAACTAAGAGCTCAGTTTCCTGATTATCCAATAAAAGGAGTTAGACTAGATAATGCTGGTGAGTTCACATCTCAAGCATTCAATGATTATTGTATGGTAACTGGGATTAATGTTGAACATCCTGTGGCCCATGTTCATACAAAATGGTTTGGCCGAATCATTAATTAAGCGTTTGCAATTAATTGCTAGACCATTGATCATGAGATCAAAACTCCCACCCTCTGTATGGGGACATGCTGTTTTGCACGCAGAAGCTCTTATTCGAATAAGACCAAGTGCATACCATAAGTATTCCCCATTACAGTTGGCTTTTGGTCGAGAACCAAATATTTCTCATCTAAGAATTTTTGGTTGTGCGGTATACGTACCTATAGCACCACCACAACGTACAAAGATGGGACCGCAACGAAGATTAGGAATATATGTTGGTTGCGATTCCCCGTCTATTATACGATATCTCGAACCACAAACGGGAGATGTCTTTACGGCACGCTTTGCTGACTGCCATTTTGATGAGAAAGTATTCCCGGTTCTAGGGGGAGAAAATAAGCAAGAAATGAAGGATATCAAGTGGTGTGTACCATCCTTACTACACCTTGATCCTCCTACAAAACAATTGAACTAGAAGTTCGACGAATTATGCATTTGCAGAATATAGCAAATCAGTTACCTGATGCGTTTGCTGATACCAAATTGGTAACAAAATCACATATACCAGCTGCAAATGCCCCTTGCTCGTATTGAAATACCACATGAACGTGCAAAGGCAGACGATACACGTGAGTCTAAAACACGCTTGAAGCGTGGTAGACCTGTTGGTTCTAAGGATAAAAATCCTAGAAAGCGAAAGGAAGTTGAGAAGATCCTAAAATAACAGAAAGTATTTTAGGAGAAACAAGTCATGAAGCCAATGAAAATATCGAACTTCCCGAGTCCGAAGAAAATCATGAGATCTCTATCAACTACATTCATAATGGAAAGATATGGAATCGAAATGAAATGGATGATGTTGATGAGTTTTTCTCATATCTTGTATCAAACGAAATAAATGAGGAAAACGAAGATCCAGAACCAAAGTCTGTATCTGAATGTCAAAAGAGACATGACTGGGAAAACTGGAAAAATGCAATTCAAGTCGAACTTGATTCGCTTAATAAGCGAGAGGTGTTTGGACCTATCGTAGTCATACCCAAATCAGTCAAACCAGTTGGGTATAAATGGGTTTTCGTTCGAAAAAGAAATGAGAATAATGAGATTATGAGACATAAAGCTCGTCTCGTGGCTCAAGGTTTTTCTCAAAGCCTGGAATCGATTATGAGGAAACTTATTCTCCTGTCATGGACGCAATCACATTTAGATTTCTGATGAGTCTAGCGGCTAGTGAAAATCTAGAAATGCGTCTTATGGACGTCGTCACAGCATATTTATATGGATCATTAGATACTGATATTTATATGAGAATCCCCGAAGGATTCAAAATGCCAGAAGCATTAAGTTCTAAACCAAGAGAATTATGTGCAATAAAATTACAAAGGTCATTATATGGGTTAAAACAATCGGGGCGCATGTGGTATAATCGCCTAAGTGAGCATTTGATCAAAAAGGGATATATCAATAACCCTATATGCCCATGTGTTTTCATCAAGAAAACATCATCCGGATTTGTAATTATCGCGGTGTATGTTGATGATCTAAATATTATAGGAACTCATGAAGAGATACATGAAGCAACTAATTATCTAAAAGGGGAATTTGAGATGAAAGATCTCGGACAGACAAAGTTTTGTCTTGGCTTACAAATGAGCATTCTGAAAAGGGTATATTTGTACATCAATCTACTTATACCAAAAGAGTGTTAAAACGTTTCTACATGGATAAGTCAACTCCCCTGAGTACACCTATGGTAGTTAGATCACTTAATGTTGAAAAAGATCCTTTTCGACCACCTGAAGAAAATGAAAAGATACTTGGTCCTGAAGTACCATATTTAAGTGCTATTGGTGCCCTTATGTATCTTGCGAATTGTACACGTCCTGATATATCATTTGCCATTAATCTCTTGGCAAGATTTAGCTCATCTCCAACTCAAAGACATTGGAATGGAGTTAAGCATGTACTTCGCTATCTTCAAGGGACGATTGATTTAGGATTATTCTACCCTAAAAACGCAGATGACCAAATGATTGGTTTTGCAGACGCTGGGTATCTATCTGATCCTCACAAAGCTCGTTCACAAACCGGTATGTTTTCACTGTCGGAGGAACCGCTATCTCATGGCGCTCCAGAAACAAACTCTCGTGGCCACCTCCTCAAACCATGCTGAAATCATTGCGCTCCACGAGGCAAGTAGAGAATGTGTTTGGCTTAGGTCAATAAGTCAACATATCCAATCAAGTAGTGGAATCCGAGTCTATACAGAACCAACCATATTATATGAAGACAATGCTGCATGTGTTTCTCAAACGAAGGAAGGATATATCAAAAGCGATAGAACCAAACATATTCCACCTAAGTTCTTTTCATATACCCAAGAACTTGAGAAGAACAAAGCTATTGAGGTGAAATATATCCGGTCATCCGAGAATGCAGCAGATCTCTTCACAAAGTCACTACCTACCTCAACATTTAAGAAACATATCCATAACATTCGGAATGCGTCATCAACGAGACCTATGAAACCAAGTCATTCGAGGGGAGATTATACAGTTGTACTCTTTTTGCCTTACCATGGTTTTTCCCAATGGGTTTTCCTGGAAAGGATTTTTAACGAGACAACTAGAAATACATATGACGATGGACTCCAAGGGGGAGTGTTACAAAAGTCAAAGACTTGCGTGTTGTCTTCTACAATGGTGCCCATAATCATTTCTATCCCACAATAATTGTTGTCGAAATTTTCTCTATATACAGAGAGTGTACGTTCATGCAGGCCCGGCCCGTCCATAAGGCTGGTAAAGCTTGTGATTTAGGTCACCACAATAAATATCAATTTTAAGGCCACATTATTGAAAGTTCCTTTAGTCTTTTGGTTGAGTTACGCTTCAACTTCCCCCCAAATACGAGTTCGAGCCTTGTAGTCAACAATGATTTTTATCATTTTTATCCATATTTTTGTTTTTAATATTAAATACATTTACAAAATTACTTATATTTAAAATTTGCTTTAGGCCACAAAAACCTTAGGGCCGGCACTGCGTTCATGTTATAATATACCATGCAATAACAATTCACTCTCTCTTTCTCTTTGGTTCGTACTTCTCCTTCTCCCTTCCATAAATAATACGACTGTTTATATTCATTCTACAAATCTCTTTATAATATAGTTATTAGTTCAAATCCTAAACACTTAAGATATAATTATAACAGTTGTTTCTATTCTTTTTGGAGTTTTGGTTACCTAATGAAGATCCTACGTACCCATAACTTCAGCCAAATACATTTTATTCTCAATTTATCAACTACCATGCAAAATTCTTCAAAGCAGACCCTTGAAATTTTTATTGTTTCTTCAAGATGCTCTCTCCAATACTCTTCTTAAGTGAGTTGCTGCACATGTATCAGGGCCAATAACAGAGTTGATCTTCTTTTGAGCCACAGGTTGGTCCTCCTATTACGCCAGTCCATTATCTTTTTATCAAAGAAATTTTCCTTGCAATATAATGAGATTATATAATGCTTTAACCTTTTAAAGCTTTATGAGTTTCAGTGTGCCGCAAGTTAATATAATCAAACAACACAAGCTAAATTCAATTTTAGGAGAAAAGACCAATCAGGCGACTAGGTTCAATACAAGCAAAACAACGTTCATAGTTGTGTTGTTACCAATAAGTACAAAAAGAGACAAGGACATTTTCAGAAGGCAAAAACTCATATCATTGTTCCTTAAAACTCTTATCTTCTTTTGTTTCTTTCTTTCAGATAGATCTCTCAAAGCCTCTGTCTTTTGTTCTTCTTACCCCCAAGATCTGACCACACCTTCAACATCACAACTGTTGCTTCCTCCAATGTGATCCTCATAGTTCCAAAGCTCCGAAGTCACAAAGCTACCACTTGCATTGTGATCCTCTATCTCCTCTTTTGATGATGGAGTTGTATAATAATGTCATACAAGAGTATGAAAACTCAATGAAAGAGCTTGAGACAGAGAGGAAGAAGCTAGATGAGCGTGAAAGAAGGATCAAGCAGCAGGAAACGAACAAAAACAAAGATGTCATGGGAAAATCCAGACTTGATATTGAAATGGTGAATTTTCTTTTTAAATAAAAAAAATATATATATATATATATATAAACAAATCTGAATTATGTCACTTTCTTTGTTGTTGTTTTTGTAGAATGAAAAGGCTATGTTGGAGCAGGATGAAGAAGCTATGAAACTCGCAGAGAAACACCAGGCAAGAAACTTCTTTCATAATCTAATGTATTACATGATGATAATAATCTTAATTTGTCACAGAGAGGTGGCTGAGTAGAAATATTTAATTTAAACTTATAATACTTATTTATCCAGGATTTTATTATGACGCTCTAATATTCTTTGTTAGCTAGTCGGTTAGAGTAGACTAAGAGATGCCAAAATTCAGGACAGTAAATTTAGATATAGGACATGGAATCTGAGTGAACTTGATTTACATATTTTTCAATATAATACAACTGAAAGAATATTCTTGAAAACTGGCAAACTCGGTTGGTTCTTTGATTATTAAAGCTTCCATATTTAACTCTTGATGGTTTCTGAAAAAAGATAATAACGTTTGTAGAAAGAGAAGCAGAATCTTTATGCAAAGATAATTGAAATGGAAGCAAATCTGAATGAAACGCAAGTGCTGGAGTTGGAGATAGAGAAGCTGACAGGTGACATTAATGTGATGAAGCACATGGTGGGGATTAGTGATAGAGATGCAGAGTTATTTCAGAAGATATCCAATTTCTGATAAAGCTCACAGCTAGCGAAACGGCTGTACACGAGAATATGAAGACTCTTGACACTAAAAGAACGTGTGACAAACGACGAGTATCAAGCTGCTAGTAAAGAGATGATTAAGGTACAAAGTAAAAACACTCTTAAGTATGTTTTGCCAAAAAAAAAGAAAAAGACAAGTCCTTTTAACTTTAGGGGAAAAAAAGCTTATGTCCTTCTTATTGGTTTAAGTTGGTTTGCGCCCATGATTTGGTAGCATAAAGAACCGGTGCCACTTAAACCGGTGTAATCGAGAAGATGTCTCACGAGAGAGACACAAGCACTTTGTGTCTGTTCATGACATTGATGTCTTTCTGTTGTCTCTCTTCACTTGTCTATATAAAACAATGATTGTAGAGAAACAGAAACTAACGATTACGTAACCGAAACTAACTGTTACGATTTGCCCTTGTAAACCTGCAAATCTCAATCACACACAAGCTCACGAAACACCTCTCTCTCTCTCACAAGAACCAGAAAACAGAGCAAGCACAGAAAACAGAGCAAGCAAAAGAGATAAAGAACACAAAGAGTTTGTTCACCCAGTTCAACCTAGTCGATGTGACTAAGCCTACGTCTGGATTCAATCCGGCAATCCACTAATCAAAAGAAAGAGTACAGCTCAATAACAGAGCAAGAGAATCAATGGAGGTTAAGGAACTCCAATTGATTGTTACAACAGAAGGAAGAAGAAGACAAGAACTTAAGTATTTAAACACCTAAACACTTTTGCATTTACGGCGGCGTCTCTATTCGCGACTAGAGAGAAACCGTCTAGGTCTTCTTCTTCAATCTCCGGTTCAAATCAACAATCCCAAACCGGTTGTACTCTAATTCAATTCCTCCGGTTTACACCAAACCTGAAAACTGAATCACATAACCACAACACTCCACCTTGATTCAAGTTTTCCTTCTCTTAGTGAATTGCACTACTTGGATTTAACCTCGGCACGAAGATACTCCATCTTCACTTGAGTAACCTTAGAAAATCTAAGGCTTCCTCAAACTTACGAACTGGAATGCTTTTTGTAAGCATATCCGCAGGATTCTTTGATGTATGAATCTTACTCACTGCAACTTCACCTTCTTCAATCACATCTCTGATGAAGTTAAACTTGGTAGCAACATGCTTTGTCCTCTCATGAAATGTGTTGTTCTTTGACAAACAAATAGCAGACTCAGAATCACACCATATCAAAGCTTTAGCTGGTTTCAACCCCATGTCATCCAACAAGCCACGAATCCACATGGCTTCCTTGACAGCCTCTGTTAGAGCAACGAATTCAGCCTCTGTAGTTGACAAAGTAGTTGCCTTCTGCAAGCTTGATTTCCAGCTCACTGTATTTCCACCAACCGTGAACACATAACCACTGATAGACCTTCTTCTGTCAAGATCTCCTGCATAATCTGAGTCACTAAAACCTGCACACTGAAATCTTTTCCCTTTGTATACACCAAATTCATCCCAACCGAGCCTTTAAGATACCTCAATAACCATTTCACAGCCTCCCAATGTATGTCTCCTGGCTTGCTCATAAACCTGCTAACAAGACCAATAGCATAAGCAATGTCTGGACGTGTCCCAATCATTGCATACATAATGCTGCCAACTGCGCTATTGTATGGTACCAACTCTGTATCAACACACTCACTATCATCTTGAACTGAATACAGCTTGAAGTGTGCACCAATGGGCGTGCTTACAACCTTAGCTTCACCCATATTAAACCTTTGAATCACTTTCTTCAAGTAACCAGACTGAGATAAGCACAATGTACCTTCTTTTCTGTTCCTTGTAATGTCAATGCCCAAGATTCTACTAGCTGCTCCCAAGTCTTTCATCTCAAATTCTCTACTTAACTCTGCCTTTAGCTTGTTCACTTCTGTTATACTCTTTGCAGCCAAGAGCATATCATCTACATACAACAGCAAATAGATGAACTCTTCATCACCTACCTCCTTCACGTAGACACATGGGTCATGTCCACTGCGAGTGAACTTTTGGCTCATCATAAATGCATTGAACTTCTTATTCCATTGCCGTGGAGCTTGCTTTAACCCATAGAGAGACTTCTTCAGCAAACACACTTGATCTTTCTTTGGATCAACCACAAAACCTTCTGGCTGTTCCATGTAAAGTTCTTCTTCAAGCTCACCATGCAGAAATGCTGTTTTCACATCCATCTGTTCCAGCTCTAAGTCTTCTTTAACCACCAATGACATCAGAATTCGTATGGAGAGATGTTTAACTACTGGTGCAAACACTTCTTGATAATCAATTCCCTCTTTCTGCGTAAAACCTCTAGCAACAACTCTTGCTTTATGCCTTTCTGATTCTACACCAGGAATACCAGATTTTAACCTGTATAACCATCTGCTACCAATGACCTTTTTGTCTTTAGGTCTATCAACAATGATCCATGTTCCATTCTTCCATAGCGACTCCATTTCTTCTGTCATACCACCGTTCCATTTCACCCAATCTTTGCTTCTTCTTGCTTCATGATAACAGCTTGGTTCTTCTGAAGTTACAAATTCAGCTGTGAGGAGAGCAAATGCAACTTCAGAGTAATCCGAAAACTTAGCTGGTGGCTTAGGTTGTCTTCTACCTCGATCTCTTGCTAGTTGATAGTTTGTCAGATCAACAGCATCAGCAGAAACGTCTTCTGTCTCTGCTTCATCGGATTCAGAGCTGCTTGCGTTTTCTTGAGTTTCTCCACCTGCATCAACACTTTCTGTAACATGCTCATTTTGAGCACCAACATCGTCCTCATCCTCTATCCTGATAAACGTCTCTGTAGAGACCGTTGGTGCCGGCAGAGCCTTAGAAGCTGAAGCTTGATTCTCTTCAGACTTCAAATCTTTGAAGACCACATTCTCATGAAACACCACGTTCCTGCTGATCACACATTTTTCTTCATTCAACAACCAGATTTTGTAACCTTTGGTTCCTGGAGGATAACCCAGAAACACACCTTTTAAAGCCCTTGGCTTCAGCTTTCCCTGATCCTGATGCACATAAGCAACTGATCCAAACCTTCTCAAATGATTGTAGCCTGGTTTTCTGGTCAGCCATAACTGTTCTGGAACATTGTGATCAATGGCAGAACAAGGAGATCGATTCACCAAATAAGCTGCTGTTGCAGCTGCTTCAGCCCAAAACGGTTCACCAAGACCCGATTCATCTAACAGACATCTCACCTTCTCCATTATGGTCCTGTTCATGCGCTCTGCAACGCCGTTCTGCTGCGGCGTATACGTACACGTTCTGTGACGCTCAATGCCAAACTTCTTGCAGTAATCATTGAACCTTGAGTTACAGAACTCCAAACCGTTGTCAGTCCTCAGCACCTTCACTTTCTTGTTTACTTGATTTTCAACTAGCACTTTCCACTCACAAAAGTTCTCAAACGTTTCATCTTTAGTCCTGAGAAACATCAACCAAACTTTTCTTGTTTTATCATCAATAATAGAGAGAAAGTATTGTTTACCAGAAAGTGACGGTGTGACATTTGGAGATCCCCATAAGTCAGCATGAACATAGCTCAAGATGTCTTCCGTGATGTGTTTACCCACATTGAAACTCAACTTCTTGGACTTCCCCATTACGCAATGTTCACAGAAAGCAAGGTCTTTGATATCTTTCTTCTCGATCAGACCTTTGCCGCTGAGAGTCTTCATGTTGTTGATACTCAAATGCCCAAGTCTACTATGCCATAAACTTGTCTTGTCAATTGAGCTCTCTACGTTGCAGCTTTCTCCCAACACAGTCCTTCCATCAAGAATATACAATCCATTTTGCAAGATTCCACGCAGAGCCAACTTATTGTTCTTGTAGAATTTTACTACACCATCTCCACCTTCATGAGTGTACCCTAGACTGTCAAGAGTACCAGTAGAGATCAAGTTTCTTCTCAGATTTGGAACATACCTCACATTCCTTAAAACTTTGATGGATCCTCCGTTTGTCTTCATCTTTATAGATCCAGACCCTTTTGCTTCGACAGTGTGATCATCACCAAGAAGAATTGTCGTACTTGTGTTCTCATTGAAATCCGAGAACCAATCTCTTCGGGACGTCATGTGATACGTGCAACCTGAGTCAATAACCCATTGTTCCTTTGACTCTTGACCGTTTACACTCAAAGCTTCAGTATATACCAGCTTCTCTGTAATCACTCCTGCTTCCCCTTGAGGTTCAATTCCATACTTCTTCTTTCTTGCATAACAGTCTTTCTTGATATGTCCCTCCTTCTTGCAAAACCAACAAGTAAGCCTTGTATTTGAACTAGACCTGCTTCTGCTGCGATCATTCTTTCCCTTAACACCTTTGTAAGGTTGTCTTCCTCTTTCACCAGTATACAAACTTGCTGCTTGATTCTTATCAGACCTGTGATCTTCTGATAATTCTCTTTCCCTAGACCTTGCTGCAGAAACTACTTCTTCTAGGGATAAAGACTCTCTTCCATACTTCAGAGTATGCTTCAATTGATCAAAGCTAGGAGTCAAAGAAGTAAGCAACAAGATAGCTTGAACTTCATCCGAGACCTCGACGTTGAGACTACTAAGTTCAGCAACTATCTTCAAGAAGTCATCGACATTCTCATCAACATTCTTAGACTCTACCATCCTGTAAGTATAGAATTTCAACTGCATATGAATTCTATTTGGCAGCGAAGTTTCCGTGTACAGACGATCTAACAAAGACCACATCTCAGCTGCAGATTCAGTGTTCTTAATCTTCCTCAATACATGATCCCCTACATTAGCTATGATAATCCCCATAGCTCTTTCCGATTTATCAATCTTTTCAGGATCAGAAACTACCTCTGTCGTCGTCCATGCCGACTCACCAGCTCCACCAGATTGAGTTACGTCTTTTCAAGCTTGTGATCAGTCAGGATATCTTTCAATCCAATAACCCGAAGGTGCGACATGATTCTGATCTTCCAAAGAGAGAAATCTCCGTTCCCGTCGAACTTGTCGACATCGATCCGTGAGTTTGGTGGATCCTTCCCAACCATGAGCTCTGATACCACTATGTTACGATTTGCCCTTGTAAACCTGCAAATCTCAATCACACACAAGCTCACGAAACACCTCTCTCTCTCTCACAAGAACCAGAAAACAGAGCAAGCACAGAAAACAGAGCAAGCAAAAGAGATAAAGAACACAAAGAGTTTGTTCACCCAGTTCAACCTAGTCGATGTGACTAAGCCTACGTCTGGAGCCGATTCAATCCGGCAATCCACTAATCAAAAGAAAGAGTACAGCTCAATAACAGAGCAAGAGAATCAATGGAGGTTAAGGAACTCCAATTGATTGTTACAACAGCTTAAGGAAGAAGAAGACAAGAACTTTAAGTATTTAAACACCTAAACACTTTTGCATTTACGGCGGCGTCTCTATTCGCGACTAGAGAGAAACCGTCTAGGTCTTCTTCTTCAATCTCCGGTTCAAATCAACAATCCCAAACCGGTTGTACTCTAATTCAATTCCTCCGGTTTACACCAAACCTGAAAACTGAATCACATAACCACAACACTAACGAAAGAGAGAAACAGAGAGAACAACGAGAGAGATAAGGCTTGGAGACATCAAGAGGAAAGGCGCTTGAACTGTGGCAAGAGGAAGACACATCGGAATTGAATGATTTAGATCTTTGTGTGTAGATAATGAAATTATCTTTCTATCGGTATAGAAATCGAATTATTTGGTCACGTATTCAGAGAGATATAGGGGTAGAAAGTATTCGCAGAATTACTGTTAAAATGATTGTGTAGTGAAGAAGATGAACAGTAACCGACGCAAGTCTGTTCCTGTTTTGTCTGAAAAAAAACAAACAATATCGCAAGTTTGTTTGTGCGATAAAAGGGATTGATCTCTGTATAACCAGAGACATGTTTTATTTGTTAATCCATGTTAGAAAATACATTGATCAAGTGGGAGTTCTATTGTGTTTAGAACTTAAAATTTTGCAAGTAACAAACTGATTTGCTGTAATGAGATTCTAATGTGAGTGATGATTGGGAACTTAGTGAACTCTCGATCTTATGTTGTGAATCATGTTATGTCAGATTAGTTTGTATTCGTTGCAAGATTATGTTATGTGTTAAAAGTATGTGAGAAACTAATGTCTCTTGATGTTGTAGCAGGAATGGTGTCTGCTTGTAAGAACATCATTGCTGAGCTTAACCGTGGAGACAAACTGGATGGTGATAATTATGATATATGGTATCGTAAAGTCCAGTACGTCCTCGAGGAGCAAGAAGTAAAAGAGACTCTTTTACATCTCATGGAAGAGCCTGAGCAGGGCAATACTCCTCAACATGTGAGAGATCAAGAGGCATATAATGTCTGGAAAAGAAAGAACAGCATCGCTCGCATCACATTGCTGAGTTGTATGCAAGATGATCTCATGTGTGAGTTTGAAGAGTATGAAACTGCAAAAGGCATGTGGGAGGCCTTGAAAGAAAAGTTTGGTGCTACTTCAGCAACCAAACTTAGGAGACTCAATCAAAGGTTCAGTGACTATAAGAAGCGCCCAAACCTTTCAATGAGGCAGCATCTTAGAGTCATGTCGAACATGATTAGAGAGTTGAAGAATGCTGGACAGATTATGTCAGATGAACAGCAAGTCCAAGCGGTTCTCCGTTCATTACCTGAAAGTTGGGACCATATGAGAATGCAGATGACACACAATGTGAATGTCAAAACCTTTGAGGACATATCACGTCATCTTGAGTTAGAGGATGAGCGCTTAGAGGCTGCCAAACCCTTTAACGAGGCCAACTATGCGAATTCAAACTCTGGTTTGAAACGCAAGAGAGGTAACAATGGAAACAAGGCTCCTGATCAACCTGATCCTAAGAGGCAAAAGAAGTATGTCAAGCGTGGAAAACGTGGAGGCAAGAAGGATAAGACCAAGATAAAATGCTACAACTGTGGCTCATTGGGTCACTTTGCTCGTGAATGCACTGAGGCAAAGAAGGTATTATCTTTGGACTCTACTTGCAAATATGCTTATGTTTCTAGTTGTGTAATGCTAACAGAATCTCATCCTTTGTGGATTGTAGACTCAGGAGCAACAGACCACGTAGCTAGAAGTCGAGAAGCATTTGTGGAGTACCGACGGGTGCCCAAAGGTACAAGATGGTTATATGTGGGAAATAACTCCAAGGTTGCGGTACAAGGTATCGGAACCTGTCAGCTACACATGAGTGGCGGGAAAACTCTCATACTGCATGATGTCTTGTATGCTCCTGAAATCCGTGGGGACCTAGTCTCTGTTTTGGCATTACTTAAGTTAGGATTTGTTTTGAACTTCCATAATTTATGTTTGCAAATTTCTCTAAGGTCTGAGTACTTTGGTTCAGGCTATGTATGTGATGGTTTTATTGTACTCGATTGTACTACAAATGTTACTAATAGTAATATTAATGATAGTTTTTCATTTGTCACAAGTTCTACTAATGATGAAACAAATGTGTGGCATTCTAGACTTGGTCACATTGGAGTTGATCGAATGAAAAGATTGGCTAGAGAAGGTCTTCTTGGCCCACTCGCCAAAGTTGATCTTGACACATGTGAATCATGTCTAGCTGGAAAAGCTATAAGAAAACCATTTGGCAAAGCGGCCAGAGCTGAATTTCCATTACATCTAGTACATTCAGACATTTGTGGTCCAATGAATGTGAGGGCAAGGCATGGAGCCTCATATTTCATCACTTTTATAGATGATTTCACTCGATTTGGGTATGTATACCTAATTTCTCATAAGTCAGAAGCACTAGAGTGCTTTAAAAGATATGTAACCTTGGTTGAAAATTAGTTGGAGAGGACAATCAAGTGTTTGAGAACAGATCGAGGTGGTGAATATCTATCTGAGCAGTTTAAGACACTGTGTGATGAAAAGGGTATTGCTAGACAGTTAACAACACCCTATACACCACAACAAAATGGTGTAGCAGAAAGAAGAAATAGAACTCTTCTTGAAATGGTTAGGTCTATGATGGCGCAAGCTAACCTTCCAATTTCGTATTGGGGGGATGCATTGCTTACTGCAGCCTATATACTTAACCTTGTGCCCTCTAAATCTGTTACTACCACTCCCTATGAGTTATGGACGGGTAGGAAACCTAACCTAACTCATCTAAGAGCTTGGGGATCAGCTGCATATGTTCGTGATACTTCACATCCTCATGGAAAATTGGGTCCTAGAGGAAAGAAGTGTATCTTTATAAGATACTCTGAGCAATCTAAAGGATATGTGCTCATTGGCGAACACTTAGATGGAAGTATAACAGAGATTGAATCACGAGATGTAACATTCTTGGAAAATGATTTTCCTAAAAGGGGAGAGATTGATAGAGAACTCCATCTTGAAGAGATTCTTGACCATACTAGTAGTATTCCTCCTACCAACCAATCTGTGGAAGTTAGTGAAGGTTCACATGAACTATCACAACTTAGTGGGAGAGAAACATTGGTTGAATCACAAGATATTGAGTTACGAAGAAGTAACCGTGGAAATGTTCCCCGTCGTCGTTTTGAGATAGAAGGGGAAGCTTTTATGGTTGCTTTATATGATGACTTGGAACCTAGATCGGTTCAAGAGGCTCTCTCTTGCCCAAACTCAAATGAATGGAATGATGCAGTAGGTGAAGAACTAGAATCGATGAAAGAAAACCATGTCTGGGACTTGGTTGACCTTCCGCCAGAACGTCGAGCGATCGGAAATAAATGGATTTTTAAGATCAAACGTAATGCGGACGGATCGATAGATAGGTACAAGGCTCGCTTGGTAGCGAAATGTTATACCCAACAAGAGGGTATAGACTATGAGGAAACGTTTTCACCTGTGGTGAGGTTTGCCTCTATTCGCCTTATTATAGCAATTGTTGCCGGATTAGATTTAGAGTTACCAAGCGAGCCTTGTACCTATCTATCGATCCGTCCGCCTTACGTTTGATCTTAACGGGGAACTAGAAGAAGAGATTTACATGCAGCAACCTACTGGGTTCGTTGTGAAAGGCCAGAAGCACAAAGTTTGTAAACTTAGACGCTCTATATATGGTTTAAAACAATCTTCTAGACAGTGGTACCTTCGTTTTCATCAAGCTATAACATCTTATGATTTTATGATGATCAGTGAAGACCATTGTGTCTATGTTAAGAGCATTGGACAATCCTTTGTAATTCTGTCTCTATATGTTGACGACATCTTATTGGCTGGAAATGATATGGAGTTTCTTATAACCATTAAACAATGGTTATCATCTCATTTTGAGATGAAAGATATGGGAGAAGCTGAATACATACTTGGTGTTAAGATACACCGGACGATCAAGGAAATTACTAGCTCTTTCTCAAGAGTCTTATATTCGTACTATCCTTGAAAGGTTTAAGATGTTGATTGTAACCCCATTGACACTCAATCGCAAAAGGTGAAGGCCTAAGCCTAATATGTGCCCTAAGACCGATGATGAGAAAAGAGAGATGAAAGGAGTCCATACTCAAGCGCTATAGGCAGCTTGATGTATGCTATGATGTGCACTCGGCCGGATATTTGTTATGCGGTTGGCTTGGTAAGTCGTTACCAGTCAAATCCCGGGAGAAACATTGGATGGCAGTGAAGAGGATCCTTAGATACTTAAAGGGAACAATGGACTATTCCTTGTGTTATCAAGGAAATGATTTACGCTTGACGGGTTACACCGATGCCGACTGGGCTGGCGATTTAGATGAGCGTAGATCGACTTCAGGATATGCTTTCTTGCTAAGTGATGGTGCTATTACTTGGAGTAGCAAGAAGCAGTCTTGTACAGCCTTATCCACGATGGAGGCTGAGTTCATTGCTTGTTCAGCATCAGTTCAAGAGGCTGTATGGCTGAGAAGGTTTCTACAAAGCTTACAAGTCACAACGGAGGCATCTTCTCCAGTGACTATACATTGTGATAGTCAAGCTTGTATTGCTTATATGAAGGATCCCAAGTATCATGGGAGGACAAAGCACATCGAAATCAAAGGAAATTTCGTGAGAGACATTGTGGCAAAGAAAGAAGTGGTCCTTAAGTACATATCTACACATAGAATGGTTGCTGATCCATTTACCAAACTAATTCCTAGAGATGTGTTTCTGGCTCATGTTCGAGCTTTAGGTTTGCGTAGAATTTAAGGAATGTACTTATGGAACCTTGTTATTTGACATTGTACTTATGTTGGATGTTTTATTTTAAGAATATTTAAGACGTTTAATACAATGGTCTATTCTTTTATTGTTTTCCATACTTACACATAATATTGAGAAATGTCACCAAGTTTGGAGATTGGTTCACTCACATGAACAATCGCCTCAGATTTCTTAGTGAAAGGCTGAGATGAGACGGATGAGCTTAGCGCTAGTGGGAGCTTGCTTTGCATCTTATCAATGTCGCCTTATTAAAGAGTTAAGATGAGATATATTTTTAAGATATCGATCATGATTGTCCCAGAATCATGAAACTTGGGTGAGCTGGATAAGTATATAATCAGGCGCTAGAAAGCGAGCTGGTAGTAACTTGATCCACATAGTGGTGTTTGGTTTATCCAAAGACATGTACTTTTTTTTAATAAAAAGTTAACCACTATGACATGTGAATCATACCACATGTGCTATCACGACCACATAGGAAGCAAGTGATTATATTTTCTTAATCCCTAACACTTGCAATGTGAGATCCTATAAACCTACTTATGGTTTCAAAATTACCCTTGAACCTTCGGCTATGTTTTTGAAGGGATGAACTAATGTTTGCTACTTTAGTATGTTTTTCCAATGGTGATGAAATAAATAACCTTATGGGACATGCTAGGAAAGCGGTTAGTCCGGAACCAATGGACATGAGAACGGAAGGGAAAACTATTTACTTTTACATTGACATATGTGTTTGCTGGCCAGCCACTATAGCTCAATCGGAGTTTGTATATAGTGAACACATAATGTGAAATGTCTAACATATGCTTTAGGGATAAGATATGTTTAGATTGATGTAAAAGGTAAATGAGTTTGGGGAACAGCGAGACATGCTGAAATTCAAATATTTTTCCTTAGGGTTGTAGCAGACATGTATTCCTAACAGATGCATAGTTTAGCTCCCAAGTGCAGGTGTATTGCAGGGGTCGCACGGTTCATTTGCTGTATGTTTTCCGAGTTAAGATTCTCAAACTTAATCTCTAAGACTTCTCTAGTGCTTGTTATGCTCCCATCATGTGCGAGTGGGAGATATTGGTTTAAGTGGTTTGCGCCCATGATTTGGTAGCATAAAGAACCGGTGTCACTTAAACCGGTGTTCGAGAAGATGTCTCACGAGAGAGACACAAGCACTTTGTGTCTGTTCATGATGTTGTGTCTTTCTGTTGTCTCTCTTCACTTGTCTATATAAAACATGATTGTAGAGAGACAGAAACTAACGTTACGTAACCGAAACTACGAAAGAGAGAAACAGAGAGAACAACGAGAGAGATAAGGCTTGAGACATCAAGAGGAAAGGCACTTGAACTGTGGCAAGAGGAAGATTTCCGTTTGTGATCTCTTCCCGATCTCTGCATCCATTCTTAGTCGAATCCGTGACAAGTACGTCACCGAACCGACGAAGGTACGACGATGTAAGAACTTAGAAAAAACAGAGGACTCAGGAACTTTGAGATGAATGAAACTTTGTATTTCTCAAGGTTAATTACAAAGAGGGACTGCATTCAGCTTATATACACAAAGGAGAAGGATCTAGAAGACGCTGTATCTTAAACTAGGGCACAGCTGGATGTGATGACTCATGGTCAAATTGCAGAGGACCGTTGTCTTCTTTATTGCAGCATGGAGCTTCCTTTTCCGTACTCTCTGCATTTGCAGAGTTTGTCTTCATGTGTTCTTGACTTATGGGCTTTACTCTTGGGCTTGTCTTGTCTTTGGGGCCTTGATCCATTACTATATTACTCACATTCCCCCTCAAACTTGCAGTGGGTGGAACAAGCACTCCAAGTTTGTCTCTGAGAGCAACAAACTCTTTCCTCGGTAATGGCTTTGTAAAGATGTCAGCCAGCTGAAGTGTAGCAGAGATATGTTGTGTTTCAATGAGACCAAGTGCAACTCGTTCTCTGATGTAATGCCAGTCTGTATCAAAGTGTTTAGAGCGGTTGTGAAGAGCTGGATTTGCAGAGAGATAAACCGCAGAGAGATTGTCGCATTTTACCAAAGTTGGTTGATGTTGAGGCACATCTAGATCACGCAGAAGAGAGGAGAGCCAGGTGAGTTCTCTTGCAACAGCTGTGAGTGCTCTGTATTCAGCTTCTGTTGAAGAGTTGGAGACAGTTTCTTGGCGTTTTGCAGACCACGATATCAGATTAGGTCCAAGCAAAGTGCAGAAACCCGTCGTAGACCTCCTCGTTTCCTTACAGCCGGCCCAATCACTGTCACTGTAGGCAGTCAAGTTGATATTCTGATCCTTCGTGATCACAAGTCCCATGCTCATTGTTCCCTTCAAGTATCTCAGTATTCGTTTGAGTAAGCCAAAATCTGAGACAGTAGGAGAGTGCATCCTTTGACAGACAAAATTAACAGCATATTGAATGTCTGGTCTTGTTATTGTTAGGTACTGTAACTTCCCAGCCAAGCTTCTGAAGTATGTGGGTTCAGAGAATGGCTCGGAGTTCAGATTATCCAAATGTTGCGGTAATGGAGTGGGCATTGGATTACATTCTGTCATTCCAGCTTGATGGAGAATATCTGCAGTGTATGCTGATTGATGAAGAAACAGGCCGCCTGAGTACGCCTCTATCTCAATCCCCAAGAAATATTTAGGCATACCAAGATCCTTCATCGAAAATCGACTATTAAGCGCCTTACGAAGAGCTGTAAGTAACTCTTGATCACTCCCCGTTAACAGAATATCATCGACATATAGAAGCAGCACCAAAGTCTTGCCTTGATGATGATAGATGAATAGTGAAGGGTCTGATTTACTGCAATTAAACCCAAACTCGATAAGGAATAGACTGAATGTGTCGTACCAGGCTCGGGGAGCTTGTTTGAGGCCATACAGTGCTTTTGTGAGACGACATACATGATGCGGCTTCTCTGGATCCTCAAATCCTGCGGGTTGATACATGTAGACAGGTTCTTTCAACTCGCCATGTAGGAACGCTTAGACACATCCATTTGCTTGAGAGACCAACCTTTTGCAGTAGCTACATTGAGGACAATTCTGATTGTAGCTGTTCTTACAACAGGACTGAAGGTCTCTAGGTAGTCAATTCCTTCTTCTTGATCAAATCCCTTGGCTACCAGTCGTGCTTTTAGCTTGTCCAGTGTGGTGTCCGGATTTAACTTTGTGGTAAAAACCCATTTGGAGCTCAATATGTTCATATCAGCTGTAGGCAGCACTAGTGACCAAGTGTTAAGCATATATACTCGTCCCATCTCATCCATAACTGCTCGGTTCCAACCTGGGTGTTTCATTGCTTCCACGATCGATTTTGGCTCTTTAGTGGAAAATTTCGATGTGAGAAGAATGTACCGAGTGTTAGGCTTCTGGATTCCGGCTTTGGCTCTAGTAGTCATAGGGTGTGTGTTCACTGGTTCTGCTTGCTGCTCTTCTTGTTGTTGTTCAACCTCTACCTCATTTTCTTCCCCCTCACTCATTGCATCTGCAATGTTTACAGGGTTCTGCTGCTCTGTTTCTTGCTCCGGTATTGTCTCTGCCGGTGATTTATTAAACACTTGCTGGACTGGTTGAGGAGAAACTTGCTCTGGCGTGATCTCTATAGATTGCCAAGCTTGTAAAAGTGGCGTTTTGTATTGAGGAACCAGACCCTTGTACTTATCTTGAAATGGAAACTGATTTTCCTCAAATATTACATGCCTTGAGATGTAAATCTTCCCAGTAGGTGGATACAAGCACCTATAGCCCTTATATTGACTGTTATAGCCAAGAAACACACACTGCAAAGACCTGGGATCAAATTTGTGTTTGGTTATAGGCCGTAAACAGGGATAACATGCCGAACCAAACACTCTTAAGGCTGAATAGTCGGGTTTCTGTTTGAAAAGAACCTCATGAGAACTCTGATTCTTTAATACAACTGACGGTACCAGATTCCCAATGAAGTTTGCTGTAAAAAAAGCTTCAACCCAGTATTTCAGTGGCGTATGGCTGTGGAACATCATGGCCAGACCAAGCTCAGTGAGATGTCTGTGTTTTCTCTCTGCCGTTCCATTCTGTTGTGGTGTATAGGGACAGGATATCCTATGATGAATCCCATGATCTCTGAGATGTTTCTTGAAGCTTGTACTGATGAATTCTCCACCCCCATCACTCTGAAACTCCTTGATTTTGTTATTCAACTGGTTTTCCACCAACTTTTGGAACTCTTGAAAGACAGAGAAGAATTCAGACTTGGCACGCAAAGGAAATAACCAGGAATAACGAGAGAATTCATCAATAAAAAGTGCATAATATTTGAATCCTTGATTCGATACAACTGGAGAGGGTCCCCAAAGATCACAGTGTATTCGATCTAGGGGATTCAGAACACTAGAAGCAGAAACAGAAAACTTTAATCTAGAACTCTTGCTCATCTGACACGGCTCACACACGCGGGATGAGTGTTTATTTGAAACAGAAATCGCCTTATTTGACTGCAAGTGTTGAAGAATGCCTGAGTTTGAATGTCCAAGTCGATGATGCCAGATCTCCTCACTCACTGCACATTGCCGATTTGAATACAGAGCTTCAAACTCATTGCTTTCCAACACATAGAGCCCTTTATTGCGAGGACCCTTTGAGACCACTTTCTGAGTTTGTATATCAATCACACACACTTTGTTAGCATCAAAATAAACACCACAGGGATAGTCATCACAACTTTGACACTGAGAGAAGAGATTTATGTATATCAGGACAAACCAGAACCTCATTGAGAGGAATTGTACCTTTTGAGGAAGTGATCGTAGTAGAGCCAACATGAGTTATTGGGAGAAAAGCTCCATCACCAACCAGCACCGCATCATTTCCCTCATAAGCCATAGCCGTCTGCAGATTGTTTGTGGACTGAGTGACATGAGCTGAGGCTCCAGAGTCTGGGTACCACTCTTTCCCGGACTCATCCGACGCACATAGAGTGGAGAAAGCCTGAGTCTTTGGGTCATCCTGATAATTGTTATCGAACCTGTTGTAGCATCTCACTGCAGTGTGTCCAACACGACCACATATTTGACAAACAGGGCGTTCTCCAGTTGTGGTTGAGGTAGTTTGGTGTTGAGCAAAACCTCTTCCCCGAGTTGTGTAGCCTCCACGTCCCCTGTTCTGGCTGTAACGTCCTCGACCTCTGAAGTTTGTGTTGTACTGAGGAGCACCAGAGTCTGACTTGGTGGTATTGAAGGCAAGATGAGGTGTTGCCGAAGCTGCTTCCTCTCTGGCCTTGAGTTTGATGTCAAATCCCTCAATCTCCGAGACCACATCGTTAAAAGTTGGGGGTGGGAACTTGGTCAGGTTACTCTGGATCACTGTTGCTATTGGGTCATACTCACTCCCTAAACCATTAAGTAGCCCAAAGATCTTCATGTTTTCATCAATAGGCTTTCCGATGGCGCTGAGAGAGTCACAGACGGTTTTAAACTCTTTGCAGTAGTCGGAGAAGCTTTTGTCCTTCTTTTGAAGAAGCTGCAGTTTGCTGCGAAGCGAGAACTCCCTGGCAAGGCTGCTCTTGTTGAAATTTTCGGCCAGAGAAAGCCAGATCTGACGAGATGTAGGAAGATTATGAACGTGGCCGAGAACCTCCTCGGACAGAGTACCGAATAGCCATGACCGGACGAGTTGGTCAGTACAGAACCAAGAGTCGTATTGCGGGTTTGGAACCTCACTGGTGACATCGCCAATGACTGCAAGGCGTGTCTGAGATGGAGCAAGGACGGCTCCATTGACGAATCCTATGAGTTTTTGACTCGATAGGAGCGATTCAAACTGAGTTTTCCACAAAAGATAGTTGTGGTCGTTGAGCTTGAGCGTGACAGAGCTCGAGACATGAACGTTGTCTGGGAACGGGTATGAGGTCGCCATTGATCTACCTGTTAGGGTGTCAAGGGCTCTGATACCATGTAAGAACTTAGAAAAAACAGAGGACTCAAGAACTTTGAGATGAATGAAACTTTATATTTCTCAAGGTTAATTACAAAGAGGGACTGCATTCAGCTTATATACACAAAGGAGAAGGATCTAGAAGACGCTGTATCTTAAACTAGGGCACAGCTGGATGTGATGACTCATGGTCAAATTGCAGAGGACCGTTGTCTTCTTTATTGCAGCATGGAGCTTCCTTTTCCGTACTCTCTGCATTTGCAGAGTTTGTCTTCATGTGTTCTTGACTTATGGGCTTTACTCTTGGGCTTGTCTTGTCTTTGGGGCCTTGATCCATTACTATATTACTCACAGACGATACTCTGTTTTTCATATTTACGCTTCCGCCAGTAACTCTAACACTTCTTGTCTTTGATGAGCAGTTCTGGGATATGAATCAAAATTTGGTGAGTGGAGAGAATATCAGAGTGAAGAGATTAGGGCAACTACATCCTGAAACGTTTTTTCCAGCAATGATGAGGGAACATGGATGTTCAAAATCAAGAGCAGAGATTGAAGCTGAAGCAGAGGAGTTATGTTCATTGTGGGAAGCACAAATCGGAGATGTGCAATGGCATCCATTTAAAATCCTTGAGTCTGATGGACCACCAAAGGTTTGTACTTTAACACTATACTTTAAACTTTCAAAATATGGGATCTTTCCTGTTTTTATATAGTATCTCAAGTCAAATTTGTGAAATTGTAGAGAATTGTGGTAAAGGACGATGAGAAGGTGCTAAAGCTGAAATATGACTATGGTGAAAGAGTTTGTGATGAAGTGGTAAGAGCAAAAGAGGAGATAGAGGATCACAATGCAAGTGGTAGCTTTGTGACTTTGGAACTATGAGGAAAACCGGAAAGCCACATTGGAGGAAGCAACAGATGTGATGTTGAAGGTGTGGTCATATCTTGAGGGTAAAAAGAACAAAAGACAGAGGCTTTGAGATCTATGTTAAAGAAAGAAACAAAAGAAGATAGAGTTTTAAGGAACAATGATATGAGTTTTTGCTTTGAAAATGTCCTTGTCTCTTTTTGTACTTATTGGTAACAACACAACTATGAACGTGTTTTGCTTGTATTGAACCTAGTCGCCTGATTGGTCTTTTCTCCTAAAATTGAATTTAGCTTGTGTTGTTTGATTATATTAACTTGCAGTACGGAAACTCAGAAAGCTTTAAAAGGTTAAAGCATTATATATAATCATGGTATTGCAAGGAAATTTTCTTTGATAAAAAGATAATGGACTGGCGTAATAGAGAAGCCTAAGGACCAACCTATGTGGCTCAAAAGAAGATCAACTCTGTTATTGGCCCTGATACAAGCCATGTGCAGCAACTCACTTAATAAGAGTATTGGAGAGAGCATCTTGAAGAAACAATAAAAATTTCAAGGGTCCGCTTTGAAGAATTTTGCATGATAGTTGATAAATTGAGAATAAAATGCATTTGGCTGAAGCTATTACGTAGGAGCTTCATTAGGTAACCAAAACTCCAAAAAGAGTAGAAACAACTAATTAAACGAGCCCTATCACTATAAAATCGATCTTGAAGTTAAGATAAAACCTGAATGTCATTAGTTAAGTAGTCCAATAACTATGAAATTTTGATGGTGTAATTGCATGTTTTTATGGGTAATTATCATCAAATATAACAAACTAAAAAAAAACTATTTGGATGCAAAATATGATAAATAAAATATGCCATTAGTTTTAGTTTCCAATAAATTGTAACAATTTGTAACATCCCGGTTTGTGATAAATGAGGAGAGGCTTAAGAGAATTGATTTGGCTACCTATGTCAACAAAATGCACTTACCTTTTCGGTCAAAGGTCTATAAGTAACTCCAGAGTTAAGCGTGCTTGGGCTGGAGTAGTTGAAGGATGGGTGACCTTCCGGGAAATGGTTTCCGAAACCGTGTGAGTGAGGCCAAAACACGGGGAAAGGTCGGGTGTTGATTGCAGGGATAGTAAACAAGTAATTAAAGTCTCTTAAAAATAACGGACCGGCCGTCGGATAGGGGTGAAGCCCACGGGCCGGGATAGGCCTGCAGGCCCAGAGAGAAGGCATGGGTGACTCAGCGGGAGGGGCGGTCGGGGCGTTATACAACTTTTATGGCCAATTAGGATATGACTAACAAATCACTTTTTTCTTAATAAACTTATATTTCATATTTACATAAAAATCATTTTCACACACTGCCTTGAAGGCTTGAACTATTCACATTGGTGAAATCCTGGCATTATAAGGGCATCTCCAATGTATTGCCTCATATTTGACTCAAAAATGAAGAAATCTCAAAATGGAGTTGAGTTTTGCTCCAATGAATTGCCTCACTTTTTACTTCAAAACTTTTTATTAATTACTAAATTTACATTGTATATTTATATATATTACAAATTACTCCACAAGACTAAAAATAACAACACAAACTGTATTTTATTTTTAATTAGACTCTACTCCAAATCAGGTGGTTTTGTCGACTCCATTAACTGTGTTATCTCTATCTTGGAACATAATTCTAGGATCTGGTTTAAATTGTTTTAATACGCTTGTTTGATTTAGTTTTGCTAAACACTAGTCAAGACGAAATAATCTATATATATAAAAATAAAATGAGGTATTTTCTTTTAGTTTTCCTATATATATATATATATATATATATATATAGATAAAGTAAAATGAGCTTTTTTCTTAGGCTGCTATCTCATCACAAAAGATGTTTAAAATCATAACATATCATTATGTTATTTGTTAATTTCAAATTATTTAATTAATTTATTATTGTTATTATTATTAAATTTTAATTTTCAAAATAACTATCATATATTAATTTAATAGGTTTAGCTAGAATTTGAAAAGTCATTTTTTTTGTAAAAGATAACTTTTATATTTATTCATCTTAAAAAAACCATAATTTCATAATTTTAGTTTTACACTTCTATTTATACAAGCTTATCAAAGTATTTATTTACATCAAATGGGTAAAGAAAAAAATGGATAAGATGCAACATAATATTGAGTACAAAGTGAAAAAAAAAATCTTATAAAAATTATACAACATTTAAATGAAAGAAATATGTTGAAAATGACTAGAGAAAAATAAAATGTGAGATAGATAATGAGTTCTAAATTAACACCGCACCAAAATGCAATTCATAGTTTAATATGTTACGTTTATGAGAGAGAAGGAGAGAGAGGGTCACAGGGAGAGGGAATGAGAGAGATATAGAGAAAATTACACTCAGGTGAACTTTTTGAGTTTGGTTTTACACTTTGAGGGACTTATTGAAAGTGGTGCACTTTTCAGTAAGTGAATTTACAAAACTCTCCTTGTTTTATTTATTTTCACATTTTTCTCAATGCTTTTTTACCTCTCATCTTTTTACTTCTTCCTCTCCGACATAGAAAATTCGTTCATTCCTTTTTGTGAAACCCCGTTTTGTCAGCCATGATACAATTCACTCCAGTTCACCAAATCTCGTTTGGCTGGGTTGATTTTTGTAGGTTTCACCGAATCTCGTTTTCTTTTCCATCCACTTTCTGTTTTGATTCTTTTTTTCTTTTTTTCTTCTTCTGTGTTTCTTCTCTTTTCCGAGATATTTTTTTGTCCCTTCTTGTTTGCATCGCTAACTTAATTTCAAAATAGAGAACACAAATTTCAAAATGACTTTTCTCTTCAATTGCATTTACTAATGTTTACAGTGATATTTAGTTTCAGAACGAGCTCATTTGAGGAATCTATTTTTTTGCTACCTCCATATGTGCTTGTAAGAAAAGCTTCTTGTCACATATATCAACTTTAGTATTTTGCCATAGATGCTTTTCTGTGGATAGAATGTTCGCTGGTAATTTTTGAATAGTTTGGATGTGGATGTTTTTTAATTTACAAAAATGCATGCCAAGTGTTCGATCAATTGTCGAGTTCTAATATTAAATTTGCTTATATGTGTTGTTTATTCAACCGTATGCTAAAAATAATTCTTCTCTTACTTTGACCATGGAAAACATTTGAGAACAGAAAATACCTAATATCAAAAGCAATAGGTAATCCCAAACCCAAAATCACCTCTAATGTAACATTACCCAGCAAATGGATGATGAAAGACTCATTAATAAATGTTTAATTAAACAGCTTGGATAAAAGTTTGGTCGAGTTCTCCCATAATTTTTAATCTGTCGACGATCCTCAAATACAGCAGATAACGTGGATGCTATTTTGTTGTACAATATTATTTGGATAGTTTTTACCGTGGATTGATTTTCGTGGATACAAATTATATGTTGTGTGCATTAGCATCTATATATGGCCGAGCCAACTCCATCTTTTCTTCTTCTGCTTCATGCCTTCATCCATGTCAGTAGTCTGTTAAATTATGAAAACAATATAACTGGTGGCTGGGATCGAACTGCCTCTCTACTTACGAGGATCCAAATTTGGGCCAAACTCTTATACATAAAACTATAAAAACTATCCATTTTCAAATGTCCATAATTAAACAAACAAACTCCTCCAAATATTAGCGAATATCAGATTATTGATTATGTACAATCGAATTTAATATGTATCAAAATTCATGTCTCTTGCCTCTTGCGTTCATCGTTCAATTGTCCGCAGCTCAACCGTACAAACACATATCAATGGTACAACAATATCGTCCAAGCTTTCATTGTACAACATAGACCATGGTAACAAGTTTTTACTCCAATTTCATTAAGGGTAGAATGGAAATCCTCCAGCCACTAAAATCCAAAATAAGTGCACCTTTGATCAAAAGTCCCTCTTTTTGTAAACACAACTTAAAAAGTCACTCATACTGTAAATCTCTCTCGAGATATATAATAAATGTATATGGGAAATACATCATATGGTTAGAAAAAAAATCAATCAATATTGTTTGCAATGTATTGGTGTAGATGGGAAGAAAAGAATATTTAAGGGGTCGAAGTGGAATAGAGTATCTCTTAGCTTTCATTAAATCAAAACTATGTCGTTTGTTATTTTTTTCACTATTTAAGGGGTCGAAGTGTTTTAGGGTTTCCTTTCAACTTTACACTAATCTATTTCTTATTGCTGCCGCCGCCTCCAATCTTTTCTCTAGCTTCTTCTATTTCGCTCAATCTTTCTCTTTTCTCAGATCTATCGGTTTCATCAAGATCACTTTCAGTTCCATATCTCTTCAAGTGACTAGAACTAGCTATCTTCTTAGGTGCTGGTAAATCTTCGAATTTTTTTTTTCTTTTTCCGTTTCTGTATGTTTCAATTTCTGTCATTTCTCATTTCGTATTGTATTGTTGTTTGAACATTAATATATGCGATGACTAAAAAGTTGAAAAATAATTTAACCCAATTGACGAAGATAATCGATTTGATGATGTAGAGTTTATACCGATTCTCTTACAATTCTTCTTATTTTTCCAATTTCATAGAAAAGGAAAAAACAAGAAAAACAAACTCCTCATAAATTTCAGCTGGCGAATCTGAACAAACAATTCTAATGACGTAAATAATTTCAATTTTTCTAAAAGATTTCCTCAATATTGGCGAGCTGAATCATTGCTGGCAAAATCCACTCTCAAACCGAAAATTGGAGATTTGGTTATTTATATTCAACTCAAAATAGTAGGGCAATAAACTTTTGGGGGTTAATGTAACTTCTCGAGTGATTGGGCCTCTATGCTAATGAGAAAATGTGAAAAAGTTTGTAATATATTTTTAATCAGAAATTGTCATAACAAAATTTGTTTTATTATTGTGACAAATTATACAAGAATTAAAATTATTCATTAAAATTTTAAATTAAAGAGATTAAATAATAAGAAACTATAATTATAAAAGAAAATTTTAAAATATTAAAAATATTAAATTATTTTTTCAATGAAACTTTGAAGAATTAAAAATTAAAAAAAATCATATATTGTTTTTAAACATAAAAACGGAATCCATGCGTAGTGCGGATAAAATACCTAGTAATAAAATAATATGTGCATCTTTCTAGAGAATAAACAATGGCTGTATAAAATTAGCTTTGTAAAGCCAAAATAAACAAATTAAAATAAGGAAAGTGGGCTTTGATTTTTAAAATTACGATCGACATATGATTGGGTTTCACTTTAATTTGGGCTGTAGACTCTCCCCAAACACGCCCATAATGCTTTAACCTTTTAAAGCTTTATGAGTTTCGGTGTGCCCTAAGTTAATATAATCAACAACAGTATTCATAGTTATACCTAGACCAGCGACTTCGGTTAACCGATCAGGTTTAGGTCGGTTAAATCGGGTTTCGGGTATTCGGATTTGGAAGTTTAGAAACCGTTCGGGTATTCGGTCGGGTTCGGGTCAGATTCGGGTTGAACCTAAAACGGTGATTCCGCCGCAGACACAATCGTGAGCAACATTTGAAACCCTAAATCCCAACTATCTCTCTTCTTGCATCATTATTTTCTATCCTCCTCCTCCCATTCCTTCTCCTTCGTCGCTTTCTCCCCCTCACAATCACTATTCCGACCTCTCCTCTTCATGGTCCAGAGAAATTTGATTCTTCTGCTGGGTAATGTTAATGGGTTATCGGGTTCGGGCTAAAGTCGCGGGCCTAGTTATACCAATAAGTTCAATTATGGAGAAAAGACTAATGACGAAACCAACAAGGCGACTAGGTTCAGTACAAGCAAAACACCGTTGATAGTTGTTACCAATAAGTTCAAAAAGAGAGACAACCTTTTTCACAAGGCAAAAACTCATCATCAGTCAATCTCTCCATTTTTCCTTAAAACTCTTATCTTCTTTTGTTTTTTTTTTTTCTTTAAGATAGATCTCTCAAAGCCTTTGTCTTTTGTCTTCTTACCCCCAAGATCCGACCACACCTTCAACATCACATTTGTTGCTTCCTCCAATGTGGCCTTCCGGTTTTCCTCATAGTTCCAAAGCTCCACAATCACATAGCTACCACTTGCATTGTGATCCTCTATCTCCTCTTTTGCTCTTACCACTTCATCACAAACTCTTTCACCATAGTCATATTTCAGCTTTATCAGCTCAAGTCAAATGTGAAATTGTGGTTAAGATAGGTCTAATAAGTATCTATAGGAATTCCTAAGTATTATTCAAGATCAGGAAACAGAAAAATAGGTCTAATTAATTGGCTTTTTATCAATTATTTGTGGAATAATATGTTGTGTGGGAAAATGACTTAACAAAAAAAAGAAGAAGATTGAAATGGAGTGCTAGAAAAACTAAATTTTCCACATCCTTCCCTAATCGAAGCTTTTGTCCTGAGGGAGTGACATAATAGCTAAAAGAAACAAATATAAGAAAAGATTGGTTATAAACTTAGGCTTTTAACAAAAAAGTGTCTTGTAACATAAAATTAGAGAAGAGTGACTAATATATCAGCGAAACATAGTCCTCCTTCGCTTATGATCTGCATCAGACGCCTCCATCCAGCGCGTGGGCAAGGGATCAAATGGATCTCAAGAGCCCAGATAGATTATGTACGTTCCTGTGATATATTGGCAGGAACCTCACACGTCATTCCTGGTTTCCATTGACATGCTACGTCGCAGAAGAAAGGTTCTTCCTCCATATGTGTCCTGATCTCTTCATAGATCTCCATCGAGGGAACGACCCTCTATTTCTGACAAGTTGCACACTGGACCGCAAGGTTAAGAACCTTTCGCTTACGTTTGAAATCACTTCCTTCACACTGAAGAAAGTGTGTTCAAACTTCCGGGGGGTCGTCCACTCGGATCGAATAACAAACCAAAATCCGTTGGTGATAACTCGGCGGTTAAGAATGAAGGAAGTGGTGTCAAACGTCCGCGTGTTCATCTACAAGGACCGATAAGAAAACAAAAACCAAAACCCTTTGGTGATAATTCGGCGGTTAAGAATGAAGGAAGCGGTGTCAAACGTCCGCGTGGTCGTCCACCCAATTTACCGGTAAAAGGTTTTCGTGGACGACCACGCGGACGTTTGACACTGCTTCCTTCATTATTAACCGCCAAGTTATCACCAACGGGATTTAGTTTTGGTTTTGTTATCGATTCTTGTGGACGACCACGCGGACGTTTGACACAGCTTCCTTCATTTTTAACCGCCAAGTTATGACCAACGGGTTTTGGTTTGTTTTTCGATCCGAGTGGACGACCCCGTCCGAGTGGACGACCCCGTGGAAGTTTGTACACACTTTCTTCAGTGTGAAGGAAGTGTTGTCAGACATAAGCGAAAGGTTGTAATTGATAACCTGGCGGTCCAATGTGCAACATGTCAGAAATGGACGGTCATTCCCTCGATGGAGATCTATGAAGAGAGCAGGAAAATTCTAGAGGGAGAACCTTTCTTCTGCGACGTAGCATGTCGATGGAAACCAGAAATGACGTGTGAGGTTCCTGCGATATATTGGCAGGAACATAAAGAATTTACCTGGGCTCTTGAGAGCCATTTGATCCCTCGCCCACATGCTGGATGGAGGCGTCTGGCGCAGATCAGAAGCGAAGGAAGACTACGTTTCGCTGATATGTTAGTCATTGCACATCTCCGATTTGTGCTTCCCACAATGAGCATAACTCGGCCGCTTCATTCTCTGCTCTTCATATTGAACCTCTATGTTTCCACATCATTGCTGGCAAAAATGTTTCAGGATGTAGTTTCCCTAATCTCTGTAATTCATGGAATGTAGTTTCCATCTCATTTTTGGAGCTGCAACGAATGAATTCAAGAGATAAGAGAATTAAGGATACTCACCAAGAAGACTAATCCAATCCATAAAGATGTACCAGAAAATACAACATTTTTGTTACTCGACCAACCATCAGGAGACGCAAATACAACGGGTACACTAATCAGTAAGATTGATGAAGTAATAATTAATGCAAAAACAGCCAATTGGAAAGCAATAGTCATGTTTTTAATCCTCCAAGCTATTAACAAAATACACTATTTAATCCTCTTACCCACTAAATTTTTTTAGTAATAATTGATATTTTCTCCTGTCATCAATTTTTTATTCATATTCCAGAACTGCTCATCAATGACAGGTGTTAATTGGAGAGACAATAAACAAATCTCTAGAACCTCTTAAAAATAACAAACCGGCCGCGAAAAGGGGTGGGACCCACGGGCCGAAAGAGGGCATGGATGACTCATTGGGATGAGCGGTCTAGGTGTTATAAAGATTCTCCTTCACTTTCTACAAAAGTTTTAATGTTTTTTATAAACTATCAGGAGTTGAATATACGCAGAACCATCCAAGTTTACCAGTTTTCAAGAATTTTATATCTCTACATCAAATTATATTGAACTAGAGTACAAAATCAAACCATTTGTAATTCATGTGAACTCAGTTTTCATGTACTTAATTGCTGAATTTTGTTCGCTCTTAGTCTACTCTAACGACTAGTTAAGACTAAAAGTAGCTTAATATTAGCGTCATAATTAATATTGTGGATGAATAATTTAGATGTAGGTCATGTTCGTTTGAAAATCGCCGCGACTGCGGCTGCGACAGAATTTTANCTTGCCTAAGATGTCAAGCACTTCGTCGGCTATTGAGAACTTTGAGTCTTGGATATTGAAAATCTTATTTGAAATACTCCTTCTCCTAGTTCAGGTGTCTTACTCTCTTCCTGCTTCTCTGTTTGACGGAAAAACTAGACCTGTTTAGGAATTTATAGCTTCAAATTATTTTCGCAGGTTGAGGAAAAGGAAGAATCTGTTTGGGCGTCTGCCCTCAGCTGCTTTCTCTATTTTGTCTGTGATAGAGGCAAAATACGGAGAAACCAGCTAAATGGTCTTGACATAAGGGTATGTAAGTTGTATGAGGCTGAATATTATCTTTGCCTTCTGTCATGTGGATTACACCTTATTTCCATCCCCCTCCTATTCTCATTTGGATCTGTCGTTTGTTTTAATTTTTAGACCTTTGTAACTATGATTTCTGTGTCCAGCCGCATACTACTATTAAATTGGTTCTCATGCTAAGTTGTACTTTCTGACGAGCCAGTCACTTTCCTTGAATCAGGTTATCAAAGCTCTTCTGGGAATTAGTAAAAGGAATTCTTGGTCAGAAGTTGTTCATTCCAAGCTTATTTGTATCATGACAAACATGTTTTACCAATCTCCAGAACTAGATGGCTCTACCAGAGCAACTTCAAGTGCCTCAAATTTTCTTATAGACCAGGTCGATCTGATTGGTGGCGTGGAGTTTATTTTCTTTGAGGTATTGTGAAAATGTATTCTGTTAGACACTTAGACTAAATCCTCAAAATCCATCCAAATAGACACTTTGAGCTTGAATAATTTTCAAGTAGATTAAGGGATTCATCTTATTGATACAGTACTCGTTGGCAACCACTAGAGAGGAAAGAAGAAATCTCTACTCGGTTTTATTTGACTATGTCCTGCATCAAATTAATGAGGCATGCTCAGTTGCTGGTCTTTCTGAGTACACTGATGATGAGATTCAACCTTTGGCTGTTCGGCTTGCTCTGGCTGATGCACCTGAAGCTTTCTACATTTCTGTTAAGCTTGGTGTTGAAGGCATAGGGGAAATCCTGCGAAGATCAATTGCCGCAGCATTGTCTGGGTTCAGCAACAGTGAACGTCTAACCCAGGTAGGTTTATCTTGTTAAAAGATGTTACAAATTGTCTTCTGAGGATTTGACAAAGAGTCTTCGATTAAATTGTTTGACAGTCAGAGCTCTTTTCTAACTCCTATTTTTCCTTCTTGCAGCTTTTGGCAAATATAACAGAAAAATTTGACACGATAATAGGTTCATTTACTCACTTGGACAACGAGTTTCTGCAACTCAAACAGATAACCAAATCTTCCAAGTTCATGGAAAGCATTCAAGGTTTAAGAAATGATATAAGCATGTCGGTGAATTTAGCTTGGGCTACTTTGCACTCTCTTCTTCATTCAGAAAGAACCACGTACCGTCAAAATGGATATATCTGGTTGGGGGATCTTCTGATTGCGGAAATTAGTGAAGAGAGTGGTGGAACTATATGGCTGAGCATAAAAGACCTGCAGCAAAAGATTGCCCATTGTGGTGCCTCGGATTCTATGATCACTTCTGATATACCTATTTCCATACATCTTCTATGTGGACTCTTGAAGTCCAGGAACAGTGTTATCAGATGGGGTTTCTTGTTCATTCTGGAGAGACTTCTTATGCGTTCCAAGTTCTTACTAGATGAGAATGAGACACAGCGATCAACTGGTGGAGATGCTAGTCAGGATCATAAAGACACACGACTAGAGAAAGCAAATGCTGTTATAGACATAATGAGCAGTGCTTTATCTTTGATGGCACAAATAAATGAAACTGACCGGATTAATATCTTAAAGGTACATCTACTGTTCCTTTTGGTTGCTCTTTCCATTTGCTTTGTCACATTTCGTATCAAAGGCCACTCAAAAGCTTGTAGTTGTCTATAGTAAATATATTGGAATTTTCACCCAGATGAAATTGAAATTCAGTTGTCTTCTCTCCGTTGTTTCCAAGCAGATGTGTGACATTCTTTTCTCGCAACTGTGCTTGAAAGTTTTGTCTGCTGATGAAGATACAGTACCCAGTTCTGCTGAAAGAAATAGCAAATTTGAAACATCGCAACGTAACAGCTATAAAGAAACTATGGATGAAGCTGATACCAGGCCTCGGTACAACAATGTCTCTGTTTCAACGTGCGAGACAGCGTCAATGGCAGCAATGCTTCTCCGTGGACAAGCCATTGTCCCCATGCAGCTGGTTGCGCGGGTTCCAGCGGCTTTGTTTTATTGGCCCTTGATTCAACTAGCAGGTGCAGCAACTGATAACATTGCACTTGGTGTCGCCGTTGGAAGCAAAGGAAGAGGAAACATTCCAGGGGCAACCTCTGATATTCGAGCCACTCTGCTGTTACTACTGATTGGTAAATGCACCGCAGACGCAATTGCCTTTCAAGAAGTTGGCGGAGAGGAGTTCTTTAGGTGATTCATCGACTCTTCCATACTTCCCAACCAAGTTGATTTATCTGAGCAATATGTTTCATGGCATTTACAAACTTATGTTTATCGATGCAGGGAACTCCTGGATGATACTGACTCAAGGGTGGCTTATTACTCTTCAGCTTTTCTTCTGAAGGCAAGAAGATTTCTCAAATTCACCATTTTGATTTGAAAAGACATACATTGGAAGAATAATAAGCTTCCAAATATTTCTTGGTTTGTTTTTTTGGCTCATCGGTTAAAGTTTGATTGTTTCAGAGGATGATGACGGAGGAACCAGAGAAATACCAAAATATGCTTCAGAAGCTTGTCTTTAAGGCTCAGCAGGTGATGCAGAGTGTAGACTCATAGAACCTTAAATATCAATGAGCTTTTCCTTTGTTTTGTGCCATGTGTAATAATAATCCGCACTGATAGTATTCTTTGTTGTTATGTGCAGAGTAATAATGAGAAACTGCTGGAGAATCCATACCTGCAGATGTGTGGTATACTTCAGCTATCAAACGAGCTTTGAACTTGTGGCTCTCATAAGTCTCCAGTTACTTATATATGGTATCTGTAAGTTCCTCCGGTTGAGAAAATCTTAGAGAGTTCCCTTGCACCACCCTAGTTATCCGTGAAAAAGAAGAAGATAGTTAAGTGAAAGTAGAAGACAACTCATAGATACTGGACTCGTCGCTGAAAGTAGCAGGGATATCAGCAAGTGAATTCAGATATGGCTGTGTGTAACAGAGTTTGGTGATTTTTTCTGACATCACTTTGGCTATCTTTGCCTTCTTTATCGGCAATGTTTGTTTGGCATGCTGAGTTTTGGTTGAGATCTGAAGGTTGTTGAAGAAAGGTGTTGACTGATAGTAAAGAGTTGGTTGAAAGGATCAACGGAAATGTGATGATAGCTCCATCCGCCTTCTCCTTTTTCTGCGGGAATGGCGTGACATTAAAGGAACTTACAGAAACACTGAGCTGCTGATAATTGCCGGCATGTTATTTTTGGCCCTAACAGATTCAAGTTTTTTTTCTCTTATGCTCTGTGTGTAAAAGTAGCATTTCATGAACAGAGGCTCCAGCTCCAGAAATTTTAATTTTTTCCTGGAGCTCTGCTTTTGTACAGTCAGGAACAAAACCAATTAGGGGTTGCGTTGTGTAAAGAAGAACTAGAGATAGAGGGTTTGGCCTTTGGGTGTGTCGAATGTTTTGCCTTTAAAAATGGTTATGTGAAAAGTGTGAGCCTAGCCAGTGCTTTTGTAATCTTATAACAAAAAAGAAAAACTAATTGCTTGCGTTTTTGGCTGCCACTGTTTGATTTGAGACGACCACAACCATGGGAGATTTCTAAGTTCTAACTAGTTAAATTCTTTGTTTCTTTTCCAGTTTTTTACATATCCAAATGATTTTTAGGCTTTGGTGAAAGCCATTGATCCAATTCAACAAGGCTGTTAAATAAACAGTTGTTAAAGGTAAATTTCATAAGAAATCAAGAGACAAATATAGTAACACAAATTTACCAATTTGATCCACAAAATAAACCACATTTTGAGAAAAGTATAAATTAATATTGGGCCAGGCTTTGTTTCGAGAGAAGTACACAGACTAGGAAACAAAACCTCAGACATCGAAACCTTGAGATCCAATACTTGTTTTCACCTGTTTTGTAAATCGCTTCTGGTTCCTGGAGATCTGATCCTTTCCCACCGATTCCGTCCTGATAAAACGGTAAATCTCTCTCAGTTTTTTAAATTTTACGCATCCCGATCTGATCCGACAAATATGTTTGAGTTTTGATCTGGTCTGTCTCAGTTTGAGTCTTAGTTGTATGTTTCTCGCGACAGAGAGTTTATTTTTTCTGGCCGCCATCTGTGTGATGGTCCTTTGAGTCCGTCTCTGTCGACGAGAACTGCCAAATTGTCTTGTCGGATTGCGTCACGTTAGGGGTTTTAGATGCTTAGTCCCAACGTCTTCTGCAATGTGATCCCATAGCGGAGTGGATATCGCGTTAGACTCCGAATCTAAAGGTCGTGGGTTCGATTCCCACTGGGATCATCTTGTTTTGTTTGTTTTTGGGTTAATACCACTATAAAATTATCCTCATAGCAATGATCAATTGAATTTAAGTGTAGCTCTACTCTAGTTGTGTTTATGAACCTGTATGTTTATGATTTGCAATGCAATTAAGTCATTAACTTTTGTGTTGGTGAAATGGATAACTCTGAGAACAATCTGGCTGCATCCTAATGGGATATATTTTGATGAACTGGTTCGATACAAGAACACTGGTTCCAAACAATAAGATTTGTCTTTCTTTTCTAGTTGATGGAACAAAATGTTGATTGTGTTGGGTGCAGATGATCGATGATCAAGACTTGGGGTTTATAGTCAATTTCCTTGGCATCTTCATCTTCGGTTTGGTAATTGCTTATCATTACGTAGCTGCTGATCCCAAATATGAAGCGACTTGAGTGTTGAAGTTTTAGAGGGATGATGATGTAAGGCTTTTTAGTTTATATATCTGTTTCAAACTGAGAGGAGAGATAATAACAGTCTTTTAAGTTTATATATCCTTATTATCTATTTCACATCTTTATTTCAATCCTCATTCTCGACTATCCAAGAGAACCCGTACAATTCTGTTGGTGTGCTTGATTGCAAGCCAAAAAAAGAACTCTGAAACACCATCCCTCTGAGTAAAGTCGATAAGCTAATTTTAAATCTTCCGACAGGCGAAACCATAGAATGTGTAATCCAGTGAGCGGAGCTCGTTACATGTAATAATACAATCCATTTCTCTAATGATGCGTATATGACCAAACTTTCAAAAATACCACAGTTATTTTGTAGAAAGAATGGTTTATAAAAGAAGTTTTTAATGATTTAATTATCTCTGATCCAAAAAATTACTTAATTATCTTACCAAAAAATTAAGTTTTATTTGTAGTAACTAAATTTGTGAATTTGTGCAAAATTCCCAAAATAATATTATTTGAAAGTAAAATTTGTGATAGAAATGTGTTTTTTCATTTTTTTAAAGTTAGAAGAAAATTACCGTGTGATATTCACCCGGCTAGAGTTGAAATTGTAAAATACTAGACGGTGTAAATGCTGTGAAAAATGATCAAAAATCTTAATTGGGGGACCTGACTTGTCATCAAAACGTCAGACACTCTTGAGTTTTGACATATTTAAAAGAGGCCTCTCGAAGGGGCTAGAACCTAAGGCGAAAAAAGGAAATAAGAAAATTGAAGGGCGGAGAAATAACATCCAACGGCTGAAATCGCATCACCATGAACATTCTCGAACATCTTTTACCGACCGTTCCACTGATATTTAAACACCTCTCCTCCTTGCTCAGAGGCATAATCAAACACTCGAATACAAACGAAGAACAAAAAAAGCTCAAAAGCTCACAGTCAATAATCTCTATTATCCTTCGGCGAAGAATTTTGATAACTAATGGCGGGTAAAGGTGAAGGTCCAGCAATCGGTATCGATCTCGGCACGACTTACTCGTGCGTCGGTGTTTGGCAGCATGACCGAGTCGAGATCATCGCTAACGACCAAGGCAACCGCACGACTCCCTCCTACGTTGCCTTCACTGACAGCGAGCGTCTCATCGGAGACGCCGCCAAGAATCAGGTCGCCATGAATCCCACAAACACCGTCTTCGGTAAGATTCCAGTGCCTTAAATCTTCAATTAAACCTCTTCCTTAGCTTCCGAGCACATATGTAGATCGGAATTTGATTTCTCTGTGATTTAGCTTTGATTTCGTGTTCTATGCTGTGATTTATGATTGATTACTAACTCGCCGTGTCTTTGCAGATGCTAAGCGTCTTATCGGAAGAAGATTCAGCGATCCATCTGTTCAGGCGGATATGAGGCACTGGCCGTTCAAGGTTATCTCCGGCCCAGCGGAGAAGCCGATGATCGTCGTCAACCACAAAGGAGAGGAGAAACAGTTCTCAGCGGAAGAGATCTCGTCGATGGTTCTCACAAAGATGCGGGAGATCGCAGAAGCTTACCTCGGATCTCCGATCAAAAACGCCGTCGTTACAGTCCCCGCTTATTTCAACGACTCTCAGCGTCAAGCTACGAAAGACGCCGGAGTCATCTCCGGCCTCAACGTGATGCGTATCATCAACGAGCCAACCGCCGCCGCGATCGCTTACGGCCTCGACAAAAAGGCGACGAGCGTCGGCGAGAAGAACGTCCTCATCTTCGATTTGGGCGGTGGGACTTTCGACGTGTCCTTGCTTACTATTGAGGAAGGTATCTTCGAAGTCAAGGCCACGGCTGGTGACACGCATCTCGGAGGTGAGGACTTTGACAACAGAATGGTGAATCATTTCGTTCAGGAGTTCAAGAGGAAGCACAAGAAGGACATCACTGGCAATCCGAGAGCTTTGAGGAGGCTGAGAACGGCTTGTGAGAGGGCGAAGAGGACTCTCTCTTCCACCGCTCAGACGACGATTGAGATCGACTCTCTCTACGAGGGGATTGACTTCTACACGACCATCACACGTGCGAGGTTCGAGGAGCTCAACATGGATCTGTTCAGGAAGTGTATGGAGCCGGTGGAGAAGTGTTTGAGAGATGCTAAGATGGATAAGAGCAATGTCCACGACGTTGTGCTCGTTGGTGGCTCGACGAGGATTCCGAAAGTGCAGCAGCTTTTGCAGGACTTTTTCAATGGGAAGGAGCTTTGCAAGAGCATTAACCCGGATGAGGCTGTTGCTTATGGAGCAGCTGTGCAGGCTGCGATCTTGAGCGGTGAAGGGAATGAGAAGGTTCAAGATTTGTTGCTGCTTGATGTCACTCCTCTCTCCCTGGGTTTGGAAACCGCCGGTGGTGTTATGACTGTTCTGATTCCGAGGAACACAACGATTCCGACGAAGAAAGAGCAGGTGTTCTCTACCTATTCGGACAATCAGCCTGGTGTGTTGATTCAGGTCTACGAAGGAGAGAGAGCGAGGACGAAAGACAACAATCTTTTGGGGAAGTTCGAGCTTAGTGGTATACCACCTGCGCCACGAGGTGTTCCTCAGATCACTGTTTGTTTCGACATCGACGCCAATGGAATCCTGAACGTGTCTGCTGAGGATAAGACGACGGGGCAGAAGAACAAGATCACGATCACCAACGACAAGGGAAGGTTGTCCAAGGAAGAGATTGAGAAGATGGTGGAAGAGGCAGAGAAGTACAAGGCTGAGGATGAAGAACACAAGAAGAAGGTTGATGCAAAGAACGCTCTCGAGAACTATGCATACAACATGAGGAACACGATTAAGGATGAGAAGATTGCGTCGAAGCTCGACGCGGCTGACAAGAAGAAGATTGAGGATGCCATCGACCAAGCCATTGACTGGTTGGAAGGGAATCAGCTGGCGGAGGCGGATGAGTTCGAGGATAAGATGAAGGAGCTCGAGACTCTTTGCAACCCAATCATTGCAAGAATGTACCAAGGAGGTGCTGGTCCTGACATGGGTGGTGCCGGAGGAATGGACGAGGATGCTCCTGCTGGTGGTAGCGGCGGTGCTGGCCCCAAGATTGAAGAAGTCGATTAAGTTTTTTTAGCTCTCTTGTGACTCTGTTTGCTTTTATTCTCCAGTTGTTTGCTTGTTTGTTTAGTCAAGGTCTTCTTTATGCTACTCTGAGCTTGCTTTGTGATCGATCTATCAGTTTAAGATTTTCTTTGTTGCAAATTTCTTTTCTCAATCTGACAAACTCATTGCAATGGGGAAATATGATTAAATATGAATAATCCAATGATACAACCAATAAGTTATGCACTACAATCTCACTCTAGTACGAACGGACGGAGACAGACGCGAACCTCATGCTCCTCTGGTCCCATTCGGTGTTTAGGCACTAAAACCTCTAGTGTAGTTCCGGTTTCGTCCCGGTAAGCTTCGAGCTTGGCGTCGTCTGGAATCTGGTTTGGCAGGGAGACTTCCCGGACGAACTCCCCTGGTGGGCAATGCTCTGGTGACGGATCTGTTAGCTTAAAAGTCCTATCATGTCTCTTGATGAATGGCTCACATGCTGTACTTGTACACGATATCTTCACAATTCCATGTGTTGGTGTATTCCTCCATGTCACTTTCACCCTTCCCGGATCAACCAACGGCAGGCTCATCACAATCAAAAACCCTTTGTCATCTTCATATATCGTTTTCGCGGCTGTCACTGGTCCATACACATTCTTCATCACCCCGGTGAAATCATTCGACCATGGCAGCTCTGTTGCGTTGATCTTCATGTCCAGAGATTTCTCACTTGAGCTAGAGTCATCGCAGTTTCCTAGAGCGAGACAATCCCTTTTGCGTTTACCGTTACCAGCTAGCTGAGCTTCCACTGGGTCAACTACGTGCTCCGGTGAATGTGTAGACAGATTCAGACATGTTCCGTTCAGCTTTTTAAGGTTGGTGTGCCCGTTAGCTTTCGCCTGAGTAAGAGGCCGCTCAGACTCAAATTCCGCGGTTGGGAGATTCCTCCATGAACCATAATCACTTGCCTCTGGCGGAATAGCAAAGTTCACATCACGACCAGTGAGTTCCGTCCACTTCTTCTTTTCATCATCGTTAAGTACAGAGAGGTTGGGTGCTTGAACAACTTCGATCCCATGGAGGCACTGTGGGTTAGAGAGACCACGGTAATGTTTCCTCTGCATCCTATGAGAGCGGACAAAGCCTTTCTCCACACTGAAAGGGAAAGGACGCTCACCCTCACGTGAGTGCCCGTTCATGTAACTCCTTAGCTGCATCTTGCCAAGAGCATTCTCAGGCTTTTCCTTGAACACCCACATGTACATATTCTCCATATCATGCTGAACCAAGAAGGAGTCAAGCTGCAAGTCAGATTTATCATACCCGGACAAGCCATTGCTGTCCCTCATCAACTTGTTTTTGGACTTGTCATCCAAAACAGGCTTGAAGTAGAAACTAAAGAAAAGCCAAGCGCCCCATGTACTATCAACACGCTTGTTGTACTTCTTGGCAACCTTATGCACATGAACAACAGCCTCAGGCTCATATAGCTGAGGCCCGAGTCCAACGTCTAAGATGTCACAGTGCTCGTTCCACAGAAGAAGAGATGGGCTTGATTCGGATGAGAGTGGGAGATTGATATCAGGCGGTCCCGAAAGTATGAGCGACCGGTTTGTCTCCCTCTCTGATTCCTCGTGAGTAAAAGCACCTGAATCCATGGACAAAAGTGTCGACGGGTGATAATTCTCCATAGACAAGGTTGTGATGAGAGTCTCGCTCATATTTCTTCAGAACTTTGATCCCACAAAAGCTCAAAGCGATCCCCTTGAAAGCGGATTCAAGAGATTAGAACATCAGTCGACATCGACAAACCTATAGCTGCATCTCAAGGAAATCTTCATCTTACAGGATCTTACGATTTCCACCACAAAGTTTTTTCACGGAATATTCACTACAAGCTCCAAAACGTTGGCCTAAGAGACACTACTGCACCTCGAGAGCAACAACCCCACCTGAATATCAATCGAGAGATCAAAGAATATGATTAAGCTCAACCTGATTTCAACAAGCCCTTATTCAAAATCTAAGAACATACGGCGAAACAAACGCGAGTCTCACACTCGCTTTGGAAATGAGATCCTCATGAAATAAACCAAAATCACTTCTTTTTTTAAACACAGAAACGAATTAGGGATCTAATATTATCTAATTCGATATTCGACACGAAAATCAGTGAATCCCTCGTTTGATTGCAAAATCAATAGAGAATAAAAAATTCATACACAAAGCAACAGGATCATCGGAGAATATAAGAGAGAAAGAAACGAGAAATCTAACCGATGGAGAAGCTAGAAGAAGAGTGCGTATCGGCGGAGAAGGAGTAGTAGAGGCGCTCCCGTCACAATGATCCGAGCTTTTGAGAGAAGCGAGAGAGAGAGAGACTTTTCAACACTCGCAATTTAACACAGAGGCGCCGTTAGTTAACGCCGTTATGTTGACGGAGCTCGGTGTATTGCGTTAGTCAATTTATGCGGTCCACTCTTCTTTTCATTTCCTTGTGTTTTCCAATAAAATGGTCCGACTCGGCCCATTTACCAATTCTCCTGAGGCCCATAATTTCGAAGGGTCCAAGGCTAGCCACAGGTGCTACTAGCTCAGTAAGACAAGGCGAAATAAAAGAAGTATTCGATTCAACACTTGGAGTCAATTTTATGTTACACTTGGACTCTCACAATTTTGGTAGCCGAGAAAGAAAAAATGGAACTTGATTTGATAAGACTCCGAAAATCAAAAACAAACGAATCACATTAGCAAAATAAGATCTTAGTCTAGCAAAAATAGCGATAAAAATTAAGTAATCAAGTGAAAGAATAAAGATCATGATCATTCACCAATTATATAACCTTAAACACAGATATCACATTCATCCCGGCCCCAACGTCTCACTGGTGTAATCATCTCTTCCTCTCTATCACCCTGCAAATATAAATGTGTTGGTGTTAGTTAATACATTGCAATATTCTACAAAAACTTGAGATTGGAGATCAAATGATTGATAAATTTTACTTACAGTTTTGATGGGTATTTTCTCGTAAGTTGTGAAACTTCCGTATGAGAAAGAGCCAACGGAGTATTCTGATGCTGAGGAAGCCATTGATTCTCTCCTCAAGTTCCTGCTGCCATGACTCTTCTCGCCTCCTTCACCACTTTGATGTTCTTCAGAATCTTTCTTCTTCTTGTTGCTGTGGAATGAGTTCTTGCTTACTCTGTCATCAACTTCTTCTTCTTCTCGGAAATTCAGTGAAGAAAGCTCTTCTTTCATCAGATTCTCTACTGGCACATGACTCAAGTTTAGCTTCTTGCTCTCAGGGGCTTGTTTAGGAGCAGATGCAGACACAGGTTTTGTCTTCTTGGAGAATAAGAAAGCAACCGCTGCGAGTAGAACCACCACAGTAGAGGCCAATACTATCATCTCCTTAACAAAAGACCTTACTTTAGGATGAACATCATCATTAGCTTCTGATGCAATATCCCCAAAACCTTCTTCTAATTCACTCTCAGCATCAGTTTTAGGATAAAGAACTTCCCCTAAACCTTCTTCTGGTACGCTTTCAGCATCAGCTACTTCACTCTGCTGCAATTTAGGATGAAGATCATCACTAGTTTCTGCTGCAGTTTCCTCAAAACCTTCTTCTGATCCACTTGCAGCACCATTATTGACCTCACTCTGCTGCATTTCAAGATGAAGATCATCAATAGCTTCTACTACAGTTTCCTCAAAACCTTCTTCTGATCCAACTTCAGCACCAGCTACATCACTATCTTTCTGCTGGTGCACATTGATGGCAGCGGATTCAACATCTTGCTGGTTTATGTTGATAGCTTCAGATTCAGCTTCTTCCAACTCCTCCTCTTGGTCCTTTTTGGTTGATCCAGTTTCAAGCTTTTCTTCAGGATTGACCCCAGACTCTTTGTGTTCTTCAATGTTCAACTCTAAGACATCTTCCAAAAAAGCTTCCAAGTCTCCTTCACCTTCATGCAACTCTGTATCTGTGCCTGACTCCATCTCAGTCTCTTCATCAAACTCATAACTTTCTGCTTCGCCATCTTCAGAGATTTTCTCTACTCCACTCTCCTCCTCAAATTCATTGTCATAGCCATCCTCAAGATTGTATTCACCACCTCTGCTCTTCTCTTGTAATGGCACTTCACTGATTGGCTGGAAAACACTGTAATCTTCCTGATTATATGTCAAGTTATGAAATTTCAATGGAACATATTCCTCTGTTCCTCCTCCTAGACGTGAGACCAGCTTATCCACGATCACAAGTGACGATTCTGTCAAAGTCCAGAGCTTTTCACTCAACTTCTCCAAGTTGTTAGCTTTTGCAAACTCTGTTACTTCTCTTGGGATATGGAACTCGTAGAATGGCGACTCTTTCAGAAGATCGATTGGTGCAGCTGAAACCAACATATACCCCAACGCCAGAGCCAAAAACAAACCAAGAAACTTCAATTTCCTGGAACCAGACTGTTTTGGAGCTTGACTTGTTTCTTCAACGCTCTCACAAACCATTTCTTCATCACTCTCTGCTTCCAATTGCTCCACTGTCTCTTCTTCTTCCACTACTGCCTCAGCTTCACTCTCATGAGAGGCAAGTTCCTCTTGTTCCTCAGAATTTGCAGATTCCTCAGCAGACAACTCAGTGTCAGAAGAAGAAGACCCTTCAGAGATGAAAAGCTCCTCAAGCTGCTTACACTCATCGAAACGCTTCTCAATTCTCGGATTAGGCCTGTAATGAAGAAACTGAGGCCTCGGAGACAGAAAATTCTTGTTCGGATCATAAGGAGCCAATGCATCGGCTTCACCAGACGAAGCTGCAAACTCTGGAGACGTGTATGGAACAGAAGAGCGAGGACTAATCATGAATCTTGGATCAGAATACACAATCCCTTTCTTCTTCTCCTCGTCAAGAACTTCACTCTCATGATCGAAATCAGTGACAGTCATGTCGTCGTCATGAGAAGATCCTTCAAGCTTCTTCTTTACTTCAACGTCGATGTCAACGATCTCGTGTACAACATCTGAGAAGGAGACGCATGACTTGGACACAACGCGATGGGTTTTGGTGGTTTCTTCCTCCAAGATTAGACCTTTGACAACTTCAGAGCGAGGCAATTCGTTTTTGTCTGCCAACACTTTCTTCCTTGGAGATGGATTGATCTTAGAGACGGCTGAGATTGTTGGTGACATGAAATGCTTTGAAGTCTTTGGATAGGTTTGAATAGGTTTGGTTTCGTTCTCTTTGTCTTCTCTTCCACCAAAAGAGTTTCTCCGAGTCAAATCTAAGCAGCACAAACACCATCACAATACTCAGTAATCAAGAATCATATCGATGAATGTTCACTAAATCTACAAGAAGCAAGACTAGCCCAAGTCTAAGCCCTAATCTATTTCGAGATCAAGCGTAATCGAAACTTTGAACAGAGAGAGGAATCGAAGAGAAACCCTAACCTGAGGGGTTATTGGCTCTGGAATTGGTCGGAAATGGATTGCCGCCGAAGCTCCGGCGCATTGGATCACCAGCCTCCGAGTTTCTGGGTTTAGGGTTTGGTCTGTTCGGGATTGGAGGAGATGAGGACGTTTTCTTGTTGGCAGGAGAAGCCATGGCTTAATGAAATGGCTCGGATTCTTAAAATTGGTAACAAATCTGAGATGTTTTGTTGCTCGTTAAAGGAAACAATTGACCAAGAAACTGCAAGATCAAGAAAAGCCCTTAAGATCTGGGAATCGAGGTTTTGAAAGAGAGGGAGATAGAATCGTAACGGCTAGTGAAATTTCTGGAAAGACAGATCTGAGGATTTAAAAGTGACGACTTGAAATTTTGACCGTTGGAAGATTACTTTAAAAGGTTTTTTTTCAAAATACGAAGGATCTGATCTGATTAGATCCGTTGGATTGCTGCGAATCTTTTAGACATATTTTATTCGAGAAATTGAATTAAGAGGGGATTCTTCTAATAAATGTTGGTTTACATGATAACTTATCACACGCTATTTTACATGATTTCATGATTTTTTTTTTTGGTGCAAATACATTTTTCTTAATTGGTTCATTTTGATAAAAATATCTGGTTAGCTACTAAATAAACCACTTCTTCTATATATGTCCTAGTTTAGAGTTATTTGATGAGTCCAATTATGTGTAATTGTGTATAATTATCAAGAACCAGTACTGATAATGTAATAATGTATGGAGATACGTTAATTTAACATGGTTATCTAATAATGCAATAAATTATGTGGATTTCTTACACCATGAATTTTTAACAATCTTCAAAGTTGACTAATGATGAAGGCACAATGCAAAATGTGAATAAGATGATTTCCTCGTGACCTATGTGGTTGGGTAAATAAAAGTGAGAAGAAGAGAAACAATTACTTGTAATACAAAAAGCTGAGGAACTAAGAAGTATATAAATCATGCATCAAGAGACAAAAAGAGAGAGCAATGCTTAAAGATATATATATATATAATACTGAGCATCCAAATTCCGTGTTCAAATCTATCAACACTGATCACAAGTCTTATGTGCCACAATGAAAACTCTATCAACACTGATCACAAATCTATCAACACTGTTCAAATCTACAGACTTACTTTGTTTTTTTTACTCCTATAGACTTCAGTTTCAGCGTTGGTCTCACAATTCTGTTTCTTAAGATGATACTTGTTCATGAACATGAATGACCTCCACATGTTCAAATACTCCACATTCCCTTATCTCCCATTTGTCTTCCTCGACTTTGAACTCAAAGAGAAACTCTTTGGAGCAACTCACCTTTTCTCGAACTTCGACTGTGAACATATTCTCCGTTAAAACGAGAAAACTTTGTTTCACTGTGTAAATAGCAGCGAGGCCATTCTGTTTATCAATGATGGTACAAGTTACATGCACCCGTTCCTCGACACCAGCAACATCGCTACTCTTTTTAGCCAACACGATGCAAGCCATAAACCTCATAGGTGTGGGAAGAGACCTCTCATGCAACTTCACTTTCACAGAATCACCAATCGCTCGGTAAGTGAAGCAGACAGGCATTGCTCCACTAGGTAAGAACGCATGTCTACAAGTAGATCCGCTGATTCTGGAGTCTCTCGCATAATGATCCAGGCCAGAGCAATTAGTATAGCTGATGTGAATCTCTGATTGGCAAAAGGAGTAATTTACTATCTTCATGGACTCACAAACTCCTGCATAGAAGAACGCTAAGAAACTCGGAAAGTGTGGACGTAATGGCTGATTTCTACATTCCTTGAATTTAACTCGGCGTACACAAGAGCTTCTCTTGACCCATGTCGCAACTTCTTTTATTTCTGTATCATTCAAGTCCAACACTGTGATGCTGTCAAGAGCGTGTGGGGATTTCCTAAGCTTTTCACAGTATGACATATGCAAATCATCAAGACGAGGCCATGACTTGACGGAGGGAGGCACTTCTTCTATAGCAGTTCCACTGAGCTTGAGAACTTTAATGTTTGTTGATATCTCAGGAAACGTTTTGAGCAAAGAGCAATCAGTGAGATCAAGTTCATTGAGAGATTCCAAGTTGATATTGGTCGGAAGAACCAATAACTTGGAGCATCCTTGTAAACTCAACGTTGGTAATTTATGAAGGTTTCCATTAGAAGAAGGGAGCTCCACTAAGCTGGAGCAATCACTAAGATCCAATTTCTGGAGATTGGTGACATTTCCAATGGAAGAGGGAAGCTTTAGTAGACTTGAGCATCCTTGAAGATTCAATTCCTTAAGTTTAGTGGCAGTAGAGAGATCAGGAAGTTCCTTCAGGTTGACGGAGTAACACAAGTCCATCCACTTGAGATTTCTAAGCGACTGTACAAGCAAAGTAAACATAACTTCCGTGAACAAACTGTTATACGTGAAATAATAAACACATGTAAAAAGAAAAATAGTCACATACAGTACAACGGAAGAACTTGGATCAAATAGTCACATAAAACAAAAAATAGTCACAAACAGTCACAAATATATATTAGAGGTTATAACTATAACCTCTATAATAATATTAATATCTCACTAAATTGATAAAAAATATTATGTTCCCAACTTAAATAATTTAATTATAAAGGTTTTACTATAATACTGATACACTCCCATACCATTAAGCTCTTGATTCATCTTCAAAACAAAGTACTATAGATCATTCTTGTTTTTTCAAGATAAAAATTGTGAAACAGATAGATTAAAGATTCCAAATAAAAACTGAAACTTAAATAGTTTTAAGAACATGAATAAAAGTGTAGCAAAAGTTAAAATTACTTGACTTTCTTCCCATAGCCTTTTCAAGCTTGCTGTCACACATAAGTAGTTCGACTATGAACTCCGGATTGAAATTTGAAGGCAAACGTGTCATTGGAAATTCGATCCATTCAAGTATTCTAAGTTTCGGAAACTGGTAGTCCAGACTTCGTGGTAAGTACACTCTGTCGGGATGGACATGATCACCAAATATTCTTAGAAATTGGAGATTTGACACTCTTTTAAGGGCTTCCTCACTTACATTTAACTCTTTATCCCCAGATAAGTTGAACTCTATTGCTATAACTCTTTTACTTTGCTGAAAGAGGATAAAAAGACAAAATATACACGTAGAGAAGGTTAGTCATTGAACTTATTATAGAGAGCAATGCAATGAGAAGCAAATGTTAAAGCTTACTGTTGCATCATCTTCACTTAGTACTTTACATATATCTCTAGCATCAACCAAAAATTGACGCTTCCAAGGCTCATGAGCAGATTGTTTACGAACGATTTCTCTACCCAGTTGTAATAGCAGGTCATCCATCCGTATCGTAGAATACGAGTCGATATATATGAGAGATCTTTCAACTAAGTTGTGGAGCCCTTGCCTCACATCCGTGAATTCGTTAGACAAATGCTCTTCCACTTTCTCAAGGCTTTTATAGCTGAAAAATCAGGCTAAATGAAGAAATAGATATTTTTCTTCATCACATAAAGCATCGTAACATACTTTAGAATGCTCTCAATTTGTCCATCAACGTGAGTTCTTAACATTGGCAGTGCCTTTGTCCACTCCTGCGTGGACATTCCTCGGAAGTAGGAGCCCATAAGCTTTAATCCCAGAGGAAGTTTGCTGGAAAGGTATGTAACTTCCCATGCAAGCTCTCCAAAACCTTCTTTAGGGGACTTTTGACCAAAAGCATACGTACAAAAGATTTGAAAAGCCTCATTAGTTGATGGAAAATCAACTTTGTAAATATGGTTGATTCTGTGTGCCCTTAAAACATTTTGATATTGAGTTGTGATGATAATCCGACTTCCAGGACCAAACCAACAAGTTTCTTTCGCCATGGCATCCAACTGTACTAACTGATCAACGTCATCAAGAACCACAAGAACTTTTTTATCTTGCAACCTTTGTTGTGCAATCCCTAAGTTTGCGATTTTGAAATCCTCTTGGTTGATTATCTTAGACATAAATTGTTGTTGTAATTGCAACTTTGCAGGATAGTCATCAGAACAAGCTGGTATGGTGTATCTTGTTTTGATGTTCTCCATAAAGACACTTAGTTGAAAACGGTTGGAGAGTTGATGAAATAGAAATCTGGCAATGGTGGTCTTACCAATCCCAGGAGGACCCCAAATCCCTATCATCCTCACTTCATCCATATCTAGGCTTAAAAACGATTCCATCTTTTCCATATGAGCTTCCATCCCAACAAAGTGGTCGAAATCACTTGATGACGTTAAAATATTCAACTTGTTTGAAATATCAATAGCAATTTTTTCGACCATGGCTGCTTCATCATCCCTGATCATCATGTTTAAAAGACATGAATAGAAACAGATAAAATTCTTGGGTGGATATTGTTAAAAGCAACAAATATATATACAGTTTGATGTCTTAGAAAATATTGTAATTAGTAGTCAAAAGGACTTACCAGTTGCATGAATGGTAACCAGCAATTTTCCCCACTTCCACCAAAACTTGTCTCCATCTCTCAATGTTTTCTTTTGTTTTACCTTCACAATGTTTCTCGAAAACCTTCCCAAAACTTCCGGTCTGCTTCTTTACGTCAGTTGGATTTAGTTTGTAGAAGATGGGCATCACTATTTGACCCAAATCTTCTCTGCACTTCATGATCTCCACCAATTCGTCTAGGCACCATGTCGAGGAAGGGTAGTTCATCGAGAGCAAGACAATAGCGATCTTTGATCCTCTAATAGCTTCTATGAGCTCAGGACCTATCGACTTGCTCCTCTCTATATCATTGTCAATGAACGGGTCAATTCCCTTACTTCTAAACTCCTTCAATATGTAGCTGAGGAAATCTTTGCGGACATCTGGCCCATGGAAGCTTGGGAATACATGGTGTTTCCAGTTGCGAGATAAAGAAGATGGAAGAGATAAAGACGAAGAATCCATTGGAGTTAAGAAGGAGAGAGGATAAGATCATAAACTTGCAAAAACGAATAAGCAGGAAGAAATGAAAAGGTACTTTGTCTGGTCAACCGATGGAAATGAAGCTTAAAGATAAACGTGAGCGTCATTTAGCTTCAAACCACAAAAAAGTAACTTCAAAAACATGACTTAGTCAAGTAAGACTCTTCTCTTGTTCAGAAGATAATAACAATAATATTAACCATAAGGGAATATTCCTTAGAGATGCTAATAGTTTTACCATTAACATAAAAAGGAAATTAAAATGTTGGGTGCTTTGACACCAAGCAAACTGATTCAGTCATTGCTCTGTTACGTCTGCTTGTGTGCTCTGTCTCCAAGCTCCATGATCGTCGGCTATATCTCCGTGGAGTGTAAACACAGATACAGCATTCCTTTACTGTGTCTCACGCTAACCTTTTTCTCCACTCGTGGGTCACTTAGTTAATGTCCTTTTTATAATTTGTTTTTGGTTAGTAGTTTCATTTTGGAAGTCGGGTAATAATGCAATATGAAGATTCCTTACACCATTTAATTTTTCAACCATCTTCAAAGTTGATTTAACGAAGATGTATTGAAATTACAATATGCAAATAATTTAATAACTTCTTCGTGACCGTTATGTGGTTGAGGAATAAATAGACAAGGAAGAGAAACAATTGCTTGTAATACAAAAAGCAGAGACACTACGAAAGATTTCTACAAATCATCAAGATTGCTTAGAGATGGATTACTGAGCTTTCAAATTCCAATTAACAGTGTTCAAAACTATCAACACTGATCACAAGTCTTATGTCTCGGACTGTTCCATAATGGAATCTCCCATGGAGTTTTGAGTTACTTCTCATTATTGCTTTGCCGTAGACTTCAGTTTCAGCGTTTCTCTTAGAATTCTCTTTCTGAAGATGAATCTTGTTCTTTTTAAAGACTCTCTCACTTAGTATATATACTTCGTCATGCTTAGATAATAAGTTGAATTATATGCCTATAACTCTTTTAAATTTACTACCCTAAAAAATAACAAAAACAAAATACATCACGAACCACACGAACTTTTGTCTTTCAGCCTTTGTTATGCAACTCCTAATCTAGGGATATTGATATTCTCTTGGTTGATTATCTTAACCATGAATTGTTGTTGTAATATTTGCAACGTTGCACGATAGTGTCATTAAAACAAGCTGATATGGTGTATCTTGCTTTGATGTTCTCCATAAAGACATTTAGTTGAGAACGGTTGGAGAGTTGGTCGAATATAAATCGGGCAATGATATGTCTTACCATTCAATTCAAAACTCAATGTGTCTACTGTCTAGTCAACTGGTATAATAATAATTGGAAACGGCTTAATTGAGAAAGAGAATCTCAACAAATAAATTAAAATAAGAAGGCCAAAGATGGACATGGATAACATTTATTGCAGACGTAAAAAGGGGAAGAGTTACTTCAAAAACATGACTTGGTCAAGTAAGAATCTTGTCATCCTGTTCAGATACGAATAGAATAACCATTAACCACTAGAAAAGAGAACATTCTTTAAAGATGCTTGTCCTTGCTTCTCATCATTTGTTTTTCTTTTTATGTTTTGATGTGATAATGATAATGCATTTCAAATCCCACGTCGCATCCATCACAGCTGAAATTTCGGCAATGTTATGTACAAATACAACTCTCTCTCCTTTCAATTTTTCAGTCAGACTCTTGTCTTGTCAGAGAACATGCAACACTTCATCTGTTCGACGCTTTGAGCTTGATTCCGGTTTTGTCCGTTTAACCGAGGCAGATAGAAAGCTGATAAGAAACAATCGGAAAACCCGGTTAAACCAACCCCGAGTTCGTAAGTTGTCTTTGTTTATCCTAAATTATTGGGATTGTATTCTCACTCACTCGTAGCTAGTTTCTTTTAATTTTGCGTATATAAGCATCATCGCTTAATGCTTATGGAATCAAATAGAGATAAAAGTGCAGAGAGGTTTGTGTGTTTTTAAAGCTATTATAGATTTGGACCTCTAACAAAAGTCGGTTAATCACAAAATCTAACGCACGTTGAAATGCATTTAGTTTAGGGTGAATCGCTTTTCACCTACGAAACTGATCGGGACATTGTATTTTAATCTCATTATCCATATAGGACCATAGCTTTAATATAAGAGATTTATTTAAGTAGGACCAGTATATATAAAAGTGGAACCTAATAAAACAGAACTGCTAAAATAAAGTAACAAACACACAATCAAATGCATGATCTTTTTATGATCAAACCATCGAACCGATATCATATCCACAAAAAAAAAAAAAAAAAAAAAACCCGAAACAAAACCAAACTATAAATCGGATTGTCCACCTCTAAATAAAATTAGATTACCAAATTTTATGGAATCAAATAGAGAGAAAATTGCAGGAGATTTGTGTGTGTTTGATAGCTATTAGGCTGGGGACCTCTAACGAATGTCGTTTAATCACAAAATCCAAAACGCATTGAAATGCATTTAGTTCAGTGTGGTGTGGAGATTGCTTGTCAGTTGTCACCAACGACACAGATTCAGACATTTAGTGATTTTGAGTCGATTTGGTATACGTAAAATATGAAAACTATAGTCTAAATCACATAAATTTTGGTTAAGTTTTCTTTCAAAACAAAGTGAACCATATCAAACAAATCAAGGTAAGCTAAACAGGACTTAAATCAAACAATCGAACCATATCATATCCAAACTAGAAAATCCGAAACAAAACCAAATTATAAACCGGATTGTCCACCACCCCCTAACAAACATGATATTGCCGGTTTAAAAAAGAAATATCTCTATACCATGACACTTATAGCAGCAGCATGCATAAAAGGTCATTTTCTGAAAATTATTTTCCTATCTTTTTCAGACAAATAATCTAGTGAAAAACAAAAGCTAAAAAACACACGATAGTCACAAGGGGAAAGCTCATAACTTTGGGCCATTAAAAACCATCACAGAACCGCAGTCTTTACAAGACTAGTCAACCAAAAGCTCATAACTATGTGAAATGTTTTATACCAAAAAAAAAAAAAAAAACTCACAAAAAGGTTTTAAAATGTTAAAATTAAAGCGAGCTAACTGGCTAAGTAGTCGTTTTAATAACCCAAAACACAATGAGTTGGCAAATTTAATAAACATTTTCCGTTCTACTTCGACTTGACCCTCAACTATATGCCAGCCTTATATCTCACCCTTCATTTTTAAAAATCACACATTTACCCTTCAACCATAAAGATCTTTTTGTTTCTTCTGATTCCGTGAATGATTTATACCTTTTCTGCTATATATATACACCACACACACAGAGACGACTCAACAAATGTTCAGAAACAACAGAACAACAGCAGAACAAATCTAATACTAAAGAAAGAGAACACTTTTTTTCTTTTTCTTCTTCTCTCTCTCTCTCTCTGAATCATAAAAACACAGCCTTTAGGCAGATTACGTTTCTCTCTACACGTCCCGTTCATACGTGTTCATCAACAATGGCGTCTTCTTACACTTGTATCAAACCCACTTAACCCTTTCTCCCTTGTTTCAATCTCTTCCGATCTCTCATTTCACACAATACTCCTCCACCCTCGTCGAAAGTTTACGTTTTTATCCCTCCAAAAACCCGCCATGGAAGCTCAAGCACCAGTCAATGGCGGATCCGTACAGATCCGGACGGAGGACGCCTCACGAAAGCTTCCGAATTTCTTACAGAGCGTCAACATGAAATACGTCAAGCTCGGCTACCATTACCTCATCACCCATCTCTTCAAGCTCTGTTTAATCCCGTTAATGGCGGTCTCGATCACAGAGATCTCCCGATTAACACCAGACGATCTCTACCAGCTCTGGCTCCATCTCCAATACAATCTCGTCGCTTTCATCCTCCTCTCCGCGCTAGCCGTCTTCGGCTCCACCGTCTTCATCATGACCCGACCTAGATCCGTCTACCTCGTCGATTACTCCTGCTATCTCCCTCCGGCGAGCCTCCAAGTCAAATACGAGAAATTCATGCACCACTCGAAGCTAATCGAGAATTTCAGCGAGTCGTCTCTCGAGTTCCAGCGGAAGATTCTCGAGAGATCGGGTTTAGGGGAAGAGACTTACCTCCCGGAGGCTATGCATTGCATCCCTCCGCGTCCGACGATGGAGGCGGCGCGTGGGGAAGCAGAGCAGGTAATGTTCGGATGCCTCGACAAACTCTTCGAGAATACCAAAATCAACCCTAGGGATATAGGTGTGTTAGTTGTGAATTGCAGTTTGTTTAACCCAACTCCGTCTCTCTCCGCCATGATTGTGAACAAGTATAAGCTTAGAGGGAATGTGAAAAGTTTCAATCTTGGCGGGATGGGTTGTAGCGCCGGTGTGATCTCGATTGATTTGGCTAAAGATATGTTGCAAGTCCATAGGAACACTTACGCCGTTGTGGTGAGCACTGAGAACATTACTCAGAATTGGTACTTCGGGAACAAGAAGGCGATGCTGATTCCGAATTGCTTGTTCAGAGTCGGTGGGACGGCGATCTTGCTGTCGAACAAAGGGAGAGATCGGAGACGGTCCAAGTACAAGATGGTTCACACGGTGAGGACTCATAAAGGAGCTGATGAGAAGGCGTTCAACTGTGTGTATCAGGAACAGGACGAGAACGGGAAGACTGGTGTTTCCTTGTCGAAAGATCTCATGGCGATCGCTGGGGAGGCGTTGAAGGCGAACATCACGACGATGGGGCCTTTGGTGCTTCCGATAAGCGAGCAGATTCTGTTCTTTGCGACTCTGGTGGCGAAGAAGCTGTTCAATGCGAAGATGAAGCCTTACATTCCGGATTTCAAGCTTGCGTTTGATCATTTCTGTATCCATGCTGGTGGGAGAGCTGTGATTGATGAGCTTGAGAAGAACTTGCAGCTCTCGGAGAGGCACGTGGAGGCGTCGAGGATGACGTTGCATAGGTTTGGGAACACGTCTTCGAGCTCGATTTGGTATGAGCTGGCTTACATTGAGGGGAAAGGGAGGATGAAGAAAGGGAACAGAGTTTGGCAGATTGCTTTTGGGAGTGGGTTTAAGTGTAACAGTGCGGTTTGGGTGGCGCTGAACAATGTCAAGCCTTCGGTTAATAGTCCTTGGGATCATTGCATTGACCGATATCCGGTTAAGCTTGAGTACTGATTCATTCAATCAGCAAGAAAGAAACCATTGTTTTGGTATCAAACGTGGTTAGTCCTCTAGTCTACAGTCTACATCACTCTCTCTGCCTTGTTTATTGTCTTTTGTTACTTTTGTTTTCTTTCAGTTGTTCTTGTACTTTGAATGTGATGATGCTTGTTGGGTTTATTACTCTCTTTTTGGAACAAGAATCATAATTTGCATAGTTTTGAGTACCTTGTTAGGCTTCAAGAACTGAGCTAACACAGGAAATAACAAAAAAGAAGTTTGGTTTTTGGATTATTGTTTTGATAAATCATATTGAAATGGCAATCACATCTACTTTGAATCTTCATGGTCTACTTGAAATGCACTTGATGAACCTGACGAATCATAGAAGCCGCTTCATGATCTGGTGCGGTCACAATTCCGCAGGACAACAAAGATTCTTGATTTCTGCCGAACGCACCCATATAGCCTCCGGACTGAGTACACGCGTCACTGGTCTTTAAGGTTCTTAAGTCATACACAAGGAGATCACCAGAGTACTTGGGATCAAAGAACACGATGCAGTTCCCTTTCATGCCAGGAAGCTCTTTCGCCGAGTAACAGAGATTCCAGTCACCAAGAAACACGATTCGGTCTTCTAAGTCGATAACTCGAACCCATCTCTTCTGGTCTTTCTCCTCTTGGAGCCTGAACAATCTGAACCAGGCATGCTTATGTTCATGACAATATGCTCCTGGAGTGATTCTCTGCACCAGCAAGAGCTCGTCTCCCGAGATAACCAGCCTCTCATCAAATGTCTCGTGAGACTGCGTGACTTCTTGGATCTCACTTATCTCCAACGAGGGTTCGATAACGAAGACACGTCCACGTCCCTTCATATCAACAACGTAAAACTTGCCTTTGAATGAAACCATGTCTCGGTATCCATAGAACGGACACTCCATCTTAGTCCATGTCTTGTCAGAGCTTCTACACATCATTAGTTTCCCCAACACTCCAGCTACTACTACAAAGCCTTTACCATCTTCTTCTTGAAGAAACGCAACTCTCTTGGTATATCTCTCACGTCGTGTTCTATAGCGTCTTGTTGTTATAGCATTGAACTTTATCTATCATCAAGAACTTTATCTATATCAAGAACAAGAACCATATCAAGAACTTTATCTTGTTGTAAAACTTTTGAGAACTAACCTCGTAGTAATCACCCAAGGAGATGATTTGGGAGCTGAGAGTGTTGAGAGTTACTCCATATCTATACCTCCGAGTACCGTCCAAAGGTGACAACAACTTGAGTTTACCAGATTTGCTCTGGCTCATCCCTACCAACAAACAATCAGCACCAAATGGAGTCTGGAATCTCAGGAGGAAGACTTGAATCTTTTTGAGTCTGCAATGCGTCTCGTCGCCGCCTATGAACCGAGACTCGTGGTTGAAAAGAGGGAGAAGGAAATTAAATCCTATGGACCGGCTATAGCTCAGCGGAGGTAAAGCAGACCGCCATGAGCTGCAGACAGAGAGGAAGTGAACAATCTCAAAACATGTCTCAGAACAACGACCATTGATTAGTCCTAGCAAGTCTTTTGGAAGCAATGACCAGTCTGCCATGGTTTTAGATCCGGGGCAATACTTTACAACTTTAAAAGAGTTTAAGATCTATAAGAGAGGACGATGAAGAACAAGTCTTTGTTTATATTTTCTTCTCCCTTTCTTGCTTTTATTTGTTTAATCAGACCCACTCAAAGGTGGTGGTCTAGTGGTTGTATTAAAGGATTTGTTTTTTTTATTGGCCTTACGTGTTTGTTACGTTTTTATCTTGTTTTTGTGTTCTTTTAGGTTTTCAAGGATATTAACAAAATTCTACTTGAAGTTGAAGATGACAAACAGCAAAACCGATTATCCGATCCCAAACGTGATGCCTAATTGGTGATACATATAACAAACCGACCATTCCAAAATTTGTCTTGAGAAAGTAGAGAACTAGAGATCAACACTTGTTAACTTACATAGAAAAGTCTCCTAAAAACATTCTTAACTTAGAACAAGAAACAAACAAACTCCCCAAGTAGCAGCATATTGTTCTCTAGATAGATACTTATTTAAGATAGAAACTCTCTGCCCCTCTGACTTAGTCGATGGAAAGGCGTGGGACACAAAAGTCAACAAGCAGAAGTGTTAACTCTATGTCCTCAGAGAAAAACCCCCTGCTCAAAGCCACTTTGACAATGACAAACTGCTTCTTGTACCAAACCTTCACCGTTGCAATCGACTTTCCATAGATCTTCTCCACTGCAACTATGATCCCATCTCTAAGCCCCACGTACTTGGCTGGCTCACCTGACGGTCCACAATAAATTGCCTAACACAAAAAAAAAAAAAAAACAAAAACATTAGTAGATCATCAAACCATTGTCATACATCTCTCATTCTTTAACTTAAATTTAACAGCAACTCACCTCTTGTTGAAGCTCAATGTGTGGAGTGAACACATGCAGCTTTGCTCCCACCGCTTGATACTTCAACAACTCAAGCGCTTCATCCAAATACTCAGGCTCAACCACTTCTCCTTTCATGGAAACCAGATCAGGCTTGTAGGATGGTGGTGGCTTCGTGGCCGTAGATCCCAACCGTGGCCAGTCCTCTGCTTTCGGTATGCCGTTTTTCAGCGCAAAGTCGAGGCACTTGCTCACAGTGAGGCATTGATGACAAGCAATATTGTCAAGCAAGTAACGAGCTGAGTACTCAGTACGCACACTGTCCAGCTTCTTTGCGAGCCGTGCGTAGCTTATCAGCTCAGCGGCTACGACAGCAGCAGACTCAGAAGCATCTGCAAGATTTAGAACACAAATGGACAAATGAATCAAATGTGAAATCAAGTGTTGCCAGACTAGAGAAAGTATATTTCCAGAGTGATAAGTTAGTTACCGTGCTCGGGGTCATACTCAGACCCTGCGACTGAGCATGCGATTGTGAATTTGGGATCATAGGGAGGGAGTGCCATCTGGAATCAAGGTTCAACAACGTTTTATCAATCTCAGGAGAAGAAAATGTAAATAACATTTAAGAAGCCAATCAAAACTGATTTTTATTTTACAAGGTTTATGTTTCATCGAATCAATGGCAGTTGACGAAATTAGAGACCTTTGCTTCCAAAATGGCAAAACCAAACACATAAAAGAAGAGATGAATCAAAATCAGAGTCATAAAGCAAGAGGCCGAAACATGAAGCTGGACATTAATCGAACCAATGTGATAGCTTTCTTTACCAAAGAACATGTTAAACCCAAAAACGTAATCAAAAGTTCCAAGCAAAGTTGTTCACTAATCCCACTGGAAAAGGCAAGAAAAATCAGTAACGAAACTAAAGCAAGCTAAACATATGACAAATCCCAACTTAGAAACAAAGAAAAACACTTAAAGGTAACACCTTTCGCAACAAGGGAAGCTTACAAGCAGAATCAGTGACCAACCCAAAGCAACCTAAACAAATCCCAACTTAGAGACAAAAAAAACACACTAAAAGGTAACACCTTTTCGCAACAAGGGAAGCTCACAACTCACAAGCAGAATCAATGACCAAGCCTAAGCAAGCTAAAGGAATCCAAACTAAAGAAACAAAATGCGGAGTGACGAGAGAACCTCACCGGAGAAAGGGAGAGGAAACAAAGGCGGTGAGACTGAGACTGATTTGAAAGGAAAGAGCTTTAAGTTTTGTATTTTGATTGTATTGCCAAACGCTCAAAGAAGGGTTTTGAGGTTACAGAGAGAGTACTATTTATACAGAGACAATGTTCTACACTCTTCTGTAATACCCTAATGCCAGATGGCGCAATCCGGTTTCACTCTCCAGATAAGGACGACAAAGGCAGCAACGTTGTTTTGAAATCTTGACTGCATTTGTTCGTACGACAGACCATTGTTGAGCTGTTTTGCTCTTTCCTCTCCTTCTGCTTTTGACTTGACCGTTGTTGTTGTTCATCTTCATTATTGGGCTTACATTCCTTTAGGCCCATTTCAGCCTTTGTTTCTGTCCAAACGATAAGACGACGCCGTTTTTCTTCATTTGTTTCATGTAAAATAAGAATGTTGTCGAGTGAAATTTTGAATTTTAATAAATTTTTCTTCTTTTTTTTTTTGAACAACTTCTCATTAGAATAACTTAAATTGCAATTACAAGAGTAGAAAGCTGAGAACCCTTTGCCAAGGAGTAGAAGCAGCTTGATGCAGAAATGAAATACAAAGCAATAAAAGGATAGGTTATACAGTTTTGATCAAAGATAAAAACTAGAAGCTTCTTCAAAAGGGCTCCTATGATCGTTTTGAAAACAATCTTAAGTTCTTGTGCTGTTGAAAGCAAGCGAACAAGACGAATAGCTCGTGTTGAGCGTTTAGAGTCGATCTCCATAAAGGAGAGAAGCGAATTCAGAGATACACCGGTGAGTTGGTAATACTCTAGAACCGCGAAGAAGAGCTTGGAGATGCGCCTGATTAGCAATATTCCAGAACCCAAATCGGTAAGGACCGATGAAAACCCGGCTGATGGTCCGGTAGATGAGACATTGAATTGCATGATAACGTGTCGACCGCTACACAAACGCAGAAAAACGGTGAAGCTTGAGCGGGAGATGAGCGGAGCTCGGAGATTGCAGTGTTGCAACTCAACTCCGGGAAGGACATCGGAGAAATGGACGAACTTGGCCCATGGAAGCACGGCAGTGAAGGGATGTTGTGGACAGCCGCCACTGAGACATGAATGAGGGGAAAACGCGGAGTTGGATCTCGGCGGTGTCTCTCCAGAGTGAAACAAAGATACCACAGCGGAAGAGGTTTTGTCGCCATCAAGGGCCGACAGAGGAGAAGAAACGGTTCTTTGTGTTGTGACTGGAAATCCCGAGATGGTCAAGCTACTTCGGTCAGTTGGAGGAGGATTGTCGCCGGAGAATTGAAATTTGAAGCAAACATGGCAGCCGGCTACCTCTAACTCCATGCCTGAGAAAGTTAGAACTAGGACAAACTCTATCGACTTGTGCTTAGGATATGGCAGAGGAAGAGCGCATAAACTAGTCGGAGGCGGAGGGTTACTAAGAGCTTGAAGGTGAACGAGAGAAGAAACAACCGGCCAGAGATCCGGTGGATCTGGCGGTTCTGGTGGAGGATTCGGCTTGCACCCAGGCGGCGGCTCCGGTATGAGGGAAGAGCGAGACGAGCTTGTCCTCAAAAGCTCACCGGATCTCTTCCACACAGACATCGGAGACATCGGAGACGTTGAGCAGCCGAAAACCAGAAGACGAATCATAGATCTGGTCGGAGTCTTCTCATTCGACGGAAAGTAACAAAACTTCATCAGACACCAAACAGAAGTCCGGGAAAAAGAAGATGGAGCTCCGATTCAGGGAGAGAATCGGCGGTGATCCATCCCGGAATCAGAGCTAAGCGGCGGCTGAAAAGTTTGTCTCGTAAACCGTGCCTGGGAGAGAAGGGATAAATGATATTGTTATTGAACAAAAACTAGCGGTTTAAAAAATGTTTTACAGTGGCATTTTCTGTGTTATAATACCCTTTTTTAAAAATTCTTAAATTTTTCAAATTGATTGATTAGAACTACAAATTACAAAATGGTTTTACACAATCTTCTACACTTTTTAAATTGATTACAATAAATCAAAAGGAAAGATCAATATTCTCAAGAGTAATTTTGAGACAAGGCTAAAAGAAGTAGATTCACTTAACAAATCGTAGATGCTTGTTGATGGGTTTAGCATAGTCACAACTCCACAGGATACAAAAGATTCAAGATTTTCACCAAATGCGCCTAGCCTCTGCATTGGGCAAACGCTATACTTGTCCTTCTAGTTCTTAAAAAAGATCACTCGACCCTTCAAGTCATTACTGTGAACCCACTTTCTCATCATTCTTTCTCCACTCAGCCTAACCATGTCTACATACGTTCATCATCATGAGACTTTCGTTAGAAGACTTGTGAGATCCTCTAAATGAGCGGGATCTCGGTAACTTCCGAAAAAGGTTCTACGGCAAAGACTTGGCCTGGTCCACTTGAATCAACATTCAACAGCATAGCTAGAACTTTCCTTCAATAGCAACCAAGTTGATCACAAGATATGTTTTAATTTGAAAGAAAGTCTCGTCACAAGATCTTTAGCCATGTATATGTATGACTAAGTGGCAGAGTATCTATTTTTCATCCAATTCTGATTTTTTTCTTATTTATGAGAAAGTGATTAATTGCTTGATTGAATGGTTAGGATCCTTCATATCGTTTCCAATTACTGTAGGATATATATAGCAAAAGTAATACAGATTGCTATTCATTTGGATATAAAAATAATGTGATTCAGATTACTATAACTTTTTATGAGAAAATGATTCAATACTTGATTGGTTGAGATTTTAATTATGAATTTGCATTGTTTTCAAATACTGTAGGATATAGAAATAAACTAATGGAGATTGCTATTCATTTATAGTAGGATATAGAAATAAATTGATAAAGATTGTTATTCAAACAACAATAACAAAACGATTGTATTCAAGTCAAACCAGAAACATATATATGCAACTCGTATTTATCAAACAACAAAACGTTAGTTTTATTTCCGAATTCTAAATCTAAAGAACAAAAAGTTGTAAGAGAATGGCGCAAAAGGTGTGTATTATAATGATGATGACGGTAATGTTAGGATGTCATCTGCAGGCATGCAATGGAGTGGAAAACATATTAAAGGAAGACCCTCACACACCATCATCTCTCAAAACGTACGTAACTTACAGTCACATAACTTTATCTTCTTTAACTAATAAATCAAAAAAATCACTACAAGATCCAGAGATAAAGCTTAAAAACTATCGTAATAATTGGCCAGCCAAAATAATGTTATATGGTAAATATATCATATATACAAAACACTAGTGAATATACATATATATATATATATATATATATATATATATATATATATATATATGAAGTAATAATTTTTGGTTGTGTGCAGGATGGAAATAATAAGGCCAGCAGGAGTTGCAGTAAATACAGACATGTATTGCTACAAGTATTGTATACACAATTGTAAGAGTCCAAAAGAATGTGATAATTGTTCCCTAAAGTGCGATGACCCATATTGCTACAAGAATTGTATAGCGCATTGTCGCAGTACAGAAGAATGTAGTAAATGTTCCACAACTTGCCCGTAATGATCTATTTCGATGTACTGTATTCATGATATTATAGAAAAATAAAAATAAAAATTACTGATAGTACGGATTACATACAATTGAACCGTAGTTGGAAGACAAGATATATTTTGCTATACTGATTGTGCTAAGCATTCAGACAGAGAAGGGAGTTAAGAAGAGACGTGACTACGTGAGATATATCAGTCAATGTGGTAGAGAACCAATAAATGTTTGCCACGATTATACTGTGAAGTAAGAAAATACCAAAAAGTCAAATGATCAATCAGGATTGACCTACAAGAGAGAAATCAAGTTATAATCCAGAATAAACTTCAATATGGAACTTTTAAGGTCGAGTTTGGATAGGGCTAGGAGCCTAGGATCATGGAGATGAGATTCTTAGAAATGACTACATCGGAAAGGTTGAGTATAAATCGATTAGGGCGGTGAGCTAAGCTTTCAACATACTTGTTCTCCAAAGAAGTTACTTACCCTGTATTTTGTTTCCCTTACGTTTGTAATTACAAATAGAAATAATAAAAAACAATGTTTGATTAACAAGGAAATACAAGCGTTTAAAGATTATATTTTATGACTTTGGAGTGTTATTTGGGAATATCAAAATCTACGCTGTACAAGAGCAAAACCATATGAGCAAGAGAAAATATCAAAAGCTTCAAACTTCAATCTTAGATCTTGATCATGTTTATGGAAGAGTGTAAATGGAACTCCATCGAATAAACAGTTCCTTAAAATCTCATACAAACGCACATATGCATTTCCATGTGTCTGCATGCATGAGGCATACGACAAACATCTCTATAAATATTTGCATGTATAGAGAGCAAAAGCAGAACAATACGCCTCTATATCTTTTCTCCTTTCTTCTATCGTTCTTTCCAATGGCGAACATAAAGGTCTTCTACCATTACCTCATAAGCTTTTATAATATAACCTTGCTCCCTTATATGGCGGTTTTAGCCTATAAAGCATCAACCCTAAACCAAGAAGATATCCAAAACCTCTGGTTCCATTTTAATCTTAACCTTGTAACCCTATCCATTCTCTTTGTGATTCTCGTTTTCGGATTTGCACTCTACTTCGTTGGCCGACCTAAACCCGTTTACCTCGTTGACTACTCATGCCATCTACCTCCTCCACATCAAAAGGCAACAGCCCATATGATCGTAAATAGTATCAGCAAGACTCTTGAGGCGGATCGTTCACTCGCTGATGACTCGTCATTGGACTTCTTTGTTAAGGTTCTAGAACGTTCCGGTCTTGGAGACGAGACATGCATTCCCCAGGCCCTTCTGAATGTTCCGCCTAGTCAGACCATGACAGTTGCACGTGAGGAGACAGAACAAGTTATCTTCGACGCCATCGACAATCTCTTAGCCAACACCAAAGTCAACCCACGTGATATCGGTATAGTCATCGTGAACTCGGGTGTGTTTAACCCGACTCCTTCGCTCTCATCAATGGTTGTAAACAAGTACAAACTTAGGAGCAATATCAAAAGCTTCAATCTTGGGGGTATGGGTTGCAGCGCAAGCATCATCGCCATTGATCTTGCTAAGGACTTGTTGCAAGTTCATAAGAACACTTATGCTCTTGTGGTGAGCACAGAAAATCTCAGCCGCAACTTGTACATTGGTGATAACAGATCCATGCTTGTCAGCAACTGCTTGTTCCGTGTTGGAGGAGCCGCAATCTTGCTCTCTAACAAGTCAGGTGACCGAAGGCGTTCCAAGTACAACCTGGTTCACACGGTTCGGACACACACCGGAGCAGATGACAAGTCTTTTAAATGTGTGGTGCAAGAAGATGATGAGAGGGGTAAAACTGGAGTCTCATTGTCAAAAGATATAACGTCTGTTGCTGCGAGAACCATAAAAAAAAACATCGCCACTTTGGGTCCGTTGGTTCTTCCCGTGAGCCAAAAGCTTCTCTTTCTCATGACTTACATGCGCAAGAAATTCTTGGACGACAAGATTAAGCATTATGTCCCGGATTTCAAGCGTGCCATTGATCATTTCTGTATCCACCCGGGTGGAAGAGCTCTAATAGATGAGTTGGAGAAAGACTTGGGCCTATCGCCGATAGACGTTGAGCCATCAAGATCAACGTTGCATAGGTTTGGTAATACTTCTTCGAGCTCTATTTGGTACGAGTTGGCATATACGGAGGCCAAAGGTAGGATGATGAAAGGGAACAAAGCTTGGCAGATTGCCTTAGGGTCAGGATTTAAGTGTAACAGTGCTGTTTGGGTGGCTCTATGCAATGTTGAGCCTTCTGTTAATAGTCCTTGGGAACATTGCATTTCTAAATACCCTGTTAAGCTTGATCTTTGATTCTCTCATAGTTAATATATATATTAATCTCCTATATGCATGGTCGGTTATAGTCTTTGTATCAAAGCGCCGCTTGTTTCTATTAAGTTTTTTATGGATTGTGTATGCTTGTTCTTGTTCGTTAATATTAAAGTATTTTATTGGTGTTATTTTGTGTTGTGGACAAAGTTTTATTTTTGTTGATTTTAATGTTAAGAATTAGTGAGAGAAGTCTCTTCCCGGAGAGATTTGGAGACTGTTTCTCTGACAAAGCTCGCCACTTGGCGCAACCCGATTGGGTTATGTTTTTTTTTAATTAAATTGTTTTTTCTCGAAAATCATTTTTTTTTTTATTTAAAAAAAACATTTAAAGAGACTTATACAATCTCTCCCCTGCATATGCTCTTAGTTGCACTATATCTGCGAACATTTGCAAATTGATTACGTTACTTTTCTGAGTCCATCCTTGATTACGTTTCCGGAAGAGTGTTCAATTCCAAGATTCCGTAACATGTTATACAGACACTATGAGACACACATATTAACAGATAAAATATTTACATGCATGAGGATGTCCGTCTCTATAAATTTGTGCATGTGGAAAGAGCAAAAAGCAGAGAGCAAAATAACAAGTGAGATAGAAAGAGAGTACCTATTTTACATTTATTCTTTCTTCTTTGTCCTCACCTTACTCTCCAAATGGCTAATGTAAAGCTGCTTTACCATTACCTCGTAGCCCACTTTTTCAAGCTCTGCTTGCTCCCTTTAATGGCACTGGTAGCCACTAAAGCATCAAACCTCAACCAAGAAGATTTCCTGATTCTTTGGTTCCATCTTGAACACAACCTCCTAACCCTTGCCATTCTCTCTGTGGTTCTCGCTTTCGTGTCAGCCGTCTACTTGTTTACCCGACCTAAACCGGTTTACCTCGTTGACTACTCATGCCATCTACCTCCTCCGCATCAAAAGGTTACAGCACCAATGATTATAGATTGTATCAACAAGAATCTTGAAGCGGATCCGTCTTTAAAATCAACCTATGATGAGTCGTCAGTGGACTTCTTTTTAAAGATTCTAGAACGTTCCGGTCTTGGGGACGAGACTTACATCCCAGAGGACCTTCTCACTGTCCCACCTCGTCAGACCATGGCCGCTTCACGTAAGGAGACAGAACAAGTCATCTTCGACGCCATCGACAATCTCATGGCCAACACCAAAGTCAACCCACGTGATATCGGTATAGTCATCGTGAACTCGAGCACTTTTAACCCGACTCCTTCACTCTCAGCGATGGTGGTGAACAAGTACAAGCTTAGAAGCAACATTAAAAGCTTCAATCTTGGCGGAATGGGTTGCAGCGCAGGTGTTATAGCCATCGATCTTGCTAAGGACATGTTACAACTTCATAGGAACACTTATGCTCTTGTGGTGAGCACAGAGAATATGAGCCGCAACATGTACATTGGTGCTAACAAATCTATGCTTCTCTCCAACTGCTTGTTTCGTGTCGGAGGAGCCGCCATATTGCTCTCTAACAAGTCAGGAGACCGAAGACGTTCCAAGTACAAGCTGGTTCACACAGTTCGGACACACACCGGAGCAGATGACAAGTCTTTTAAATGTGTGGTGCAAGAAGATGATGAGAAGGGCAAAACGGGAGTCTCGTTGTCAAAAGATATAACGTCCGTTGCTGCGAGAACCATTACAAAAAATATCGCCACTTTGGGTCCGTTGGTTCTTCCCGTGAGCGAAAAGCTTCTCTTTCTCATGACTTACATGCGCAAGAAATTCTTGGACGACAAGATTAAGCATTATGTCCCGGATTTCAAGCGTGCCATTGATCATTTCTGTATCCACCCGGGTGGAAGAGCTCTAATCGATGAGCTGGAGAAAATGTTGGAGCTATCGCCGATAGACGTGGAGCCGTCGAGATCAACTTTGCACAGGTTTGGTAACACTTCTTCGAGCTCTATTTGGTATGAGTTGGCTTATACGGAGGCCAAAGGTAGGATGAAGAAAGGAAACAAAGCTTGGCAGATTGCTTTAGGGTCTGGGTTTAAGTGTAACAGTGCAGTTTGGGTGGCTCTACGCAATGTTGAGCCTTCCGTTAATAGCCCTTGGGAACACTGCATTGCCAAATACCCTGTTAAGCTTGATCTTTGATTCTCTCAGAGTTAATACAGGCTGATCTTCAACATGCATGATCGGTCCAAAATTTATGTATCAACCTCCATTTGTTTATCTTAATTTTCTTTCTATAAATTATGTTTGTTCTTGTTCGTTACGTTAGTAATAAAAAATTCCATTGGTGTTAATTTGTGTTGTGCATAGTCAAATTAAAGAAAGACAAAAATAAAATAAAATAAAAATGTAACAGTTTGTCCCTTGCTAAAATTAAATCCTCTAGCAAGTTTATGGTTTACCCAAAAAAAAAAATCAAATAATTTGCATGAAGTTGCATGGAGGATTCACGCTGGCAGAAATAGACATATCATTAGAAAAATCATTAAACGAGTTTGAAAACATATACTCGTTCTAATAACTCAAATAATTAATTCTAGGTTAATCATCTATTTTAAAATTAATCCCAATGTTAAACATCTGTGAATCGTAAGCTCCTGTTGTAATTCAACGAACTAGGAAGCATTAAACGAGTTTGATTAGTTTACAAACGAAAACCTATACACGACTCGTTTTCTTGCAGAGCAATCTAAAACATATAAAGAATCAATAAAAGACCAAAAATAATCGAAAACATATCTTAACTCGATAAAAGACTCAAAACAAACGTTAGCAATCGTTTGCAAATTAAGTTTCAGAACTAGTTTATTTACCAATTATTTTAGTCTAAAATACACCTCACAAAAGTATCTCCAAACACTCAACCACATAGACTAATTTTTACTCATTATTAATAGGAGAACTTCCTCCACACTTTAGATAGGTTTGAGATAACGAATCAATTAACGTGAGCTAACGTACGTGCCTGAAGTTACAGCCTTATCATGTGACAAATTTCAACGGCATATGCTTATAATTTTCTTTGATAATTCGTGAAATTTACTTCTCTCTCATGTGACCCTCATATTTCTCTACGTTTTGCAATAAGAATTCTTCCCCATCTCCATAAATTCCCAATAAATCAATAAAAGCGGAAATCCATTTAAATAGATTCATTTTTTTATTGTTAATGATAGTGTGTAATCTACTCTAAATCATGTTTTTAAAAGAGCAAAGCTTGGTACTAATTTTCCAACAAAACAAAAAACCCTAGAAAAAACAGAACATAGCAACATTCTGTTCCATCTTGTTCTTCTATTCTCAAAACCTTTCCGATGAAAAACGCAAAGCTGTTTTACCACTTTGTCATAACCAACTTCTTAAAGCTCTTGTGTGTCCCATTAATGGCCCTTATGGCCGTCAAGGCCCCAAATATAAACCGCATCAGCCTCCATTTGCAGAACAACCTTGTGACCACATCTTTAATCTCTATGGTTCTCCTTTACGGGTTAGTCCTCTACTTCTTAACCAGACGTAAACCCGTTTACCTCGTCGACTTCTCTTGCTACCTTCCACCACCGAATCTCAAGATTAGCATCGACGGGCTTATGGATAAGTTTAGGAAGATACAACAAACAAATGCGTCTTGGAGTAGCGTCTGTGATGATTCGTCTTCAGTTGATTTCTTGCACAAGATTCTCAATCGTTCGGGTCTTGGCGAGGAAACTTACATCCCGGAGGCTTTACACACCCTTCCACAGAGGCAAAACTTGAAGGGGGCGCGAGAGGAAACAGAGCAAGTGATCTTCGGAGCCATTGACAATCTTTTCAAGAACGTTAAAGTCAACCCTCGAGAGATTGGTATATTAATAGTGAACTCAAGCACTTTCAATCCAACACCTTCTTTATCCGCCATGGTCGTCAACAAGTACAAGCTTAGAAGCAACATCAAAAGCTTCAATCTTGGCGGTATGGGTTGTAGCGCCGGTGTCATCGCTATTGATCTTGCTAAGGATTTGTTACAACAACGTCGTAGTAACACTCTTGCTCTTGTGGTGAGCACTGAGAACATTACTCAGAACTTTTACACTGGTAATAACAAATCTATGTTGGTCTCAAACTGCTTGTTTCGGGTTGGTGGAGCTGCGGTTTTGCTCTCTAACAAATCTAGAGACAAGAGACGATCGAAGTACGAGCTTTTTCACACGGTGAGGACGCATACCGGAGCTGATGACATGTCATTTGGATGTGTAAAACAAGTAGATGATTTGAGTGGCAAGACCGGAGTCTTTTTGTCCAAGGAGCTAACCGTTGCAGCCGGGAAAGCGGTTAAGCGAAACATCGAAACTTTGGGTCCCATTGTTCTTCCCGTAAGCGAGAAGCTTCTGTTTCTTGCAACTTACGTCGCTAAGAAGGTTTTTAACCCAAAGATAAAGAATTACACACCAGATTTCAAGCTTGCCTTTGAGCATTTTTGTATCCATGCTGGTGGTAAAGGGCTGATCGATGAGCTTGAAAAGAGTTTGCAGCTTTCGGAGAAAGACGTAGAGCCATCAAGAATGACACTGCATAGATTTGGAAATACTTCTTCGAGCTCTATATGGTACGAGTTGGCTTATGTAGAGGCTAAAGGAAGGATGAAGAAAGGAGACAGAGTTTGGCAGCTTGCTTTAGGGTCTGGTTTTAAGTGTAATAGTGCGGTTTGGGTTGCCCTAAACCATGTTAAGCCTTCGGTTAACAATCCTTGGGAAGATTGTGTGGATAGGTATCCGGTTATGACGGATAAATGATTGATCAACGTTTTATCTTTTTTTTTTTTCTTTCATATGTATGGTTAATCCAACATTGTTTTATGTCCTTACTCCTTAATATGTTGCTTTGTTATTTACTTATTTACATTTTATTTTGAGTTTGTCATTTGAAGGGTTTTCTAATAAAAGTGAATAATAATATATGTGGACTATTAACTGTTTTATGGTACGTCCAAAGAACTCTTCTTTTTTAACTTGCTCTGTTTTCTTTTCCTCTCGCAGTTCAAGGACCCGGAGGTTAAATGTTGATTCGTAATAGTGCTAAAATGAATTATTCCGACACAACAATGAAACATTGTTTTTGTGTATAGGGCTAAAATATAGTTTAAACTGCATCGTTCGCTTTTACTACTCAACCTATATATTTTGGAGAGTGAGCAGAAATATCGTCGGCTTCCATGAGCATTGGGTTTACCATCATTTTCTATTGCTCCATCTATCTTTTAATGATTTCTTGATTTCATGCCCATTATTGTTGATGAACACTCTGTCCTTTCCCATTGGCCATATGCAATACAGTTGTATGTATGTATCATTATATTATTATACGTATAATCATGAACAACCACCCCAACATGTGCACCTTGATTTGGAGCTAAGTTCCTTTTTGAGTGGAGAAAACAACTACAATTTCTTAAACGAAAAAGTAAATGTTGGGTAATATACGTATATACTCAATTTTCTTTCACAAATTACTTTCTTAGTTCAAATAAACAAAGATAGGGTGCGTACGTATACATGCACTCATCGAGCTACACAACATGCGTAATAACAAAGTATATGCGTTTACTTGGATACACACACAAGGCCATAAAATATGCATGCATATGCATGTGTGCGTATATATGTGTTTTATGGAGAAATGGAACCCACAATTTTAGGTGAGTGATCTCACTATATATGTAGCAAGTGTACGTATGTATGTAATGATCTGACGATGGACAATAGCTTTCATTCTCTGTGGGCTTGGTCCAAGTTCAAAATAGCAAAAGGCATCCTAGCATAATTTTATATAGAAGGCATGATGTCCGAACTTGGAACAGTCACTCACGTCCAAAATTTATATACGCAGAAGTAAAATTTCAGCTGAAAACTTAAAATTTTCACAAGAATTTTGAGCATAAACAAATATTTCGCTGAACTTTGTTGTCAAAATGTAGTAGAACATACGTTAACTACCTCCTCCATCTTTCTTAAAACATTAACTATTTAGATCGAGATTATAATTTCCGTATTTTATTTTACAAAAGTCCAAAATTGTGTACTAAACTTTACTTGAAAGTTATAAACGCAAGCTTGAGTTATGAGTTATGACCATTTCCTCAATTTCCGTGAAGTTATCCTAAACAAACTCCCTTGAGTAGTTATGTCATGGGGAATTGTTGACGTCACGCTTCCAGAGGAGGTTCGAGTAAGCCACGTCACCTGTGCAGCGTCTAAACAACGAATCAGATTCAGCCACGTGTAATATCCATGCCAACTGAAATTGTAGTGGGCCCACAAATAATAATTTAAGTCCGTGAATAAAAAGATACGATATCATTGGTTTCAAGTTATTAATTTATTGACTTCCAAAATTGTAATCTTATGTTACCGTTTTGAATGAGAATCTCAGTGATCGCTAGTCATAAAAACTAAATAGAAATGGAAGAATAATGATTATTTCTATACACACTTCTCTCTTTCCAAAGTATCGAGACGAGCAAGGATATGGCGCAAGCGATCCTTCGATAAGGCAGCAATGGTTGAGATATATAGTGTTTGTCTATGCTATACACATTTAAACCTTTTAAAGTTCATAAATCATGCATAATTTTTAAGATTAAGTTAACAAACAGAAAACAAGTTGTGATAAAATCTTACTCTTAAAAAAATCGACATGAAATCCAATTTTTACCTTGAGAAATCCATCTTACTTTAAAAGAAAAAGAAAGAAAGAGTCAAGTGGTTTAGCAAGTGTGAAGGACATGCTCACGTGTTGGTCATGTCACACCGGGTCCTACATATATTACGGCCTCCTCTTCCCTTCTTAGCTAAGTACCATTCGTTTCTCTTTCTCTTTCTCTGCTCTGCTCCATCTCTTTACTTATACGAAGCCCTGACTCTTCTCCACTCAACTTTACACTGTTTCTCACTCTCTTTAGACAAACAAAAAAAGAAACGAAAAAGAATCACGATGAAGAGAGCTATAGCATCTGACAGTATCCTCTATCGTACTGATAAATCGGTGTTAGAGCGCCAAAGGGAATGTCTTAAGTACCACAACCAGCTTGACCAAGCCGGTGACAACTCTAATTTCGCTGCCTGCTTCTCCAACTCGATTGATGGGTCGATAGGTCCTGATCCAGGTTGGGAAAATGGGTGGTCTTGTTTCGGTTTGGGGTCTCTAGAGATGAACTACGGGACAGTGGCTGAGGATAAAGAAATACCTTCGAGTTCTTCGGAGACGTGGAGATCAGGAAACTTCAAGAAGAGGAAGCTTGAGAGTGTTAAGGTATTACAAATCATTAAAAAGTAAAATATATTTTTTAAGATTGGCTAGTGCAATTAATATGATTAGAAGGTGGCTAAAGACCTAAAGTGAGTCTCATCAACTTCTTAATTATTAAAAGGTAATATAAAAGGTATGTTTGTTTCTTGGTATTTAGGGGGTAGGTGCGTTGATGGAAGAAGATGGTAAACAAAATATGAATAAAAAGATGACTGGAGTGTTTAAAGAAGAGGAAGAGGATGATGAAGAGAGGTCGAAGATAACAGAGGAAAACATAGGAAGTACTACCAAAAGCATCACAAAGAAAAAGAAAGTCATAAAGGAACAACAAAATTCATCAAACGGTTCCTCCAAGAGTGATTATATTCATGTTAGAGCACGACGCGGCCAAGCCACTGACAGTCACAGCTTAGCAGAAAGAGTGAGATATTATAAGCGTTTTTTTTCTTTTCAATAATGTGTATGATTTCATGATATTTGAGACTTTTTGTAACTATTTAGTGAGAGTTAATTAATATATTGTGTAGGTGAGAAGAGAGAAGATCAGTGAAAGGATGAAGTTTCTTCAAGATTTGGTTCCTGGTTGCAACAAGATCACAGGCAAAGCTGGAATGCTTGATGAGATCATTAACTATGTCCAATCTCTTCAAAGTCAAATTGAGGTCTTAAAACACAAAACCAAAAATATTTTACTATACTCTTTTGATAGAAATGTTTAATGATTTTGAATTGGAAATCAGTTCTTGTCCATGAAACTAGCCGCTGTGGATCCGAGGCCGGACTTCGAGGCTGTAGACGACATTTTTGGCAAAGAGGTTAGCAAATCTTCATATTATGGCAATTTTTTGTAGTTTTTTTAAGATTTAACTATATAAGGAACTCTTATAGTCAAGTGTTTAATTACTTGATTTACAACATCCCTTACGTATTCAGATTATCACGGCTCAAACCACCGACTACAAGAATGTTGTGATGCCATCTCAAGAAATGGTTAACTCCGGTTATCTTCAGTTCAATCCAATACAACAAGTGGTTCAATCTTCAGAAGACGAGACAACTATCAACATGTTCGATTCTGATCCGGTAAACATGAAATAAAACTAGAATTATAATGCACTAAATACCATTAAATAAGCTATAATCTTCTATTCTTGTTCTATTTCATAAGTAAGAACTCTTATGTGTTTTATTATGGTGCAGAGTGGTGAAGCTCGTCCAATTTGGGATTCTGAAATGCAGAATCTTTATAGCAGTTTAGGGTTTGATCAAGGGTTGTCACCGTTACCAACGTATACCAATTGTCAACCACTTTCAGGTATGTATAATACATATAAGTGATTAAAGTTTGTTTTTAAAGTTCTCATCAACATTGAAACAATGATTAATTTATGTTTTTTTTTTTTTATTTGGCAGGCTCGATGAATACAAATAACCTAAAAATGGAGATGTAACATCTCAAAGTAAGAGAGAATCATGTTATCTGGATTCAGAGCCGTATTGTGGTCACTAATTACATTTTAATCAGTTATATCTTTCCCGACATTGTTGTACAAATGTAATTAGAGATCATGATATATTAATTAAACCCCATTTAAAAAAATGATATTTTTGGTTGAACAATATAATAACCAGACCTACTTGCCTTTGATGCTTGATTGAAGGGATTGTTCAACGGTAAAGTCATTTTTACGAAATTGAAAATATAAATGTATCTCGCTTGAAAATTAGGGTTTAAAGTTAAAAAAAATTTATATGGTCTTTGCCAAGTTCCTAAATGCTGGATCGGGAAAAATTTACAAAATGTTGGTTTTTCCAAGTGATCATGTCTTCCTAAAACGTTGGTTACTATTCCCTCCTTAGATTTGTAGAGAGTCAAATTCTTTACGTATTGACGCATTAGTGGATGACAAGTGTTCCTATATTTAAGGCATGCGTATACAAGTGTTCTTATACGTAAGGCATGGCTAAACAAGTGTTTTCATATGATGAAGGATGTTAGAAATCTCTCTTGACAGTGCACTCTCAAGAGACTACAAGAAAGCATATACTTATCTTAAGACTCGAATAGGGTCCATATAATCGAAATAGCAAAAGAGATAACTTATGTACATGTGAAGATGTGACGCCAATTTAGAGATGAAGACCTCTTTTTGTCTCTTTGATGATTTTCTTTTTGAAAAAAACAAGGGGATTTAAGAGATACGTGGGAACAACTTAGTGTATGTCGGTTTCCCAAGGAGAATAATCTTTAGAAGGGAAAGACAAAGAAAGTTGAAGCAAATAAACAACGTGCAAACAAATTATAAAAGAATCTTTTCTTTTTTTCGGCCAAACACGAAAAAGGTGACGGTCAATACTGAGTCGTGTATAATGGAAATAGACGCTGATACTAGCAAAAACACAAACAAAAACAAAAATTCAATGACGGGTCACATAAAGAAAGATCACGAAGAGACATGCAATTTTTTTTTTTTTTTACAAATCTAACGGTCTAAATGCTGAGCATTAGAAAACTTGGTGGAATAAGATAAAGAAAAACGAAAATGAAAGAAATTGGAATGATTGAATACAGTTGATAAACAACTTCATAATTTGCTACCAATTGAGTTTTTTTTTTTCAGCGAAATGGTTGAACTTTTTTCCATCGTGTTTACTAAAGATGATTATGATACAAATTGCCAAGATATATTATAAACTCTTGCTGAGATAATGCCAGCGTATGATATAGCATCCATAGATTTTCATTAGACGGATCATATAAGGTTTGTGTGACACATGAGAAGAAAAACTAAGTAACTGACAATAGCTTTCGATAATGCTTGCCTCTACATGAAAAATATATCTGAGGTGATATCTCTTCTAAAATATGTTCACTCTAAGAAGCAACAAAACAGTTTTCAAGAGTGTATTGACGAATCATCAGCCAAAATGTTCAGTCTGCGCGAGAGTTGTTGCTGCTCGAACCTTTCTTCCCTCCATACTTCTGTTTTCGAGAGCAAGCAATAACCAAAATCAACATGTGTTTCTCACCAAAAACGAGATAAGAACAGGATGAGAGCAACTTACTTGTTTTCCTAGACTGAAGGGGATGTATTTGTACTTCATCATGTGTGCGATTTGGCGTCTCATCGTCAGAAAAAACAGAACGATCCAGTAGAAGAGCAGTATAGGCCAGAAGACAGGTATGTCGAAGAAAGAAAAGAATGTCATCACAAACGCAATGAAGAAGGCCTTAGTCATAGAGTACCTTACAACAAATAAAAAGAAAAATCCAGTGAGATAGCATCACAAGTAACCTGAACAACATATATCTGATATTTTAAGAGGCTTAAGGTAATGTCACTTAGAGACTCGATTCCATTCACTAAAACATTCATTTTATAAAGCAATGTGTAAAGCAGGACAGACCATAAGGACACAGTAGTAGCATATATTCCGTGTATAACAATCTCTACCAGTCATTAGAGCTAAGCAGATACTAGCATATAAACAGAGCTCTGTGATGTAGAATTACCAGAACTTGAACTCTGGAAGTCGGCGGATGAATGGCCTGAACTCATCTGAGCCTTTCGTGGGCAGCGTTGGACCATCAGAGGAAGCATCGAGCTCGGGATCGACCAGTGGAGATAGAAACCCAATCAGAAGGTTCAGAACGTAAATCCCCAGGGCATAAGAAATGATATAGAACCCTTGAACATAGTAAACCCTCAAAAAGTATATCACTGCCATCACAAGAGTCCCGATCCACCTGTTAACTGCGTGAGGCGTAGTCTTGTCTAAGTAGTACTGATACAGCCTCCACGCCTCATTCGCTCGTTGCTGCACAGGCGATGATGCCATTGAATCTCCTCCAACTCCTTCCATTTACAGTGATATCAAGAATCTGCAAAACTCAACAAGATAGTCCCAATCAACTGAATGATTCAATAACATCCATACAATTACAATCATCTAATGGCAAGTCAAATAACGTTAGATCATTGTTTAGCAGTTTCACCTGGAATGAGATCATCCCTAACATTACACTTAGAAACTTTCACGAAGCGTTCTTATACAGACTTTTCCATCAAATTGAGCACGATTCAAAAGCTTGGACTCGAATAAGACCAAATCAGACTTGAATCGACTCACCGACACTAAATTTTCCAGTGAGATTGAAGAATCGATACTTGGAAACGGAAGATAAACTCAACATTCAGGAAGATCAGATCTCGAAATCAGGACTTTCGCGAAACCTATCTACGATTCTAGAATAGTCAAGAACAGCATAAACGGAACGAAGCGAAGGAATCTGAAATCCGAAACCAGCGGAAATGCTAAATAAACCCAGCGCATATGAAAGATTATGGATCGAATTGCGAGGAAGCGTGAAGACGACTTCAAGCAACAAAAACTGAATGTTGGGAAACGAGGAAACGGAGAGTGAGGGGAAAATGGATAGAGAAGAAGAGAAACTGACCTGTGGAGAGTTAAGGTTTCTTCGAGCGAAGGAGAATGCGATGATTCCTGGAAATGGAGTAAGAAGGGAAGCGAGCACAGATCTAACTGAAGAAGAAGAAGCGACGAAAGAAGAAATTAGGAAACGACTTAACGGAGTGATAAATCTGGAATTGATTTCAATGGCGTCACTATATTTTCATGAGTTTTCTACTTTCACCCCAGGCATTTAATAAGTTCAAAGTAAGGCCTTTCCTTTGGCCTGGTTATTCTTAGCTAGGCAATTCGGTTTACGGTACATGTTCTTCGGTTTAGCTACATTAGCTATTTTAACTAAACATTATATCTGTAAGTTGTTATATAAAATGATATCTTTGTCAAACTATAATATGACAACGAAATAGAGATTAAATTAGGTAAATATAAAATACTTAATGGTGCCAAAATGGAATGAAAACGTTAATATAATGGTTTTATATTTAATGGTGCCAACTTCACATTTGCACCAAAAAATATTTAATGGTGCCAAAACGTTAATAGAAAGGATAAACAGTGAGTCTACATAACACCTAATGCAAAGAACACTTGATTTAGTTTCGTTGACAAAGAATAACCCAATTGTGAGATGAAGAAAAGATATATAATACAAATTATTTTCAAACATAACCAAAGGTTATGCAACCTGAAGATCAATGATGATTAAAGCAAACAGAAAAGCTAATTCGACCTGGACTAAAATGATAAGTTTCATCATCTATGTGGCTGCAGAAGATTTGTCTTTTATTCATCACAGACCAGAGTACGTAATAGGTAGATTCATCAAATTCGTGATGTAGTTGTCAAACAAACAACAACACACTCTCAAAGATAAGCCACGAGAGAACTAGAAACAGTAATCCTTCCACCAACCAAGAAATATCGTGATAGCTTCCTAAAGCTACAACTAATGGGCCACACGAATCGACCCATACATAAACCAACCCATACATTTTTGTAAATTTTGCAACATAAAACTCGTATTTTGACCTAAAAGAATCGATCGAGAGTCGAAACGAGTACCATCCTCCTCTCGTTAGGTTTTAGAAAAGAAAGTGTTGAATGATGATGAAGAAGGCCGGTGATTCAATCTATCTCTTGGAATAACGAATAACGCAGATCTGATGTTTGATTTCTAGTTCGAGGAACTTAATTTCCCGATTTTGCGTTAGGTTTCATCAAGTCTTGAATTATCTGATACTAAAGGATAATTTACATTGTTAAAAAGTCACGTAATTGGCTAGATTTCCTTTTTTTTGGTTTTCAATCTAAAGTCGGTTTTGGGTTTTGGGTTTTTCTTATATAAGGATTGTATTTCATTGAGAATCAATATTATTCAGAAAACCTCTTCTTCTCTCTTTATCTATAGCTTCTTCGCTTGAGAGAAGCTTTTCTTCAACTGCTCTATGGCGACGCAGGAGTGTGCTGGTGCTGTAACAGCGGTGTTTTGGAACATCGATACGTGTCCCGTTCCCAAAGACTTTGATGCTCGTCGGGTGTTTCCGTGTATGAAACGTTATCTGGAGAAATTAGGTTACACGGGGCCTCTCACCATGAATGCATTTGGCACACTAAAAGACACCCGTGCTGATCACCTGGAAGCGGTCTCTTCCACTGGATTCCGTCTTTACATCGACCCCTACGGTCCGAGGAGCTTTTCGGGGCATCTGTTTCATTGGGCCAATGTAAGAAATCCACCTCCAGCAAATTTAATGGCCATTACTCATTCTACAGACGAAGATACTGCTATTAACTTGAGCATGCTACAATGCGAGGGATACAACATTATTAGGCCGTATCCACTTGGTCCCGCCTCCCCCACTCATGCATGGGAAAGCTTTCTTCTCGCAGAGTCGGCGGCACTTGAGAAGGAGAAGGATTACAGCATCGAAACGGTTGAATCTTCCTGGTTTTGCAAAGTATGCTATGACCTTCCCGGCCAAGGCTTTGACCGTTTCTCCAGGCATATTTTAAGTCGAAAACATGAAGATAATAAGTTGGATTGGACCACTACACAGGAGGATAAGAAAGCTGCTGAGAAAGCTGCTGAGAAAGCTGCTGAGAAAGCCGATGAGAAAGCCGATGACTTCCTCCCTTATGCTTGTTGCCGTTGTGATACTAGGAGCGTTCGAGTAAAGACAAGTGATTATCATTTGAAAAGGGCCATGCTTGCCTCTATGGCGACGCAGGAGTGTGCTGGTGCTGTAACTACAGTGTTTTGGAACATCGATACGTGTCGCGTTCCCCGAGGCTTTGATGCTCGTCAGGTGTTTCCGTGTATGAAACGGTATGTGGAGAAATTAGGTTACACGGGGCCTCTCACCATGTATGCATTTGGCGCACTAACAGACGTCTCTAATAGAGTCCTGGAAGCGGTCTCTTCCACTGGATTCCGTCTTTACATCGACCCCTACGGTCCGAGGAGCTTTTCGGGGCATCTGTTTCATTGGGCCAATGTAAGAAATCCACCTCCAGCAAATTTAATGGCCATTACTCATTCTACAGACCAAGACACTGCTATTAACTTGAGCATGCTACAATGCGAGGGATACAACATTATTAGGCCGTATCCACTTGGTCCCGCCTCCCCCACTCATGCATGGGAGAGCTTTCTTCGAGAAATCTTCCTTCTCGAAAAGCCCATCGATAACGATTGGCCCATTGTAACGGTTGATGAATCTTTCTGGGTTTGCAAAGTATGCTATGACCATCCCGGCAAAGGCTTTGACAGTTTCACCAGGCATATTTCTAGTCGAAAACATGCAGATAAAAGGTTGGATTGGACCACTACAGAGGAGGATAAGAAAGCTGATGAGAAAGCCGATGAGAAAGCCGATGAGAAAGCCGCGGATGAGAAAGCGGATGACTTCATCCCTTATGTTTGTAGCCGTTGTGATACTATGAGCGTTCAACTAAAGGCAAGTGATTCTCATTTGAAAAAGCGGTGAATGGTTTGTTCTACTTGTTAGCGGCTAATGTTGGGTTAGCTTAATACCTATGCATGCTTATTTTCAAGTCTTGTTTTATTTTGGTTTTCATGCAGCGCTCGGATTCTCATTGCGAAGATGACAAGTTTGTCTCACCAAGTGGGGAGCCTCGTGAGAAAAAGCGCCAACACAAGTATCCACCACCACATGTACACCCTCTTTGGGAAGAGGCCATGTTGCCTCGTGAGAAAAAGCGCCAACACAAGTATCCACCACAGGCAAGGCTTACCAAGAACCGGCACCTGTCTGTAAAACCAAGTTATTCTCATTCGAAAAAGGCCATTATTGGTTCACCAAGTGAGGAGCCTTCTGAGGAATATTTCGCATGGTGGTGAATGGTTTGTTCTACTTGTTAGCGGCTAATGTTGGGTTAGCTTAATACCTATGCATGCTTATTTTCAAGTCTTGTTTTATTTTGGTTTTCATGAACTGTATTTCTTAATTATGTGGTTTCAAATTATTACCAGTAATGTGGCAGCGATGTTTGCATCTACAGTAAAAAAACAAAAATGATGAAGTAAAACAGTTTTAAGTTTGAATGTTTGATAGTGCAGATGTCGGCTTATAGCTCTTTCTTCAATAGTAAAAGTAAAACAAAGAAACTAATAAATGCCAACACATTTCCGATGTAAACTCTCGCTATCAAACATTCAACTTATTATCTGCATATTTCTAGTCGAAACCCTATAAGTTGGATTGGATCTCTTCAGTGGAGGATGAGAAAGCGGATGACTTCATCCCTTATGTGTTGCCGTTGTGCTACTAGGAGCGTAAAAACAAAAATGATGAAGTAAAACAGTTTTTAGTGTGAATGTTTGATGGTGATGTCGGCTTATAGCTCGTTCTTCAATACTAAAAGTAAAACAAAGAAATGGAATTGATTTCAAATTTTCAATGGCGTCACTATATTTTCATGAGTTTTCTACTTTCATACCCCAGATATTTAATAAGTTCAAAGTAAGGCTTTTCCTTTGGCCCGGTTAAATTGCAGAAATAGCAGCTATTTAACCATTTTAAATAAAGACATTATCTTCTTTTACAATAAGATTGTGTATATACGCAAGTTGTAATATAAAATGATGTCTTTGTCAAACTATAATATAAAAACGTTTTATAAAGAAAGATATTTAACTTTATGGGAAAGAAGATATTTACAAGCTGACATACATTACAAAATAATATCTAGATATATGTACAGTAAATTATTCTTGATATCATTGTACCCATTTGCATTAGACATGGCAGGAAAAGGAACACGTCATCTTTCGAATTAAAATAATTCTTGAATTTATTAAAGAATTCGACAATAATTGTAATTCGTCGATTGATCTACGAAATACGAGGTTTCTTTTTAACACATTCTTGCAGAATGGATTTGGAGATTTAAAAGAGTTTCTCCTCCTCTTTTAGACCAAAAAGGCCACACAGGCACACACCTTCTCTCTCGTTTTCTTCTGAATGTTTTTCTTTTATTCATCGAGAAGAAGACAGTACCGATAAGTTTTTATTTTCGTTTCTTTCTTGGAAGAATAAAATTGTTTTAAAAATAATTATCGAAATTCATCTTTTTTCGTTCTTTGGACAGTGTACCTCCACGTATTCGTCTCTGGTAATAATAATCTTCTCCATCTCAAATCTCTCCAATTTTCGTTAATTTATTTTTTGTGGTGATGAATTATGAATCTGATGCTAAGCTAGCTGTTCATCGATTGAATCGATTTGTATTCCTGTGCACATCAAATGTATTTACGACTTACCAGTGATTTATTTGGGGTCTGTGTGTTGCTGTAAGTGAAATCTATCGAAATTGCTAGTCTTTTTTGGAAAATTGGATTTGGTTTTGGTTTATCTCTGCTGAATTTCTTGTTTATTTCAATTTTGAGAAAGTCGGTGAAGAAACTGATGAGAATTCACTGTAATTGTCCTCTTGTTTGATGAAATTTGGATCAAAATGTAAATATTTGGGTGAAATCTGAAATCTTGATGAGAAAATGATATTACTTTTACAGGTGATTCTTGATTTGATTCCAGAGAAGATCTGTTGGTGCAATGTCTGAAGAAGTTATGGTTTTGGGTGAAGTAAACAAAGGAATCAACAAGACTTCATCAGTGCAAGATTATGAGTCTTCTTGGTTAGGTCGTTGGACTCAGTTAAGTAACGAAGTGAAGTTTCATGATCAGAGCAATGGTGGTGACTCCAAGAACTTGATTAGCTCTGAAGATTATGTAAAACAGAGAAACAAATCTGGCGAAGAAGGCGTCGAGGTCACGCCATTTCCTATGTTCAAGGTCTCTCAGAAGAGAGACAGTGCCACAAAGCTTCAAGCTTACCCTGTTATGGAGACTAAAGACGACGTGGGTTCGAGCTCGAAAGCTATAGCTAATCGAATGCCGTGGATGTATGCGCAAGGAGAGAAAGAGAAACATTTCCCAGCTCAAGAAAAGACTACACAGAACCTGCTTGAGTTGATAAGACCGGTGAGGATTTATGCAACGGTTGATTCGGTTAGAGAGATCAACTTGCCGGAAGAAGATGGTCTGAAGGGCTCAACAGTTTCCATGAAGCTGAAAGGGAAGATCTTTGGTGGATATCTTGATCTGTTTCCTAATGTTGATCACCAACGTAAAGGAGGAGTAAAGCTGCAATCTCTAGACAGCTCAAAGAACGAATCATCTGCTGAGACTGATATCTTGGAAATGGATAGACTTCAGACTATACATCTTTCAGGTACATTGAAAACCTTAAGCTTCCTTTCATTAGCTTCTTTGCTCTGTTCTATTCTCATAGTTTTCTGCTTCTCTTTCTTCTTAGCAGCCACAGGCTCCATTTCTTCATCATCAACTAAGGTATTGCAGGGGAAAGGAAGAACAGGAGATGCATCTGTTCGCAGGGCTGAGATACCGGACATGAATGAAGAGCCGCCTCTGGTTCTAGATAGAGAGAATTCAGTTGATGTGCATCAGGGAGAAACAAGCAACTCAGCTACTCAGAGTATGAACGTGGACAACTTTCTCTCAAGAGACTGCAAACGTGTGCGGTTGGAACAAGAACCGGAGCCAAACAGTAGTAGGTGGGTCAAGCGTCTGAAGACAAACGCATCGGACTGCAGTGGACACGATGAAACCAAGAGCCTGATGAAGACTGAAGAAGCATCATTGGGACAGAAGGGGAGCAACAACTTGTTCCTTGAGATTTTGAAGTCCGGAATCAACAATCTCCAACCAAGAAACCAAGAGACCACAACGTCACAAATCAAGAATCTGAAACAGGGAGGAGGAGAAGACATTACACTCCTGCATCCATGGATCCAGAGATGGTGCAAGAAGAAAGCAACATCGACAGATCAAGGAGAAGGGCAAGAAGTTAGGTTTGAGCCAGAGAACCAAAAGGAGACTGAGAGGAAGCAGTATCCGAGTATTGCAGCCATGGCGCTGATGGGGAAGGCTCTGAGCGGTTTAAACCCCTACGGTCTTAGAAAGACAGAGTCTCTCATGGTCTGGAATGCTCGTGATCTAAGGTAGGAAAAGCAGAATCATCATCCTGATCCTTCCTTGCTTATCATTACAGCTTAGAGACAAGAACATCAGACAGAAGTTGATAGCAGGGTTGTTGTAAGATTTTGACAGGTTCTACTGAAAGTGTCGGTCTGACTATTCTTATAATCGTTTCAGTAATGTATATGTACTTTTGTTTGAATAACTTGTTTGCATCATAAATCTCGTTTGGTAATCGTTACAGTGAGTCAAAACTTGAGAGATACATGGGGACAAAAGAGTTAAAACAATGAAAGAAAACTTAGTTGTGGGTAGGTCTAGTGTAAATCTGCTGGCTAGAGTTGAAACCATCCTGATAGTTCCTTTAGCCATCAAATCTCTGATTGCCTTCCTAGCAAGCGATTAATTGATGTACATGACCACACACATGTCATCAAGTGAGAAAAAGTAAATTATGACAAACCCAATACAGCATCGTTATGCAAACTTGCGTATTAAATCAGAACATTCGGTCATATATAAGCCATAGTATATACCATAGTTTACCAATAAACTACTTGAGCACGTTAACAACTCTCTTTAGTACAATAGGAAATGTATAGCATCGTACTAAAGATTGGTGGTATCTAACACTTTGTGCAGATCAAATCATTAATTATATCATCATATACTTTTAAGATTTATCAAACCGATGCTAAAAAACTAGCCAAATCCATTGAGTTAAAACTAAACATAGTCAGAATGTAACAAGAGGATAAAGAGGACTAACTGAGTAAAAAAATAAAGATAACATGCTCTCGTTTACGAAAACTTCTTAGAGGCACTTGTTGATCTTGTGGGCCAAATTGTGTCTCTTATTTTTCTTGTTGAAAAGTAATTTAAAAAATAGTTACTGATTTATTTCTATAATAAAATTAGTGGATTATTTGCGTTTTGCACAAAATTTGTATTATTCGCGTTTGGCATATAAGCCAAATCAAAGAGAACTAAACACTCATTTAATCCTAGCCAGTCCAGGATCTCCCCGCGTTTTTGCGAGCTTTACCATATAACCTAAACTGGTTAGAGTTAAACCGTCTTGACAGTACCAATGAATGTTGCTAGTTTGTATTCGATCAGAATACACATTCGCCACCACACCACAATTTTTTTTCAAAAGAGGGATGAGCTGCATGAGAGGCAGATGCATTCACGGAAGCAATGAACGGTGGAGCAAGGACAGAAATGGAGAAACTCAAGGAAGAAATCGTCAATTCCCAGGTACTATCTCTATGTGAGTGTGCTGCATAATTCTTCATTTTGCTTAGATAGAGATCCCGTAGACATTATAGTCATCTGAGGAACCTCTAGTTGATCCTCTCTCCTGCCTCTAAAAGCTCCTCAGATCCAACTCCCTTCCCGTTCTTTTCTCTTCTGCCGCTTTGATCACTTTCTTTCTTCAAAACCTTAGTGAACTCTGAATCTGAAACTGAAACACTTTTGATATCTTTCAACTCTTCGATTGCACAAGCTTTGTATGCTGTGAATCTGTTTTCAGGGATTTCATAAAATTGCATTTTGTGCAGGAGCGTCGTGTTAAAGCAGAGTTCACGAATCTGGAAGCTCGGATTAAACAGTTGCAAGATGATATTGCTGCAAAGAAAGTGGAGGACAGGTATGTACTCCGATTCTTACATCTGTTTTGTCCAAGCAAAAGCAAAGCTAACAAAAAGTCCTTTGAAATTGATGATATACACAAGCTTGAGCAGGTATGGTGTGACTCTTTTCTTTCTCTTTTACATACTTTTTTTTTAACTGAAAATAATGATTTGTGTTGCTTTTTTTCAGAGTATTGTCGAAGTGCCTAGTGAGAGTATGTTTTTTTCCTTAACTCATTCATTCATTTTACAGTTGTGAATAAGAAAACAGAAGATGTAATGTATATGTTTTGGCTTTTTTTACGAGTTTCATCAATTGAGAGAGGAGTTCGAAGGAACCAAGTTTACGGGAGTGAAATACGCTATATTGACTCTCGCAGCAGCTCCCACTTGGCGCGTTCTTTGTGATGTGGTAGAGACACTTGTCTTCTGCTTTTAGAGGTGAGCTTCTCTTGTTGTTTTGTTATCGCAGCTTTTTCTACTCTCTCTTCTGATTGTCTTCTGGATTTGATCAACTCATGTTAAACCAAACAAGAGATTGGTGCTCTGAAATAATGTCTGAAAAGCTTAGCCAAACATTTAGTGTCTCTTTCCAATGCACAAACGATGCACAAACTGCTCACTCTTCCATAGTGTCTGTATTGTTGACTTTTGTTTCTCTGACATTGACTGCTAAGTGTGTCTGGTCATAGAGTTTTTCGTTGGTTTTTTTCAGCCACTGCTAACCAAACTAGAAATGGGCAATTGCTATTAAAAAGCGTATGGCCTAATAAAATTGAATGGTATTGAATATTCATCACTTTTGGTTTATTTATTAGTTGATTACCCTAAATTCTACTTGGCCTTGCCAATCACTTGAAAAACTGAATACAATAGTTTTTAAAGTGTACGGAAGGGATTGATATTCACAACAAATAAAATTTGTGTATGTTGACGACACGTATGGTAGAGTTTGTGCGTATCTCAAACTAGTTTTCGTTAGTATTCTGTCAATTCTGAAACAACCATAGGATTCCTTGTTGAATACATACATTGTTGGAAAATATGATTGGGCTGTGAACTGACTTACAACTTGTTTCGAATCAGTTGTTGGTGTTGAATTTATTTAACTTGTTTCAAATCAGTTGTTGGTGTTGAATTTATTGAACTTGTTTTTAAGTAGTTTAGATGGAATTAAATTTTCTAACTTGCTTAACATAGTTGTCGTAAATCTGCAACTCCTCTTAGTAAATTTAGCATTAGGATGTGCATGGGCAACTAACATCACCGTAAGTAACTCTAGTATGCTTTTGACTTTTTGGTATCTACTCTATGGGTTTCCAAGTGTTGAATCGTACATTGTTCGGTTAATAATGGTACTATGATTTGATGAAAACAACCGGCCGTTCTAAAAACTTTTTCTTCTATGTGAAACAAAACTTGCGGGTACTAGCCTATTTATATTAGAAAAGTAAAAGGATGCAGAGATGTTGAGAACAACAAAATGAAAAACAGAAATTATAAATAACTAGGAGTAGATAATTAACTCATAAACGTTAATTTGTCATATAAAAGAAACGAATATCTAACCGAACAATTTAAACCATAAGGGCTTAAGGCTTAAGCCTGAGAATATATATTTTAAATGAACTTTTGCACGTCAAAGAACACATCGTATGTTACCTTAAAATATTGTCTCGGTTTATTTGAAAAGCGAATTTTCCGAGGACGACGATAAACAAAAGGAAAGCCACCCTTGGCTTCCTCGGTTCGCATCTTCTCCACCTCCGCTCGAGTTACTTCTACCCGGTTAGAAAGACTCTTCTGTGATGAGAAAAACAAAGAAAGACAAGTGTGAACTAAAACTGAACACGTATAAATGTCGCATTGATATACTGATCAACATTGTAATTGGGAAAATTGTGTTTGAGATGATAAAACAAGCAGAGCACAGACTCGGAAGGTTTTCTTAAAAGTATCAAAAATGCGTTGTTACCCTAGCTAGTTTCCATCAGTTGGATTATGTATGGTGAAGTGTCCTCTTCACGGGTTTTCATTTGTAACGAGGAGAAAAGTAAGGGAATAATGAGAGATTATAAAACGCAGCACTATAAATTCTTTTCTTTTTTATTAACAAGATTTGAATCATTAGTGAAATCACAAATTTGGCGGTACGGGAATGGACGACGATGATCAATAAGGCCGTAAGAGGAGCCGACACCTCGAGAAGATTTAGAGACGGAAATCGCAGACCGAACCCCTAACAGAGCCATGCGCTTGGACAACATCATCGCTCACACGTATGTATACTGTCTTCTCGGAGATCGGAAATCAATAACAACAAAAATAAGAATTGAAAAAATAAATCGAGAGAATGAGAGAGACAGTTTGACGCACATCGAATCAGTTATTGATGAGTTCACGAACCGGAAAGGATGCGCCGGCTTGTGAAGCTTGGAGTAGGAGGTTTCTGCCTTCTTGTCGTGAGCTTAGCGTAAAAGTGATCGGAGACCGAATTTGGGAATCGGAGAGATGATTTGACAAGGTAGACACCTAGACGACGACGGTTTAGGGTTTTTTGAGTTAAAAATATAGTATTTCTCAGTTTTTTTTTTTTTTTTTTTTTTTTTAAGTCTTAAGATTCTACTTTATATTTATGAGATGAGATGTGTCATTAGGGTTTGATTTCTCACCGTAATCCTAAACCAGGGCTACTCCACCTTTTACCATTCCTATATTTTTAACACCCAATCTTTACTTACTTGCCCGACAAGAAACATTGGGGGAGTCGATCCAATTCAGAAACCTAAGATGTCGACAATTGTCAAGCATTTGAGCAGAAGAAGGTTTTGTACGAAGACTATACCCATTGTCGACACTCTAGTCATGGTGAGGGCACTTGAGGAGAAGAAGTTCCCTTCAGAACAAGCAGAAGCACTCACAGAAACACTCAGTTGTGGACTGAAGACAGGCATGGAGAGAATCAAGGAGGAACTTGTCAAATCGCAGGTACAATACTCTCTGTAAACATTATAGTCATCTCAGGAACGTCTTCCCCTAAAAGCTCCTCGAGATCCACCTCTTAGACATTATAGTCATCTCAGGAACCTCCTCTTTTCTCTTCTGCGACTTTGATCGCTTTCTTCTTCTTAACCTTCAGCTCTTCGATTGCACACACTGAGCATGACTAAGACTAGTTAAAATCAGAAACATATCAATGATTCGATGTTGGGATTTATTTCTACAAGTCATCTACAGTTTTATTTGATTTTCTGCAGGAGAGTCTAGTTGCAAAAGGTTTGGCTAAATTTAGAGACGAGATTCAAAAGATGCAAACTGAGATTGGTGCGATGCAAGTGGAAACGAGGTATTTGACTGATTTTTTTTTACTTTGGTTTTGTCGGAAGGCTTGAAGCAAAACCAACACTGTTTTTTTATGAAATTGAAACAGGCGTAAGCATAATGAAGGCATACACAAACTTGAGCAGGTATGGCTCTTTCCTTCTTCTTCTTTTTTTTTAACTACTTTTTATTGGCCAGAGAAGAATGATTTATGTTGCTGTTTCAGATGGTTATCGAAATTCCATCTGATGCTATGAAAGTAAGTTTTTTTTTTTCTCATTTACTCATTCATATGTTGTACAATTGTGAATCAGATACAGAAGAAGTAATATATATTTATGTTTTGGCTGTTTTCAGGAGTTTCAACAGTTGAAAGCGGATTTCGAAGCAACCAAGTACATCGGAGTTAATTATGCTATTATCACTCTCGCCGTCACTGCGGCTACTGGACTTGGCCTTTTTTGTCTGATGTGGTAGAGACACCCATCAAATTTTAGAGGTGAGTTTCTCTTCTATCTCTTATGATCTTAGTTATTTTGTCAACCCAACTTTCTTATGGGTTTTGCTTTGAAGGTTTTGTAGTTTCTGAAACATTGTAGTTTTGTAGGTTTTGCTTTGAAGGTTTAGATTTATTATGTTGTTGTGGTGTATCAACAGTTTACTTGACGGTTCTTGTTTGAGTTTACTGCAAAGCCTTGTTTTGTTCATAACATGTCACTATAGCATTAAACGGATGATTGTCTTTTTGATTCCATCTTCTTTAGGTTAGCATCTCTGTTTTTAATGCAGAATCTGCTCACTCTTTCTTAATGTTTGTATCGGTGACTTGTGACATTGCTTGTTTTGCTGGAAATCTTGAGTATTCACTTGCTTCTTTTACTTCTTGTAGGTAGCTGCTTTTGGTTCGACTAGGAAAATAGGAGCGAAAGCTGATACTTACTTCTCTCTTCGCCTTCCTCTTTAATCTTTAAGCAGATCTTTTTAGACTCAAAATCTGGAATTTGGTTTACTCTTTGAGATCATCAGATTTTTCTGTTTGTTGTACTTTAATTTAATCTGTCATTTGTCTGAATGATTACAAATGGTTGGTAATATTATTAAAATTTAACAAACTTTTTTTTTCCTTCTCTCCTAAAATCCAAGGATTATAAATTTTGAATTATTTACTTGGTTAAAGTCCGCGCTATGCGCGGGTAGAGTTGGAAATGCATTGGACTTTGTAAATTTATTTTCATTGTCATGTTAGGGCCTTTTAACATTTATGTTTTTATTTTCGGTAATACTACGGTTGGTAATATGGTATGAAGTTATATACGAAGGGAATAAATTCCTCTTTTTAATTTGTAATAATGCATTGCAAGAAGCCAAGAGGGATTGTATACAAATATTGACTCCACTACAAAAAAAAACTGTATAGCTTGACCAAATAATAATCTACCAAGAGTACGATTTAGCTACCAGAGAGAAATTATTAGTGAGTTAAACATAGCAAACAAACATAAGATCTACGCTACAGCCGAAAACAGAATGTGCTTGCAAGTAAAACCACAAAACCACAAATCAAAATACATAAAAAGATAAACTCTGGTGAATCAAATTATAAACCTTTTCCTCTGTGACGCCCTTCCTCAGAAGGAAACCAAGAGAAACATGTTTTGGGTGCTCAGACTTCCTGCGAGACATGCATTCTTCTCTTTCTAACCTGAATATGAAATTTAAAAACCCATTAGAGGAAGAACACAAAAGGCTCTAAATTCACACTCAAACACAGGATTCTAATGTCATTACAGAGATAAACAAAAAATTATAATTTGATTCCATTTCCTGTTGAAACTTAATTCCCTACATGAATTCTGTAGTTTAAATTTTGCTTGACCTTACAAATCATTTATTTGAACACTGAATACAATAGTTTTTCAAGTTTACGGAAGTATATGCGCAACAAATTACTATTGTATCTAAATGGTCTCCTTATGGACGACACTCATGTATGGTAAAGTATGATAAAATATTCGTTTACTTTGGTATTGCTCATTAATCAAACTTGCTTTTAAACGATGTAGAGATATACATTGTTGGGAAATATGATTGGGCTGTCAAGTAAATTACAAGTTGTTTCGAATCAGTTGTTGGACTTGAATGTATTGAACTTGTTTATAGGAATTAAAATTTTCGACGTAATTGTTGTAAATCATGGACTCCTCGATCTAAAGTTAATTTAGCATTAGGATGTGCATGGGCAGCTAACATCACCGTTAGTTAGTCTAGGATGTTTTGACTTTTGGTATCTACTCTATGGATTTCAAAGTGTTGAATTTTAATAGATTTATTCCAACTTCAAGAATGATAATTAATACGTTTATCATTTTTTCGATTAAGAAAGTTACTATGATTTGATGAAAAGAACTGGCCGTTCTAAGAACTTATACTTCAAAGACAATGCAATTTTCTTTAAATAAAGATAAAACTAGGAGTAAACTCATAAAACGTTCATTTGTCATATAAAAGAAACGAATATCTAAGGGAACAATTTTTATAAATTTATCCCCAAATGAGAGATCAAATGAGATGGGAAACCTGAGCATTGCGAATCAGTTACCAGAGACAGAGTCCAACAAACAGATGAAAAGGAGAACTGGCACCATGAGAGCTATAGGTGTGCCAAATATGATGATGTCAGTCTGTGTATCTCTTAGAGAAGCTGAAAGCGAACGCATTTCCTGAAACGCCAAAACATATGATGCCTTTGGGTCTTCCTAAGTTTCAAGTTAAAAGAGTATAAAAAGAAGCAACTGTGTAATGGAAAAATCTATACCTTGATTATCATGTTGTCGAGGTCATTCATTCTCTGAAACACCAATTAACACATATTATGGGTTTGATTGGTATATTAACTAAATAGTAACAGAATAACGGTTGAATAACAAAGTAGCTAGGGCAACTCAAAAACTCAAAATGCCAAAAACTACTAGTAGTATTTATTTATTAGATGATTAACCTTTTTTGTTGCTGTTGTCCGTCTAAAGCCAGTTATAAATTTAAAACATACGTGATAGATTGGAAAATGAAAATAGCTTGGTGGGGATTAAAGATTAACATATAAAATTTTCTGAGTAAAGGAAAAAAAAATAATACCTTTTTAAAACTAATAAATGATGCAGACCTGTTTCAAGTGAAAGGTCTTAGTTACTGATTAGCAAGATCGTGAGAAGGTGTGTGACCATATAGAATTAAAAAGCTGGGGTTACGTACTTCATCAGCTGTAAGCGCATCTCCCGCAGCTCCTCTAGCTCGGCTAAAAGCTTCCTATTCTTCTCCAACTCGGCATAAAAAGTTTCAAAACCGGGGAAGCGACGGGCACGGTCCTTGAGGGAAAAAGAAGAAGAAAAGATAAACAAGGGCAGACAAGGGTTTACATTCAAGATGATATACAGTAAATAAAAAATGAAAAAGAAATGCAATCCTAATTGGGACAACCAACATTGTTGTAACTGGGACAACTCTCGCAAGGTTTTAAGAAAATATCAACAACATTGTTACCAAAGGCTGAGAATATATAATATATTTTAAATGAACGTTTGCACATCCAAGCACATGACACATTGTATGTTACCTGAGAATCCTCAAACCGATTTGAAAAGCAAACTGGAGGACTATAAACAAAAGGAAAGCCAGCCTTGGCTTGCTCGACTCGCATCGTCTCAACCTCGGCTCGATTTCTTTCTACCCATGTACGAAGACTATCCCCTGTAATGAGAAGTAGTAAAAAAAAAAAGCATTCCTCAGTATGAACACTTCGCAGTAATATCCTAACCAACATTGTAATTGGAACAATTGTGTTTGAGATGATAAAACAAGCAAAGCACAAACTCGGAAGGTTTTCTCAAAGATATCAAAAATGCATTTGTTACCCCATATTCCATCAGTTGGCTAACGCGTGGTGCAAGGTAGTCTTCAAGAGTTTCCATCTGCAGCGAGGAAGGGAATGAGAGATTGTAAAACGCAGCACTAGAAGTTTATCTTATATATACGTATAAGGTTTGAATCTTACCTGAGAATTACTTGGCGGACTTGAATCTTTAGTGAAATCAGAAATCTGGCGGTACGGGAATAGACGACGACGATCAATAAGGCCGTAAGAGGAGCCGACACCTCGAGAAGATTTAGAGACAGAAATCGCAGACCGAACCCCTAACAGAGCCAGGCGCTTGGACAACATCATCGCTTGCTTACACGTAAATTGTCTTCACGGAGATCGGAAATCAATAGCAACAAAAATAAGTCGGAGAAGCAGTGAACAAAAGGAAAAATAAATCGAGAGAGATTGACGCACATCGGATCAGTTAGTTACTGATGAGTTCACGAATCGCCGGCTTGTGAAGCTTGGAGTAGGAGAGGTTTCTGCCTTCTTGTCGTGAGCTTAGCGTAAAAGCGATTGAAAACCGAGATTGGAATCGGAGACCTGATTTTATAAGGTAGACCGGCCCTTTTGGGTTGCGTTCCTCACACGTTTTAGGTTAGATACTAATAAAAAAAAAAAAAAACCTAGTCGAAGAAGTTAACCATTTTTAGTTTTTTTTTAAGATTTGCTTCTTTTTTTTGGTAACCGAGATTCATTTTTTTGGCTCTATGTTCCCAATCGTGCCTTTGCTAGTTCTGGTGGTAAGTTTGGTGGTTCTCGCCGCAGTCTCGAACCTCTTCATCTTCTTCCTCTTCTACTACGTACTCGGCTCCTTCACGGTCTGAGAGCTTCTTATACAGATAAGATACGAATCGATGGTTGATATGTTTGTGTGTATTTACTACTTTCTGGAACTGGTGGTTTAGGTATTCCGCTGGCTCTCAAAGCGTTCACAAGATTACATTTTAACCGAAACTGAGAAAAACTAGCGTCCTTAAACTACACGTACCATCTCTAATGTTTATTTTACTTATTTTGTCGACATCATGATTTTAATAACACATCATTTAATATGAAAACTGTTGTCAAAATATCTAAACCGCCATTTTCATCTCTATCTTCTTGTGAGGTTCATAGCCTGTGAGGTCAAAGTCAGCAGCCACAAAAGAGTCGATGTCTTTCTTCTCCGGGTTTATCTTCAAAACCTGTAGTAGTGAGACCACGGTGAAAACAAAAAACACAATAAGCATAGATGAATATGTGCATTCCTCGTTAATGATCATTGTTACTGATATAACTTACAGGGAAAGGTTTTGGTGGATTCTGAAGTTGCTCTTGAAGAGGCCTCACATGATTTCGGTACACATGAGCATCCCCAATAACATGGGTAAAATCACCAGGAACAAGATCACACACATGAGCGAGCATGCATGTTAGAAGAGAGTAGGAAGCAATGTTAAACGGCACTCCAAGGCCCATGTCCGCTGAACGCTGATACATTTGGCATGAGAGCTCTCCTTCTGCCACATAGAACTTCAACACGGAAAGAGGAACAAGAAATCAAACCTTCGTTGCAAGAAAACAGAGGAATTAGAGGAGAAAGTGGAATTTACCTGTGCAAACATATGGCACGGAGGAAGCGCCATCAACTTGAGATCAGGAGGATTCCAAGCAGACAATATAATACGCCGATCATCAGGATTGTTCTTGATCTTGTCGATAACATCTGTGAGCTGATCAAACCCTTGACCAGTATAATCAGCATTCATATCTGTGTACCTGTAAAACAAGAGAACCAATGTTTTCACAACAAGAAATCCATCCAAACAGAGAAGCAAAGCAAAGAGATGCATAAAATGTTACTCACTTAGCACCAAAGTGTCTCCATTGAAATCCGTATACAGGTCCAAGGTCACCTTCCTCTCTCTCTGTCAGGCCAATACTGAAATTACAGTGGAATTATCAGCAAGAAGGCCGTCAAAATTATTCTAAAAAGGCAAAAAGATGATGCCAGTGAAAACTCAAACTCATACCCATCCAGATACTCTCTTGACGAATTCCCATCCCAGATATGGATACCTTTCTCCTGAAGGACCTGCACATGTATTTACAAGCTTCTCAGAGAACTATCTAACTCATTTTCACAGTCTTAAAAGCGAAGCAGAGACAGTCTTGGCTCAGTTATTGTGAAAATGTATATGTTCTTTTACCTTTGCACTGGTTGAGCCGCTTATGAACCATAGAAGTTCCTCAAGAACACCTCTCCAAAACACTCTCTAAACATAAGATCCAACAAGATTACGTGAGCTCCAATATGAGATATTGCGAGTAACCTTAAAAGTTAATGAAAGAGAGAGAGCTTACCTTTGTCTGCGCAAATTGAATTTCATCTGTGTTCCAATGAAATGTGAGATTACTTCAACCTTAATAACCAACAAGACAACAATTAAACACATAATAAAAAAAGAGGTTTTTCACATCACCTGGCAACCAAATTTTGATAATGTACCAGTCCCGGTTCTGTCATTCTTCACATTACCATTTGAGATAATATCTTCAGCCAGATTCAAATACAAGAATTCCTCATGCTGATCAAAAACCATCTTGGGAAGAAACGAATACTTCTTCCCATCAAACTGAAGCGGCTGTGACCCATTGGTTTTATATTCATCAGCAGAACATTTCACACGGACATAACTCGTGAAGCAAAACCGAAGTCCGTTTTCACTTATCGGAACCGATGAGCACCAAGGCTGATAAACATTAGTGTCAATCTCAGGTATAAACGTATCACATTCAATACTTGCATCAATCTCAGTCAAATGAATAGCATCACAACTAGTCCTGTTCAATGCTTCCCTACAAAAAAACAAACAAACATTCTAACTCTTAGTTACAGCAATGAGATAAGGAATCACCAAAAGGAATGAGAAAGTTCAACACTTTACCTCAATATATCACCACCTCCAATAACAAACACTCTCTCAATAGACAAACAATAAGGCGGTGCAGCTAATAAGTCAAGAGCAGAGTCTACACTACTGCAAGTCACAACATTCTCAGTGTTGGCTATATCAAAACCACCAGAGCGAGTTAAAACGACGTTAAGGCGACCCGAAAGAGGCCTATACTTAGTTGGAATAGACTCCCAAGTTTTTCTACCCATCACAACAGCGTTTTTCTTGGCGGAATCGGACGTGGTCAAAGTTATGTCCTTGAAGAACTTGAGATCAGTAGGCAAGTTCCATGGCAATTTTCCGTCTTTACCGATACCCATTTCTTTAGTTGCAGCTACTACGACTTGGTAAGTCCTCTGAGGCTCTGGAGCCATGGTGGTGGTATTGCCATTGAGAATGGTTGTTGTCATGGTGGAAATCAAAACCTTGAAGATGTTTGCAATGGAAGATGATGACTTGTGATGAAAATTGCAAAGCCGCAGAGTCTGAGACGATCAACACAAAATTAAGATTCATATTATTTAACTATCCAAACGAAACAATCGAATTGAAGGCAAAGCAATCTCCATAACTACTTTACTTCAAAGAAGAGATAATCGGAGTATTTGTATACTCTAATTTCGAGAAAGAGAGAAGCTTTAAGGAAAATGGGGATGAAGACGAGATCATGACTGACCGATTTAAAGGGGAAAGGAAGAATCTTTGACGGATTTTGCAAATACCCAGAAGAGAATCGGAATCACAGAAGAAGATTTCAGAGGGTTTCAAAGACGAAATCGGAAGGTTTCGGTAGGTAAAGCTCCGTTTTCTACTTGTCCTACTGTTTGGTTTTTGTCTTCTCTTTGATTTGGGGAAATTCTGGCGCTTGAAAAGGACAGAGGAAGCGAAGATAAGCGGGAGATTATAGTGGGAAACGCCGATTCGTAAACGCTCATGTAGACGCGTCTCTGTCGTTTCTACAAATCTGACAAAAAAACAAATTGAGGTTAATTTTTTTATAAAACACGTTAATATTATTAACTGTAGTATTAATACTATTTTAATTTCGTATTATTCGTTATACTAACATTTAAATCGTTAAATAAAAATAAAGAATTTCACAAAATGAGTTTTATTATGATTGTTTAATATCCAAATGAAAAAAAAATAACAATAACAAACTGTGTTAGAAAAGTGACATGACATATCTCAATTATTATTACTAAACTAAATCCATTTATGTGTTGACTCAAGAAATATTACTACAAAAATAATTTAGTGTATCTATGTCTTTTAAATTATGTAATTAGCAATCTTAAATTAAAACAATGCTACCAAATGGAGAAGATGGAGGCACTTCTAAAGATAGTTTTGGTTGTAAAATATGTTTAATCACTAGTCACTATATTCACAACTGCAATAAGTACAGAAAAAAAAAATGGTAAAAAAACAACAAATTTGAAAGTATCAAGAGTGTTTACCTCTTAGATCTTCATTCTAATACAATCAACTCATCCACACAAACAAAATCTTGTTTGTTAAACGTTACATCATCACTATTTCGATTTGTAACTAGCATAGGCATCACCTATGCAACCAACATAACACAAAGAACAAATGTAAACGAACGCGTTTGAGGTTTTATAACAAATTGATAAAACCAATTGCATTTGAGGCTTTTGATAACAACTGTGTTTTGCTTATAATAGTGGATCCAATTCGGAAACCTAAATCGATCGAGAAATAAAGAAACAAATAAGGTGTGATTTAGGGAAGAAATGTCGACGATTGTCATTGGAATGGAGAGAATCAAGGAGGAACTTGTCAAATCCCACGTACACTATCTTCAAGTGAAAAGAATGATTTATGTGTTGCTGTTTCAGAGGATTATCAAAATGCCAAGTGATGTTATGAGAGTAAGTGTCTTTTTTCCTCATTAGTTTTAGAGTTATGAATAAGAAACCAAAATAAGTAATATCTATATATGTTTTGTCTGTTTTCAGGATTTTCCTCATTCGCTTTTGATGTTTTTAACAAAAGAAAAACACGTTTTTTTCTCATTTACTCATTCATACGTTGTACAATTGTGAATCAGATACATAAGAACTATATATTATATGTTTTGGCTGTTTTCAGGAGTTTGGAGTTTGAGATGTTGAAAGCTGATTTTGAAGCAACAAAGTATATTGGTGTCAAATTTGCTATAATCACTCTCGCCACCACTGCAGCTACTGGACTTGGCTTTGCTTGTTTGTTGTGGTAGAGACACCCATCAAATATCTCATCAATTGAAAGGGGAGTTGGAAGCAGCCATGTATGCGAGAGTGAAATTTCTTGTGCAAGAACTGCTCACTCTTTCTTAATGTTTGTATTGGTGATCACTTGTGGCATTGATTGTTTTGCTTGTTTAATAGGAAATCTTGAGTATTCCGAGTATGTTAGTCGTTTTATGGCATATTCTTTGTTAGTAGTATGTTACCCTAAATTCTACTTGACCTTGCAAATCATTTGAAAAACTGAATACAAAAGTTTTTAAAGTTTTACGGAAGGGATTGATATTCGCAACAAATAAAATTTGTGTCTAAATGTGGTAAACCGTTAAATAAACATTTAGAATTTCACAAAATGAATTTAATTGTGATTGTTAGATATCCAAATGAAAAAATAACAATAACAAACAATGTTTTTGTGCAAATATATTAGCAAAGAAAGCAATTACATGTAAATTTTAGAAAAGTGACATGAAAATTCTCCATATTATTACTAAAAATCTATTTATGTGTTAACTCAAGAAATATCACCACAAAAAAGTGATAGTTTTGATGTAAAATATGTTTAATCTCGAAGTCGTAGGGTGGGCTTCACTTAGTCAACATTGGCGTCATTCGCTCTTCTATTATGTATATAGGATTTGTTGTACATATATGATTAGTTGTTCAAAAAAATTAATACTATTTATCACACACATGTCTATTTCCAAATATTAATACAGAACAAGTTGTAAAAAAGAAGAATCTTTGGACCTTATCAATGGCTTGTTAGATTGAAAATCAACTACTTTTCTATACATGTCTCTAGATGATCCTCTCCATTCCCATCTTCAAGCCGCTCTCCTCTCAAGCATTCATCTCCAATAAGGTAAAAACAAAAATTGTATTTGGTTCTCTCTTTCTCAATCTTGATTATTCTTATCATGGAATAGTTATCCCTTGATCCACACGTTCCTCACTATCAAGCTTTCTCCTTGTATCAAATTTTCATTCCTTAATTTGTATTTCCTATCAAGTGTATGAATAAATCAGGCTAATACTTATTTGGAACAATCTTGATCGTTTTGTAGGTGTTTCATTAAGTTCATCAAAACCATGGCTGATACCAAACAAGGTTTGGTTATATAAGTCAATGCATTTTCCTTATAGCGATAAAAAGTTTTTCTTTGTTTCGCCTAAGTAAACTAACGAATCATGTGTGGATTAGATATGGAGGTTTCAGGGGATGAGAAGAAGATAGCGAAGATGAGCTCGTTTAAAAAGAAAGCGATAGGCGCATCAAACAGATTCAAGAATTCGTTCAAGAGGAAGACTCGAAGAACCGGCAGCAGAATCGTGTCCGAACCTGTCGAAGATGACATCAATGCGGAGGATCTTCAGTCTATAAACGTATTCCGTCAACTCCTCCTCGACGATGGCCTTTTGCCCTCCAAACATGACGATCATCACATGTTGCTCAGGTTTTTATTTCTTCATTTCTTGTCTGATTAGTCTAAATAATGTGTTGGTAGATGAAGTCAACGTATGAAATAAAGAAGGATTAAAGTCTTATATACCAGGGTTGACCTTTTGAATAATGAATCTATGATTTTTTTGTTGCCAAATCCAAGATCGACAGCGAACCCAATTAGCCAGATATATATATCAAAGTAATAAGAAACTTAAATTAGATTTTAACTTTATTACGTGACATGATGAAACATTAGTTTTGGGGAATACTAGTTTCTTGACGTGGAAATATATTATTGGTCATGCGGAAGTCAAACTATGCAAACTATTTTGAATGATGGTTAATATTTTCACATATCATAAATCTCCATATATTATTAGTTAATTTATAAGGTCTAATCTTACTAGAGAATCAAGAACTTTATATAAGGTAATATACTTGCATATTCTTTATGAACTTGAAATTGTCTTTCTTTGAAGTGGAATTTCTTGATTAAATAAATAATAATTATTGTGATTGTCATATATTTCGATATGACAATGCTACAATATTTCGATTATTGTGAACTACAATGCTACAATATTTCAATTATTGTGAACTCACAATGTTACAATATTTCGATGCTTGTTTGATCTATACAGATTCTTAAGGGCGAGAAAACTTGACATTGAGAAAGCCAAGCAAATGTGGAGTGACATGCTCCGGTGGAGAAAAGAATTTGGAGCCGACACTATCATTGAGGTTAACCTTTTGTCCATGAATCTTGGAACAATCTCATGCCGAGTAAAAATATATGGTCTTTGACAATTACTTTATTTTTTGTTTTTTTTTGTTTTTGATGATGAAGGATTTCGAGTTTGAAGAGATCGATGAAGTAGTCAAACATTATCCTCAAGGCTATCATGGAGTGGACAAAGAAGGAAGACCGGTTTACATCGAGAGATTAGGCCAAATCGATGCTACCAAGCTGTTGCAAGCGACTTCAATGGACCGGTACGAAAAATACCATGTGAAAGAGTTCGAGAAGATGTTCAAGATCAAGTTCCCTTCTTGCTCAGCCGCAGCCAAGAAGCACATTGATCAAAGCACGACCATTTTCGATGTGCAAGGCGTGGTACGTAACCTTTAACTAGTATCTCGATTTTTCTTTCGAAAATGTATTTATGCAAAAATAAAAGAGTTTAAAATGTTTAGAACAATGCGGCATTTTTTCGGATATTAGGGGCTTAGGAACTTTAACAAATGCGCGAGAGAGGTTCTTCAACGCCTTCTCAAGATCGATAACGACAACTACCCTGAGGTACTTATGTTCAAAACAGCTTATCATTTTAAAATGGTAACAAAGTTATAAATTAAGGTTTTTTTTTTCTTTCAAAGACTTTGAACAGAATGTTCATCATCAATGCGGGTCCAGGATTCCGGCTCTTATGGGGCCCGGTTAAAAAATTTCTTGATCCAAAGACAACATCAAAGATTCATGTTCTCGGGAACAAATACCAAGCCACATTGCTCGAAGCCATCGACGCTAGGTAAGATTAATAGTCTATAACTCATTTAATATTGCTTTGTGTTAGAAATCAAGAATTAGTATACTTACTGGTAATTTTCGACAACATCTTGTTTGTTGTGTTAGCGAGTTGCCATATTTCTTTGGCGGTCGTTGCAATTGTGAAGAGAATGGAGGCTGCATGAGATCTGATAAAGGTCCATGGAATGATCCTGAGTTTTTTCAGGTTAATTTCTATCATAGACCTTCTTTTGAATCAAATTTGTTTTGAATCTATTATCAAACATAAGTGTGGGTTCTTAGCAGATGGCTAGTAACCCTGAAGCAAAGTTCCCAACTATTACCGAAGAGGAGGACAAGCTTGTAGTTGAAGGAACATCAACGTCGATGGTCTTTGAAGTAAGCTAAGAACTTTGTTATCAATTCAATAAGCCTTAGAGCGATTTCTTTTCTTTCAAACTTAGAATTATCATCAAGTATGACCTAAGACTCTTCTATACATTCAACTTGTAGCCTCTAGAGAGGAACAAGGTGAAAACTATCGAAGACAATGTGCGTGAGAAGCACATTTCAACAGTTGACAAGTTCATGGCTGTATCTTTACCTCCAAAACCTCAATTGAAAATTCTCAAAAAGGGTATTCAAATCATAGCTCAAGTACTCTAAGTATGTATTTCTTGCTGAACAATTCCACTTTGTTTACTTCTTTTCATAAACTGTAACGTAGGGAAGGGGCCACAAAAGAGAGATGATAGTTTTCTTGTGGGAGGGGTTATCGCCTTTGTGATGGGAATTTTAGCAATGGTCCGGCTATCTAAAGACGTTCCACGCAAGCTCACGGAGGCTGCAATATTCGGAAACTCAGTTCACTACGAGGAATCAAAAATGTCTAAAGCGAAAGAAGAACAAAGTCCACCACCAGTCTCAAGCTCCGAGTACGTGGTAATGGTGAAACGAATGACCGAACTCGAAGAAAAGTGCACGTCCCTTGAGTCGAAATTACCAGTAGATGACGCTTTAGAGAAAGAAGACAGACTTCAGGCTGCGCTTAGCCGGGTTCAAGTACTTGAGCATGAGTTATCTGCGACCAAAAAGGTATAAGATCAATCAAAATTAGCGATTTAATGGAAATTTAGTTACGTAAACATAATAGCAAAAGGCACGGAAACAATTCAATTATGCATGGATATACACATACTTATACGATAAATATATAGTAATACATAATCGTTAGTTAACTGTCCATGTTATAGAAAAAAATTATCCGATTTATATTTTGGTTTGGCTTCTTTCTCTGGCTTAGGCTTTGGATGAAACGATCGTTAACCAGAAGGGGATTCTTGCATATATTGAGAAGAAAAAGAAGAAGAAAAGCTTGGTGAGACGAATCATTAAGAGAAATTTATCTAGTCAATTAATAATATACTAATTGCTTACCTAATTTCTAACGTTTCTTTGTTTGCTATGTTCCTAAACATTTTGTTGTCTTTTTCAGTTTTTCAGGTTCTAAATCAGCGAACATTCTTTCTCAAGACAAGGATCAGATGAAAAGCAAGAGAATGTTTCTGTTTTTCTGTCACAATGAGGAATATATAAATGCATCTTAGTGTAACCGTACGCTTTGTTGTATTGTATATATTTTTGTTGTTATGCAAGAAGTTGGTTTGCCAATAGAGGTTTGCTTTGGATGTTGCTACCTTGCAACTTCGAGTCAAATATTTTATTCTTTTGTTTATATATTTTTCATCACTAACTCTTGCCAGTAATGTAAGTTTGAGTTCGTGTTGGTGTTTATACTATCGGTGATCTGTAACACAATTATTGATGAAATCTTTTACTTTTGAGTGAATCAAACCCCAAAATTGAGTATTAAGTACATATAAAAAGAAAACATGGCTTATGCAGTGTTTTATTAAATAATGTAAAAGAAAAACAACGGACGAGCATTTCCTCAAAGAAAAAGATTGAAAATAATCAAATTGGTAAAATAACTCTGTGTCTATGCTTTTGGACCAAAACGCACAATCGTGCGAGTACGATCACCATTCACTATATAACCCTATGACAAGTATATTATCTTTAAAGAACAATTGTTTATAGTGTGGCCAATCAGTTTCTTAAAGCAAGCTAAACCTCCTTTTTTATATTACTAAAGTATTTTATCTACAAACAGTTCTCTCTTTATTCTCCACCACTCTCCTCTCAAAGTTTTGTATTTGGTAGAGTTTCTTTGTCCTTATGAATTATTGAAACCACACTTTTTCTACAAGTCATTCGATCTAATTATAGGTTTAAACTTTAATAATTTCGGCTTACGAAAGCATCACTTTCATAATATAAATCAGGACGAACGTCAGTTCTAGCAATTTTCCATATGCATATTCAAACAAATCAATGATGTTAATTTTAAAAGAAAATCTGTATTGTCATTATTCCAAAAAAATTCTAAATTTAATATTTAGCTCTATATTTTTTTACTTTTTTTAATTATTTTGTCAAATTTATTTTTATTGCAATAAAAAAGCCAGCCATGACTAATTTCTATTGCCGGACCTGCTAGGTAGAATGTGATTTCCATAGTGATTGACTAATTATTAGGGAATGACTGACTACTTTTGAAAAACAAAATGGAAGATTAAGTCAAAGCACATAGAATGATTAAGTCATTTTTTATTAATATCTTTAACTTTTAACAAAGGTTAAAAAAGAGAGTTTGATTGTAATTAATACAAATCCATAAATTAACAAACCTAGTTTTAAAATCAAAACCAAACTTCTTTAGACTTATGCTGGCCAACAACAGGAAAGTGGTCTCTTTTCAACTTTTTCTTCCTCTCCCACTTTCATGAAGAATTAATTAAAAATGTCTCAAAAGAGCATAGTAAGATATTATAATTTGCATTAATCGTCAAGTTGGAATCATGTGTCTAATCATATCGTATACAATGTCACACTAAACATATATTAAAATGATGCATAAACCCTCTGATTTGGCCTTCTGTTAATTATTTCTTTTCATTTCTTATACCTAAACTCCTAAAGACCCGTTGAGAACTCCATTTTCCCCGAGGAAGAAAGTTCCAAGAAGAGCTAATTAAAGAGTTATGGGTGTGTCGCCATCAATGGTGAAGAAACTTGGTTTCATCTTCTTGATTGTTTCAGCTTCTGTTATTTCTGTCTCTTTAGCAGGTTTCATTTCTCTCTCTCTATCTCTCTTTCGTTTTTATTGCAGCTTTTCTCCATACTTCATGTGCCCACTACATTTTTTAGTTATTTTTAGTAAGAAGGGACAATCATTGTTAGTTATTAGGAATATTAAAGAAGACTAAGAGATTTGTCGAAAATGTGCGCCACATATACGTTCAGGCTTGTAAACGTTCACTTGAGTTTAATTCCAAAGCGCACATATATGTATGAGCATTAACGTATTGTGATACGATCCCGAGGTTACATAGACGACAATCACACGTATGATATCTACGTTTTTGTATATGTTCAATTTAACTCTCTTCTTTTCTAAAAATATTTTTTGCTGTTCCCTACTTTATACGCATGTAATACGCATCAAACATCCCTTGAAAGTATATAAACATATTGAAAGAGAAATTATAGATATTGAATCTACTATCTAAAAAAGTTATAATTTAAAGATTTTACAGGATCGATTCGGTAATAGAGATCAGCAATGACAAAAGAAGTAAGATAGTAAGAGATAGTAAATAGATTGGTGAATTTTTTTTGGTACCACTAACTTTTAACATTTTTGTGATTGGACATTGGAAATTTTTTTAACATTAGAAAGGTTACCAATATCACATTTAATAATTGAAGTAAAAAACGTATATAAACAGTTGTATCTCGAATATTATAGTTTTTATTTTTCTACGTAAACTGAAATTAAGAAACAAAAATCTGATAACAAATCGTTGTATATTTAGATAATATAAAGAAAATTATACAGTCAAATCACTTATTTTCTTACGGTTCTTTTGGTGTGCAGGCCGGCCATCGATTCTAGTCTACACACATATAGATCTTCATGACGAGGTTAGTCTGACTAACATATATATAAACGAAAATGTATTTCGTTTTTTCACACATATGTAACTTTAATAGATGATATCACTCTTGTTTGCTTAACTTTTGAATCAAATTTGGTGAAATAATAACGTGAGACAGATGGTGGAAAGAAGCATACATGAGAGGCTTTTGAGGATGAACACAAAGGATTATGCGCAAAGCACTCCGTCGCCAAGACTTGTGAGGCCTCCTTTCAAGCTTATTCCCAATTGATGACGTCAACTTGGGTCTAATACGTCCTTAATATATAGGCATACGTAGATAATAATTAGTTTCAGCGAGTGTGTTTATAGTTTCATCAAAATAGAGATGTAATATAAAGATATGTAATACCTAAATAAAGGTCAGCAGCTAGACTTAGCTATGCTACTACGTACCATACATTGTGCTATGCATAGATTCTGCCACATATCTATGTCATCACAAATTCACAATAATATGCCTTTTTGTTTTTGGCTTCAAAAATATGTCCTTGTACAATACCATTTCATTTGTACACATATTATTACATATGATAACAATAGTATTTAATGAAAAAGGCGGAAGTTTTAGTGATTGCAGTACATGAGTCTTTGATTCTATTGTTCTATTGACTAATACATACTCCTTTGTTTTAGGAATTAGGAAGGGGAATTAGAGGTTAGAAACTTGTAATATCTATCAATATATTGTTTTATTTTATTGTTCATTTGTCAACTTAATATTTCTTTTTAATTAATAGTTGTATTGTAAATTTGTAATAGGACAATTTAGTTTGCAAATTTTATTTTTTTTTATCAATGACAATTTACTTTCTCTTCAAGAAAAAATTTCAAATTTGTTAATACATATCTTGTAAATATGTAAATTATCATTCGTGTCTTAAATTATCAATATATGTTTTACTTACCTTTTTTAAAAAAAATATCTAATAATTAGCATATGTGTTATATTTGCCACGATCTATAACTAGCGATTACACGTTTCATCATGATCTGGTAACTAACATTTATCGTAAAAATCGCATTCACATTGTGCATATCCAGCTTAAGTATAATAAGATTTAGCTTATTTGTTAACAAATCTTTGGGCATTGATTGCCTCTTTATCTTGTAATCCCTCCTCCTTTCCATGGAGTTTGAACTCTCAAGTATAAATGGTTTGACTAAGGGAGAGAGGAGTTTTTCATGTTAAGAGTGCCGTCAAATTTTAATTGAACCGGTTTATCGACTGTGTTCCGGTTATAACAAATTGATTCTTTTAAGCTCTCCAGAAATTTAATCAGAGTCTCAGCTGAGCTGCTTCAAAAGACGAGGCAAAACTGCTTCCTTCTCATCTTCGATTCTCGTTGCTCTTCCCCAAATCCAAGCTCAAATTTGCTCAGCTCAACTTCTTCAATGGTGATTCTCCAGCCCGATCAAACTACCTCAAACGGTATCTCTCTCTCTCTCCTTCTCCCTCTCCTTTCACTGTATATGTTTCCGATTCCGCGAGTGAAAAATGTGTGTGTCGCGCGACGAGTTTGTCCTCTTGAGTAGAAAATTAGGTTATCGTCTGATTTCACTTCGCTACATTGAAATGCATGTCGTTTCTCACCTTCGGATTTCTGTAGATGTATACAATTTTAGGGTTTATCTGAAAAAGGAAAATGTTTTTGACTTTCTCTGTTGTTTCCTTAAGCGATTAATGTGACTGTGTGAGCTTACTTGCATTATAATGATTACAGGGTTCCATAAGAGAAAGCTTGATGGTGGACTATCTCTCGGTTCCGTTACACCTGAAGCTAAGCGGCTAAAGAGCTCTCTATCACCTAAAGTCATTGACTTTTCTCAACCATATTCCATCAGTAACATGCTTGAAGCTCTTGATGATGGTAAATATGGGAGTGTTACTAAAGAATTGCAAGAGATAGCTGATATGAGGATGGGATTGGTGAAGCAATGTATCTCGTTATACCCATCGCTGGCGAATGTTGTGTTCGGAGACGGCAATAGTCAGAAGATGGAGCTTGTGAGTTTGGATAATCGACAGGTCATCGATTTGGAAGGTGTCATCGATTTGGATGATGATGATGACGATGCTTCGAAGAAAGCTCTCTGTGTGGTTCCTTCAGCTTTAACTGAGATTGTGAATCTTGATTCTGATGATGAAGAGGCTGAGGGTTTGAAGCCTTTGTATCCATTTCAGTCAGGTCTTGTGCAGCATCAGAAGAATCAAGAGGATGTGGTGCCAGTCACTCCAAAATTCGCTTTTGAGGATGTTGATTTAGGGAAGGGAAAGGAGATGGTCGTGATCTCTGCGTCAAGATATATGGTACTGCGTTTTAAAACTTGATTCAAGGTTACAAATTAAATGTCAAATGTGTTTACAAACTAGCCATACAAGATGTCTGACTTTTTGGTCTTTGTAATTTTCACAGGAGGAACAAACAAGGAGAGACGAAGTCCTTTCCATAGAAAATGGTGTGGTTAGTGACAAAGGTGTCTACGCGGGACAAACAAGAGCAGAGAAAATCCTTGCCATAGAAAATGGTGCGGTTCACGATAAAGGTGTGTACGTGGGAGTTGAGGATGATGTCAGTGATAACGAGTCTGAATCAGCAGATGAGGATTTTGGTAATGTCTGGAACGAAATGGCGTTGGGACAAATGTGGTCCAAGGTATATTTGTCTGAACATTTACTTCAGATTGAATTTAAATTTCAGTCACATTTTTGTTTTTGAAAAAAGCACCTTGTGTCAGTGATAGATTTCTTCATTATCTGCAACTGTTCAGCTGTGCAATCCAACTAGTACACAAACTGGTTCATGATGTTGCATCTTTTAGATTTCTTGCATTTGAGATAGTTGGTAGAAAGCTCAATTTAGGAATTAAGCTCCTATTTTTTGCCACTTTTCCTGGTTGTTGATTGAGATATCAATAAACGTTGCAGGATGTAGCCAGGGAGACTTCACATAAGGGACCAAAAGAAGATGTAGTGGAAGACTGTGAGCACTCTTTTATTCTAAAGGACGATATGGGTTATGTTTGCCGTGTCTGCGGAGTTATTGAGAAAAGTATACTAGACATAATTGATGTAAACTTCAGCAAAGTAAGTCTCCTTTTTCTGATACTTTGCTATTGTGTACTTTGATGGAAAATGATGTTTCTTGGTTATCCGAATACAGTAGGGTATGACTTCTTCATTGCTCCATTTCTATTTACCTCCATTAGGTCTTTGAAATTTGCCATCCAATTGTTATGGAAACTGTAATGCCCATATGGTCTATTGGTATCGTTTGAAGATCGACATGGCTGCTTAGCACAATAATTGTTTCCCCCTACTAAAAACTGGCGGAGCTTCTAATTTTTCTTATAATATTCACTGTAGGCAAAACGAAGCACGAGAACATATGCCTCTGAAACTAGGAGCAGAAGGTTCGGTGAATCTGATGTTGAAATTAAGATTTCTGAAGATGGGCTGATGATAGGTGGACTTTCTGCTCATCCAGTGCATGCTAACAAAATGAAGCCTCATCAGATTGAGGGATTCCAGTTCCTTTGCAGCAATTTAGTGGCAGATGTTCCTGGTGGTTGCATCATGGCTCATGCTCCAGGTTCTGGAAAAACCTTCATGATCATCAGTTTCATGCAGAGCTTCCTTGCAAAGTATCCTCAGGCTAAGCCACTGGTTGTGCTTCCAAAGGGAATTTTGTCTACTTGGAGAAGAGAGTTCGTGAGGTGGCAAGTTGAAGACATGTCACTGCTTGATTTCTATACTTCTAAAGCAGATAACCGTGCACAGCAGCTAGCTATTTTGAGACAGTGGATGGAGAAGAAGAGTATCTTATTTCTTGGGTACCAGCAGTTCTCAGCTATTGTTTGTGATAATGATACAAGTGCAGACACGCTTTCTTGCCAGGAGATACTGCTCAAAGCACCTTCGATCCTCATTATGGATGAAGGACACACTCCAAGGAATGATCAAACAAATATGTTGCAGGCCCTTTCCCAAGTCCAAACGCCAAGAAAAGTTGTCCTCTCAGGAACGCTTTATCAGAACCATGTGAAGGAGGTTTTCAACATTTTGAACCTCGTTCGACCCAAGTTCCTCAAGCTGGATACCTCCAAGTCTATTGTGAAAAGGATCTTGAGTCGTGCTCCTATATCCCATGTCAGGTCTCATTTGGGAAGCAACTCAGATGTGTCTTCGGCTTTCAATGAAATTGTGGAGCATACACTGCAGAAAGGCGAGGATTTCAAGGTGAAAATTAGCTTAATCCAAGATTTGCGAGAGATGACAAGGAAGGTGCTTCATTACTACAAAGGAGATTTCTTAGACGAGCTTCCTGGACTTGATGATTTCACTGTGGTTCTTAATCTGTCTCCAAGGCAGGAGTCTGAAGTGCACAAGTTATGGAAAGAGAAGAGAAAGTTTAGGGTTTCGGCTGTGGGAAGTGCCATCTACCTTCATCCCAAGCTGAAAGCTTTCTCTGAGAAAACTGATGATGTCACTGTCTCTGTCTCTGATGCAAGAATGGACGAAATGCTTGAGAAGCTTGATGTGAATGAAGGCGTCAAGGCAAAGTTTTTCCTCAACTTGATAGACCTGTGTGACTCAGCAGGTGAAAAACTCTTGGTTTTCAGCCAGTATCTCGTTCCGCTGAAGTTTCTTGAGAGACTAGCTGCTGTGGCTAAGGGATGGAAACTAGGGCAAGAAGTTTTTGTTCTTACAGGCGAATCAAATACTGAGCAGCGTGAGTTGGCAATGGATAGGTTCAACAATTCACCAGACGCCAAAATCTTCTTTGGCTCGATAAAAGCATGTGGAGAAGGTATCTCACTCGTTGGAGCATCCCGCATACTAATTTTGGATGTTCCTCTCAACCCGTCTGTGACACGCCAAGCGATCGGCAGAGCATTTCGACCTGGACAGACGAAGAAGGTGCATGCGTATAGATTGATCGCTGGGGATTCACCTGAGGAGGAAGATCACAAGATGTGCTTCAAGAAGGAAGTCATCTCAAAGATGTGGTTCGAGTGGAACGAGTACTGTGGATACCGCAACTTTGAGGTAGAGACAATCGACGTGGATGACGCTGGTGATACTTTCCTTGAAAGTCCTGCCTTAAGGGAAGACATAAGAGTTCTCTACAAAAGGTAACATTCGTTATGACCAGATCCACACATAAGTCACATTGTCTCTGTTGTCAAACTTCCTCAATGCTTCTTTTTTTCCAGGTAAACGCAGGCGTAATGCTGATGGAAACATGTTCTTCGGGTTTTGGTTTTGGACATGCTTAGGTTTTAGAAGCCTGTCAATAAGATAACTTCAGGTAGATCCTATCAAACTTTGTGAAAAGATGGTTAAATCAGTGTGTTTTAAGTAGAGCTTCAAGTGTAGTTTTGATGTCAAACCTTGGCTTCATGTTGCCTCTGAGACCGTAACTAGTCTATTGTATTAACAAATCGTATCAAGTCTCAAATTTTGTTCATCAATCTCATGTTTTCTCGTTGTTGATCTACAAATTCATTTTCTGGTTTACTTTCACAAAAGAATATATTACTACACTCTTGTCATCATCAAGCTACAAAATCATGCAACAATTGTGAAGAGCCAAGCCGGTGCTGGAAACCGGTTCCTGGGATGGTACTGTCGTAGTTATCTATCCCACCGGACATAGGTACATCGCCGCGAGCGTCGGAATTCTGAATCCCCAACGTTAAAGACATCCCACCACTACCATTTCTTGTCATGTCAGCCACCATCATGAACCGGTCACCACCACGAGCAACCGTGCTCTGTCCCATGCTACTGCTTGCCACGCCGGATACTTGCCCGTTGTTGGAACTAGACTCGATCGGCTGTTCTTGAATCTCTGCGGTTTCTTGTGTGTTTTCGGAAGACAAGTTGGCACCATTCTCCTCCAGTGCGCCTGTGAATTCCTCCATGTACATCTCCTCCACCATCGGTTTCCAGAGACGCACACGCGCATTTATGAACCAGTTCGACACCTTCCAACAAACGAAACGATGAACACAACAAAGAACCATTCAATGAGAGAAAAAGACACAAAAGCTTAACACTGCAGTACCTGGCCTCGGCTCAACCCTGTTTGTCTAGCTAGCATGATCTTGTCCGAATCCTTGGGATAACTAAAGTTCATGGTTTTCAAAACACACAAAATGGTAAGAATCTCTTCTGATGAACCAACAAAATCCTCAAGTGTATAGTATACAAAGACTTACGGATGGAGGAAATGCTCAAAGAGCCAAGCGCGGAGGATCAAAACAGAGGAATCAGGTAAACCGCGTTGAGGCCGCCAAGCGTGAGGCTGCATCACGCCTAACCGCTGAAACGCTCTTTGTTGCCTAACCTGCTGATCAACATTCCTTAACCTGCTTATCCTCACTCCTCCCCCATCTAAACCATCACTTTCACCTCCTAAACTTCTCCTCGTCACCAAGATTTGTCCTGATATCGCATCCCTTAAGCAACGAAAATGCCTCGAGATGGTCTGAAGCGCGAGTGCTGTGTATGGTTTAGCTGCTCCACAACCGGCTATCACATCGAAAGATGACACAACTATCTGCATCTGATGGTAATACTGCTTGTATCTTCTATCAACCTGTAGACAAGAACAAACAACCAAACATCATTTATGTTATCAAGAAACCAAAGCAATCGTTATGAGAAATCATGATGATTACCTCGTCTAATATCGATAAGAGTTTCGACAACTTATTCTGCAGATCCTGTCTCTCTCCTTGAGGGATATCAGCAGGAGGATTCGTGCTCATTTCTTGAAGATTCTTCTCTTTCTCTTCATCAACCTTGTCTCCTTCTGGCTGAAACTGTTTCAAAGCTTTCTTAACATTGACAGCTTCATCAAGAAGCTCCTGAGCAGCTTTGAGATACTTTGAGTTGTGAATGGTTCGAGTGAAACCCGAAACGACCTGTGTTGCATACTCATTGTTATTGCCTCTCGATGTCTCAATCTGCGAGCTTAGGCCAAGGGACAGTCCCTGTCCTGGTCCTGTGGTGGGACGCATCATCACCGGGAAGAAGTTTATGTCATTGTCTTCTTGATCTCTCCAAGAACCTGAATCTTGAATCTCCTGCATTTGTGTAGGTCTACCAAAACTTGACAATACTTGAATCTCTTTTGAAGCTGAGGCATTGTTGTTGTTTGCTTCTCCATGAAACGTCTCTGAGTAAGTAACCTCAGGATTCGTGTAGATCATTGCGTTTCCAGAGACAAACTCAGGTACAGTTGGTCTTGAATAAATGTCACTTGAGCCACTACTTTTATAATAAGTTGCCATAGTCTTATTCTTCTTCTTCTTATGATCAAATCAAATCTATCTGAATCAAGAAATTGATCTGTTTCAGTTTCACATTATGTTATAAAATCTTTGATTAAAGAAAATGGCTTCAAATTTTCTTGACTTCAAGATTGGAACTTTCAGGTGAAACTAAAAGGACAATGAAACAAGAATCAGAAGAAACATGTGAAATTAATCTCTCTCCCTCTCTGCATGAGTTTAACAATTTAAAATGAGAAAGAAAGAAACAAGAGATTAAAAAATTACCAAGAAATCATCAGCTGCAACGACTTGTTGTGGCCTTGTGGGTGTCAAAGGAGACACTGAGAAATCTCAAATTGAAAAAGGGGGAAAAAGAACAATTTTTTAACGCTTGATGATGATCCCAAGAACACAAAATTAACAACAAACACTCATCTTCCCAAATCAAGATTTTGAGATATAAAAATGTTTTAGCCTCACACAAGAAAATCAAAGAAACAAAAGATTTCTCCTTTTTTTATCCTTCTTCTCTTCCAATGGGTACATTATTATTTGACCTCATCATCTCCTTAACCCCACACGTGAGAGACCCATATCATCATCTCCATGTCCCAGAAACAGTTTTTTTTTAAAGCAAGTAAATGAGAAAATAAAAAGGAAAAGCAAGTTTTTTAACTTTCCTCTTTGAGGTAGGTGATAATAGATATTGCTTTAAAGCTGCTTGGTGCTTTTTACTTACTTCTTTGATGCTTCTTCTTCGTTCTTGGAGACTTGGAGTCAAGTCTTTGTTGAAGATAAGAAAAAACAAATCAAAATGTTTATGTTAAGGAGCTTCTATAGTAAATCTTCTCTTAAACACGATCCTAAACCCTGATGTATGTCTCTCTCTTGTCTTTCTCTCTGGCCTTTTGTTTTGTTTGCTGCGATAAAATTTACTGAAGCAATAGCAACCATACAATCATATTCTGCCTTTCCTTTTAATTATTTTTTGTTACCAAACAAAAATATAAAAAAAAACAGATATTCCTAATTCTTCTAAGATGATGTGTACATCAAAGCATCATAGTTTGGAGAAAAGGACAAAAGTTAATGGACATTTCCATATCTAATTTTGGTGCAATACAACTTTAAAATCTTTCAAGTCCGATTTGTATCCAAAATATATCATTTTATATGTAAACTACTCATCTTTGTATTGTATACTATTAGAGTAGGAATAATATGAGTAGAGGTTTAGATCGACGTGTCAAAGTTTACACACGGATGCAATTTATTTCACTTTGTGACAAATAAAATAAAATATATTCACTTTTTTGGTAAGCTTTTACAGTTTCTTCTTCTTTGTCTTTAAACTTTATTCATTTTCAACAAAATTTGTTCTCTTTCAAATAATATTTGTGATGGTCCACATGCTACCAAATTGTTGCATTTGCATACAACTATTTTTGTAGGAAATAATATTTAAAAAAAAACTAAAAAACTTTTCCTTATCTCTTTCTTATAAATAAGGGCCCTATAAATAATGAATAAGTACCCTTTTCGCCCACTCAGATTTGTCTTCTTTTGCCAATTGTTTCTAGGTATATAGTATATACTTACGGATTAATACCTTTTCTTACAAAAATGTTTCTGTTTTAACTTTTACCTTCTTCTATGAATGTAGGTTCATATCTTAACATGGTGAAAATATTCATAGCGGAACAAAATTAAGCAAATTCTAACTCAAAACACAATATTGATGAAATACCTCGAATTGATGTATGTGTATATTGTCACATGACTAATGGGCAACTATATTGTGTAAATTTAATATTTTAGTTATTTTGATAAAGAAGAAAATGTAAATCGATTTTATTTTTGAGCTGCAAATTTTGAAATTAAAAACGACAAAAACAATAATGAATAAATAATTTGGGGTGGATAGATAAGTGAGAAACGTGAATTGATGGGTGGCCAAAGGAAAAAAGAAGGGAAAATGTCTGAATTGGGACAGAGATGGCAGAATGAGAGAAAGAGAGAGTTGGTCAGTGTCAGCAGATAGGGAAGAGTGACTTATATACGACCAACCCAACACTTCTTAATTATAATTAATAATTACTACAATAATGCAAACAAAATGAAAAGAGAATCTAAGTAAGACATGAAGAGGGGAGATATGTAGTGTGTGTATTAAGCTTTTAGTTCTAAGACTATATATTGATCTTGAGATTCTTAAAACACTCGTTTTCGTTGGCTAAAGGACTAATCGATGCCATGACTTTATAATAGTTGACACTAATCTAATATACGAGGTTCTCGCTAGACGCTAGCTGCTGGATGAAGTTTAATGAAGTTTATTCATGAGTCATCAGCATTAGGTCTAATAAACTGTGTTTTTTAGTTTGTGGGAGTGTCCTTTATTTTGTTTTGTTCGTAAAGAATTGTGTCAAGTTTTTTAGTTGCTCTATGTCACATTTCTAATCATATTTCCCTCACCGGTACTATCTTAGTCCATACAAGTTACCTAACCTCTTTCCCTAAACTCAAACAAAGGCCTGGATTTCAAAAACAAAGAAAAAGCACCTTCGGATTCTCACGTAATTTAAAAATTAAAATCTCCGTTGCCGGGACTCGAACCCGGGTCTCTCGGGTGAGAGCCGAGCATCCTAACCAGCTAGACTACAACGGATTGCTGATAACAGAATCTAATAACCCATTACCATTACTGTTGGTATTTTGGGTTAAAGCTAAGACTGTTTGCGAACCAAACAATCAGTATGACAAAAATAGCCTCATTTATTAATGTGACACTGAATGAAATCTCCATTGAGTAAATCTTGATTTGTTCACATATTCTAGCAATGGAAAGAGTCATCCTTGACTTGTCTGTAGATGAACACCAATCAAGAATTTATCTTGTGCTAAGTTTTCACGATACAGAGTGTCCCAATAGTTAAAAGCGTTAATCTAATCTGTACCGAGGATTATCACAGAACCATATCATTGCAATAGATGGAAAATCAAAACTTGACACACTTGAGATTATACAGAGATGAAGCAAAACCCAAAAAACTTCTGGTCAAAATGGCAGATTGAGATTCGTTTGTAAATATTATGAACAGACCTTATGAGCTTGTCTTTGCTCGTTTCCATACAATAACAACACCGTAGAAATCAGACGAAGCCAACAAGTTCTCTCCATGGTTCCACGCAACACACATTACTGGAAACCTGTGACCCTGCAAGCATCCCAAATTCTCACAACTCTGTGACTTTCGTTTTCCTATAACTTTCAAACCATACACAAAAAGTTTCAGATTTAAGAAAAAGATCTGTCTCACCTGTAGCTTGTTTACACATGTGTGCTTCGGCTTGGTGAGATCGTAGAAGTAGACATTCGAGTCTTCGCTCCCAGCAACTATAGTAGTTTCAAAGACAAACAACAAGAAACGCAGAGCAAATGAGTAGCAGTTTTAAAGAGACCTATGCATCGAGTAAATGGAGGAATGAAATTCAAACCTATGTATTCTCCTTTCTCTAGGGATAGTAACGGGCAAAACGATGCTTGGATTCTGTGTATCCTCGGCGCTAATTTCAGGGAGCAACGCAATGTTAGGTAACCTTTTATCTGAAGTGCAACACTGCATCACCAACACAAACAAGAACAATCAATTATAAGGTCTACACAGAAAAACAGTGAGCATATCCACACAAGTTGTGTTGCTGAACCTGAAGAAACACAAGTTTCCGTCCTGAGTACATGTGAGCAGAACAGGACCTGACGCCAAGAGGGAGAAGCTTCGGTACTTCACAGTCGTGACAGGGGATTTATGATTAGTACGATGGCGATGAGACCGGGATAATGAACCTGTATGCGAATCCATGCTCACTGAATATATAGTTCCCTGCAATAAATTTATCAACTACCTTGTAAGAACGCTATTCAAATGGCACAAAATTTGTATCTAGTTAATGGTCAAAGTCATCACATCATCCAACCTAGCAGACTGAACAATGCAAATCCTGGTTACAGTCTTGACAACAATATAGAGAAACGTTACCTGCCCATCCCCACAGAAAATGATCTGGCCAGTGTGATCATGGTCCATAGCTGTTACCTCGCCGTCGAACATCAACTTTTTAATAATTCTCCCAGTGCTGAAATTGAACACCTACTTTGTCAAGCAGAGAGATGTAAGGCATCAAATAAGTAAACAGTTCACAAGACACAAAAGTAATAGACCAATTCATATACTTGGTTACTACAAGGTGAAGTGTAGTTACCGTGACTTCCTTGTTTGCATTGCCAGCAGAGAGGAAATTGTTATTAACCTGTTAAAAACATGAAAATGGAATATCTTTAGTGGAGAAGCAAGAGAGAACCACAATAATTTCTCACTAAGTATCTCATAATGAGAAGATCTTCACTAACAAATGAGGAAAACTTACAGGGTGAAAACGGATACAAAACTGTGCAGAGACTCCATATATAACTCTAATACAAACACCTCTTGACAACTCCCATACTCGTATTGTCTTATCCAGTGATGACGACGCAATGTATTGATTGTTTGACGAGAAGTCAAAATCTGAAAGTTTAAGTAACAGACAAAGTAAGAAGCTCGAACTTTAGCACTTTCCACTCAAATCTTACCCAAAACAAACCAAAGTTTTATGCATCGAAATTTCTCAATTTCCAAGAGCAACTACACAAGATACAAAAATTTACAAAGGAAACAATACCAGTCAATCGAACCTGTGACATCTTTAGAGTGCCCTGTCAACTGCTTGAGAACGGAAGGCTCTTCCGAGAGACTGCAAACTGTCAAGGTTCCATCTGATGCTCCATATGCAAGTAGATCAGAACTCATGTGGCCAAACTTCAAAACAGTAACTGCATAAGAGATACACAAAGACTCATTCTTAGAAGAAAAAAATCAAAAACGTAACTCCATGAAACACAAAAAAAAAAGATTTTAAGAAATACCAGAAGATTTGCATTGATCGAAAATGGAATGCATCCCCACGAAAGAGTAAGCATGCTCAGCACCACCACGACGGTACGGATGATCACCATCACTCAAACTTGAGCTAAAACTAGCTCTGTGGCTTGAAACCTGATTGGCACTCCGTAAATCCTATGAATAAACACCAGTTAACTTAAATTGCAAAACAAAAAAGGTCCATTGATCTGTTCTTTCTTTACAATTCCAAGAAACTAAATTTGCATCCTTCTTAACTACAAACAAAAAGAATCCTACTTACCCTACTAGAAGTGAAGCTTTCTGCTTCAAACTGATGAGAGAGAGGACTTGGAGAAGGAAGCCATCGACCACTGAAGCATCAACCAGTAAATTCACCCTGATGTCAGAATTGTATGGGAACATAAATCTGCAGAAAGCAACCAAAATTACAGATTTCTAAAATGGAAAAAAATCGAAATTTGAATTCGCAAAACCTGTTTCCTGGACTACTTAAGAGGCTTGGCGTTCGCAAATTCTCCCATTTTCTAGGTTTGCTAATGAAATTACGATATGCAACATATCCTTTCCCATTGCATCTCCAATCCTTCAACGAAAGGGAAAAAACAAAAACAAATCAGAGCTCTAATGGCGAGAGTCAAACTGAGACCAAGCAATGTGATTTCTCGACGTCTGAAGTGAAAATGAAGAGAGATGAAGAGCTCTCACATAACGGCGAGAGATGACGCCAGATTCAGCTTTCCGATGGAGAAGAATTCGGCGGATTCCGACGTATTGAGGATCTGATTCGGCTGTCGCCGGCTGCAGCATACATGACAAAAACTCGAGATCCTTTGATTGATTATTCTTCTTCTCTTCATCTTTCTCATTGACGCTATCACCGATCTCTACCTCTGATTCGTTTTTCTCTACAATCGTCTCCTCCTCCATTTTATCAAGCTTCTCTCACTCAGCATCCAATTACTCCGAGCAGATCAATAGTTGCAAAAGGATGAGTGGAAGATCAATTGATCGGTTTTCGAAGTTTCTTAGAAAATCGATTGGACTTTCGGAGAGAAAACACCAATCAATCTGACTCTAAGCTCTCGAATCTCGAGCTGTTCTTAGTTTTTGCAGGTGACTGAATTCGTTTTTCAAAACTTGATGAATCTGCAATTCGAAGATTGCAGTCAGAAACGAGATTAACCGAAAGATAGCTCCGACTTCGGCGTATCATAATTTTATTTATTATTACATATACAACCCTGCACTTTATTTGAATTCATTTTAAGCTCTCATGTTTTTGTCTTGTTTAATTAGATGCAGATATTTGCCAAAATCGATTAGAAGTCCAATTGTTTTCTTTTTTGGGGTACAATTTACCCCTTTTCTTACAAGTAAAAGCATTTCAAAGCCTATAGATTGTCACTGTATTAGTCGGCTACTTGGCTCATTCAAGATGACTAAGTCTTTGTCATAAATTTTGAAATCTTTATACTTTGACATGAAATCTTATACAAAGCTTGGAGATTAAAGTTTATTTTGTATACAAACTCATAAACTACACTTGATTTGTATATTCCAAGTAGGTTTTCATTTAAGTACGTAAGACAAGATTTTAACTTGTCGTGGTTCCAAGTTCTAACACACTTTGCTCAGCTTCTAAGGATTATTAGTGAGTGTGTACAATAACTTGTTTGCGCAAAGTGACAATTAGGACATGTGGTATAAGGAAGAAAATCCAACCAGCACAAACCTAAATATGAATATCAAGGTTTTTCAAACTTCTTGTAAGGCTTTACTACGACTATGTTCCATATCTCATATCAATACTTGTTACAAAGAAACGACAAAGAAACACTCCATGGAGCCACCAAATAAAGCTGTACGTTTTAAATCTGTTCATTTTTTTATTTATTTATAACATCAACAATCTTGTTTGAGTCATGTTGTTGTAAAGTCTACATGTATGTACTACAGTCTGTAGCTTTTTGTGCTAAGTTTCTACCAGCTGTTAGGTAGTTGTTGAGGACCATTATTATCATGTCTAAAAGGAGAGAGCCCTCACATGCAAGAGTAAAACGCGTGAAGGAAAATGATAGACGAGAATCAATACGGTTACACACAAACAGCATGCAACATCAACCACAAAACAATTTACTTCTTTGGCAAAAGACATGTGTCTATACATGATTGATTGGGTAAAGGGCTTCTAGAACATACGTTTATTTCTATAAAAAGAGCAGAGTGTTACACACTTGTTATGTCAGAAAACTAAAAATCAAAAACTTTCGTTGTTCTTCGTTCTTTTTTTCTCTGTTCTTGATCTCTTATTCTTGAGGAACACTTTTACGTAAAGTCGCAAAGAAAAAGAAAATCAGAAAGTTTTGTTGTTTTTTGATCTTTTTTTTTCTGTTCTTGAGTAACACTTCATGCAAACAAAAGAAAATTAGAAAGTTTTTTTGTTTATCCTTCTTCTTTCTCTGTTATTGAGTAACACTTTATGTAAGAAAAAGAAAATCAGAAAGTTTTGTTGTTCTTCCTTCTCTTTCCTCTGTTCTTGAGTTTACTCCTTTAAAATGCTATTCTTAGGGGAATAAAAAAGCTTGTTTCTTCGTTATTTCTTTGTTCTTCTCTTACTCCTCTAAAACTACTTTTCTTGTGGATGGTTTTCACGGACAACGAGAGAACAGAGAAAACAACACTCCTAAGCAGCTATGTGATGCACTCTCTAATGGAGTCAGTAGATATGTCAGAAGTCAGGAGATTAGAAGGATCCGTTGATAGTGAGGCTTTCCCTGTGCCTCCTCAACTGGTACGTACACTTTATTTTTTTTAGCAACTTCATTTTGTCTTAAATCAACAATCTTTTATGAATTATGGTATTATTAGATTCTATTGTTGCCAATTTACCTCAAAGTTAGTGGTGTTTAGTTATCTTACCAGTTTAATATTACAACAGCTACAATTACCATAACGCCGCTCAAGTAACTCGACCCAAACAGACGACCACTTTTTGTCTTTTTATTCTTGTTCTAGTGGCAAAAATAAATATATTTCTTGGACGATTCTGACTGATTCAAGATTTGCTTATTTGAAAGTTTTAAGATGCAAGCTTTTCTTTTTCTTTTTCTTTTATTAACATCTTCTTTGTACATAAAATTGATGTCAATGGGTTTTTGATTTGTGTGTTTCCACACAAAAAAAAGGTGCATATAACACAAGTAGGCGTGGAAGGAAAGGCAGTGATAGTAAGCACCAGAATCTAACACAGTCCCTTACTGGAGAGAGAACAGCTCCAAAAAGCTTAAAGCCCCTGGAAAATCCAGGACGTACTGCCTTCATGCGTATTATGGATGGCACATGAACCAGGATGGCTATGCCGTGAAGGGTGACACTCCTGCTGATTATTCGGCTTCTTGTGATTCTTGAGCTACTAAACAAAGCCAAAGTCATGCATTAAAACACACTACTTTGCGTTTACATACTCTTCTAGTTTCCCCGTGGGTGACAGCCTCCACTATGAGTGCTTGCTGCTCCGTCCGCAGCGCTTGCTACCTCCCCTCCAAATCCTCAATTAAAATCTATGCAGCGTGAATGTGCGCTTCTTTCCTGGCAGGATCCAGTGTTCTAACACTCCTCAAAAAGAGTTTTAGCACTCTAGGCGCTACTTTGATTGAATGAATGACCATGAAATTATGCTTTAGTTGTTGTACTGGCTATGAGATGCTTTAGTTGTTTTATTGGCTATGAGATGTTTTACTTGTTGTGACAAAAATAGAAAATTACAAAAAGAAATAACATTTATGTGAATTTGCAGAACTTTGGTTACATTTTTGGTGAAATTTTGTTTTTCATAACTCTAGGTTTCATGTGACTAAAAACCTAATTCACATCCTCATGAGTCATCATGAGTCGCCTTTTATATATACGAGGTTAAAGAAATCGCCATCTATCTTCAACACTTCTCGGTGGCAAACTAGAAAATTTCTTATTCACGTTTTCTTCGAAGTTCAATATTTGCATTATGACCAAAAAAAGAAAAAAAAAAAGAAAGAAGAAGTTCGAATTTATTGTAAGTGTGAGAACTGGATAACTTCCATTGATGTTAAGCAATAGCTTAAAATTTTCAAAAATTTTGCCAGTATTCCAAAACATCCATTTGAGGTTTTTGGGTGAATACTACCAAACAGTGGAAACCTACGAGTTTAGGTCTTATTCATGGAGGAATCTTGATGTCTCTCGCGGTGGAAGCTTGAACCTCTTGGTGTGTCTTTGAAAGGAAATGATGTTTGGATACGTAATGATGTCTTGATGTCTCTCTCTGAAGGTTTGAATAGTTTGGCTCTCTCAGTTGTTAGAGAAGATTACGTAAAGAACTCATCAAGAAATTAATTTGCAAATTCGGATAAATGTAATTACTTTTGTAATTTATCATTTTGAATACAACAACTAAAGCATTCAGATAACCAATAACTCACCTACACTGCATTTCTTCATGGCTATTCAATCAAAGACACGCATACAAATAAGATTCTGAAATTCTCAAGAACCAGAAGAGGAAGACTTATCAATGGGATGCCATACTCTATTATGGAACCACATGCTGTCACCCTTCACGGCGTAACCATCCTGGTTCCTGTGCCATCCATAGTACGCATGCGTCCTGTTCTTGATCGAGAATATCGCATGCCCGAAGCTCGCTTCTCTGAAGGCAGAGTACTTAGGCTGAGGCTCAGTCATACTGTAAAAACCATATCAAAACATTCAAAACAAACCATCTGAATCTAAATCTTATCTTAAGCAAATTGCAATGAGCATAAGTTGTTAGCTTACTTGGTAGCCAATCCTTCAAGATTTCCTCCATCACCAATGGTGATGTAAACCGGAGCAGATTGATCTTTGACCGGAGAGCAAAGGCCGTTAACCACATTGTAAGCTATGTTTGATATACGTTCCTGGTTTCACAATAGACAGATTTCTCAAGGGTCTTTAGTTTAGACTTTAGAGAGAGATGATGAGATAAAGTTATTGATCTTTACCGATCTTTCGTAGGCGTGAACGTGGCCAGCAAAAACAACATCTACTTTGTTCTTGACAAACCACGGCTCATACATGACTCTCATTGTTTCGCCTTCCATGTAATGGTAATCGTAGCTGTTGTACCACGGTGAATGCATCAGAACGATCAACCATGGAGTTTCTGTCCTGTTAACCTTTGGGAACTCCTCTTCAAGCCATGTGTATTGTGGCGTGTATTTTCCTGTCCAAGAAAAGAAGGAATATTCAGGTCCTCTTAGGTCAGATTTACGTGTATTGCAAAGAATCAAGAGTTTTTAACGGTGTGACTTTACCGTATGCTGAATATGAAGCTAGCACGATTATGTACGCCGGTCCTCTTTTTATCGAGTACCAGAATGATTCTGTACTTCCTGATGCTTTGTGAGGAGTACGGTACCTACGTGTGAATGGCTTAAACGGTTTTGCTTCACCCTGAAAATTGCATCAAAACAATCCATTTTCAATCCAGTCCTAGCAATGAAGTATAAAAACAGAGGAGTTAAGAAACATTACAAGCTTGGGGGCAAAATCGAGTTCATGGTTTCCTGCAGTCCAAATCCATGGCTGATAAGCTGTGCTTCTTTCTACAAATCTTCCCCAGCTGTCCCATCTCGTATTGTCGTGGTTTGGGTAAGTATCAGCATATGAGAGATCCCCAACATACAAAAGTGTTTGTCCTTTTGTGGGGTTATTCTCATAATGCGTCAAGGTTAGATTTGAGTCAAAAGTCTGCCCAAGATCCCCTACAAAAACAAAAAATTTGCAACTCATGTTTAAGTGTATGTGAGGCTACTAATTAAATATGCACATGAATATGTTTCAGGACCCTTACCAATAAGACCAAACGTGTAAGGCACGTCTGGACCAATCTCAGGAGGAGTGAAGAACCAGAACTGGCGCTCCGTTTGTCCCACACCTACCACATAGTGGTACTTGGTGTCATACTGCAAAAAAGAGAGTACAAAGAAAAACAAAAAAAACATTAGTAACAAATAGCAAAAGATGATGTATTCATTCATGATGATGATGATGGACCTCCAAGTTTCTGATGAAGCAATGATGGATGTGACCAGACGTATAGTTGTAGAACTTGTACGTCTTGGATTTTCCATGGGCTTGAAGCTTTTTGCAGCTGTTCTCTCTCCAGTAAAGGACAGTGTTTGATCCGGTTGCTTCTTGTGTCACCCAAGACACTATCACTGCCTTCCCTTCCACGTCTCCTTGTGTTATATGCACCTTTTAGATCAAAATTGTTTTAATACAAATAAAAAGCGAAAAGTTAATAATATCCTTATAAACTTCCAATGAGAAAAGCTTGAAATCGATCAAATGCGTCCAAGAAATAGCTTTTTCCACCATTAGAACAAGGTTAAAACAAAAACAAAAAGTGATACCTAATATTAAATTAGAAAGCTAACTAAACATAACCTAAAGAAGAAGAATCGGAGTTTTATAATCATAAACAAAACCCACAACAAAACTCAGAAACGAATGATGATTTTATAAAAGAAACAAAAACTAAAGGTGTATATACCTGTTGAGGAGCATTATATCCACAAGGAACTTGAAAGACATCACTATCAAGAGGCATATCAGGGGTTCCTTCGAACTTCCTGACATACTTACTTGTTATGCCACCATTGCTAAACATCACCAAACTGTTGAGTAGCATAAACAGAACAACAACAACGGAATCCATTTTCTCAAGTTTTTTTTTCTTTCTAATCGGAACAAAGACTCTCGAGGTTTTCCTTCAAACAAGGGAAAAAAAAATCTTTAAGAAAGAAGAAAGATGTATATTAGCTTGGGGAGCAGAAGAATATGCTTGAACCAAATATAGAGATTAGCCATATACCAAGGCTTGGCACATTTCATAAATCTGTTCTGACACACGAATCTCGCTTTTTTGTGTGTGTGTGTGCGTGTCTTTCTGTTTCCGTAAGCTAACTTGTTTAAAACTAGTAGAGTACCCGCACGTTTGTGCGGTGTGACGTTGTTGTTTTGTGTAGAAAATTTAAACCCTAAATCCGAACCCGACAAAAAACCCTAATCAAAAAATTTAAAAACCCAAACTTTTTTAATAGGTCTAAACATGAAAATCCGAAATCAAAAAAATCCCGAAAACCCTGACTGAACAAAAAAAATCTGGAAACTTTTTCACCCGGAACCCGACCCCAATACCTAATCAAAATTTTAAAATACTCAATTTTTTTAATATATCTAAACCCGAAAACCAGAAATCTAAAAAATCCGGAAAACCCTAAACTGAAAAAAAAAATTGAACCTAACCCGAACAGAAATTTTCAAAGAAACCCGAACAATTTCTATATCTCTATATATATCTCTATAAAATTATGTCTCAGATTTTCACCCAAACCCGAACTTGTCTATAAAAACCCGAAAATCCAAAAAGCATATTCTATTGATTTGGAATTATCGTTAGATTATGTTAAGTTTTTTTTTTGCAGATTTTTAAGAGATGGAAAACGGAAGTTTTCTAAACCATCGGTTTATTTTAAGTTATTATTCTTGTATCCAAACAATTTTTTCCATTTATTCTTCTATCCAAATAGATTTTTCTCTTATTCTTATATCCAAACAACTTTTGTTTCCATTTATTCTTCTATCCAAATAGATGTTTCTCTAATTCTTGTATCCAAACATTAGAATGTACTTCTCAATTAATAATATAAAGATTAAAAAAAAAAAAATCATTTCATGCCGTTGAAAATATATAAGCATGCTATTGCTATGTTGGTATAAAAGAAGAAATTAATTCCCAAATTGCTTTTGTAAGACTAATCAGGGTGTCGAGTCCTATTTTTTTCCATTCACAATTCTCGACTTTTACAATTAAAAAAACTAACTACCAAGGCGAAACGAATGATTTGAATATTTGATGCGTCACGAGAATGTAATTTTTGATGAAGTTTAATATCTTATACCAATACTATTAACAATAAACAACCGAGACACTCTTTTGGATCCTCCTACTAAGCTGATAAGGGAGTAAAAAAGAAGTATGGTTAAACAAAAACAACTAAAATCAATACATTTGAAACACAAAGAATCGCCTCGAGATTTAACACTAAACAAATGTCCAAGTCACAAGTGAGAGTAGTAGTACACAATCGAAAGCAAAATGTGGAGATAAAGAAAACAACACTTCATCCCGTTATTTCTAACAATAAAAGAACTACATACAGTTTTGTATGTCAGGAAACGACATGTTTATAATCCTTTCCAAGTTTTCATTATCAACACTCCATGCCGGTCTTTCAAATATTAAAAGAACTACACGCAGCCTTTATGTCAAGAAAACGGCATGTATGTTTAGTCCTTTTCATTATCAAGAATGTCACCAGTCTTTTTGGTCTTAAACAAGGACAGGCACAAGAACTCACTCACATTGCATTTTATTCATGGTTATTTCAATCTAAGAAACGTATACAATACAACAACAAAAATTAGATTCTGAGTTTCTCAAGAATCAAAAGAAGAAGAATCATCAACAGGATGCCAGAATCTGTTGTGAAACCACATGGTGTCAGCCTCCACTGCGTAACCATCCTGGTTCCTGTGCCATCCATAGTGAGCGTGCGTCCTGTTCTTGCTCGAGAATATCGCATGCCCGAAGCTCGCTTCTCTGAAGGCAGAGTACTTCGGCTGCAGAAACCATGCTCAAAACATTCAATATTCATCATCTTAAATCTACTCAAAAACCAGTTGCAACGATCAGAAGTGCTTACTTGGTAGCCAATCCTTCAATATTTCCTCCATCACCAATGGTGATGTAAACCGGAGCAGATTGATCTTTGACTGGACTACACAAGCCGTTGACCAACTTGTAAGCTATGTTAGATATGCGTTCCTGGTTTCACAAATAGTTCAAACTTCTCAGGATCTATAGTTTAAACGAGACCTTAAGGAGACAAAAAGTTTAGTTTATCTTACCGATCTTTCGTAGGCGTGGACGTGGCCAGCAAAAACAACATCTACTTTGTTCTTGACGAACCACGACTCATACATGACTCTCATTGTTTCACCTTCCATGTAATGGTGAATGCATCAGAACAATCAACCATGGAGTTTCCGTTCTGTTAACCTTTGGTAGTAACAACCTAGGAAACCTAATCGAGGCTCTTAAAGTTTAGTTTATCTTAAAGTTAATAAACCATTTCTTTGACAGATTCAGAAATCTGTTTACTCACAGCTCCATCCTTTGTAGCCGTAACCAATCCGGCCCTCGGTCATCCAATCGAGTTCATATGCCTTGACCTAGATGAGCCAGCGATCTGCAAGTACTGTGGCCTTCTTACGTACAAGATCATCATCACTAAACTGAAATCTCAGGTCTCAGGTTTCTCATAGTCCAAAAGTACAGTTAGAAAAATACAGGTACGCGTCGACGCCATGGAGCCAAAACCGTTATCTCGTCATTTTTGACAGAAAAAAATGGAGCAAATTGGGCCTGAAGGTTTGTAGTACACCCGTTTTGAGCCCCCATCTGACAGAAAATATCCCGATATCAAACATTCCGACAGAAAATATCCGGACATGTATTCCGACATCAAGCGTTCCGACCGAAAATATCCCAACATCAAACATTCCGACATCAAACATTCCGACAATAAACCTTCCGACAATAATCATTCCGACATTAAACGTTCCGACAATAAACGTTCCGACAACAAATCTTCCGACATCAAACATTCCGACATTAAACGTTCCGACAATACTTCGGCATTTAAGTTCCGACCAAAAAAAAATATACTTAGGCATTTAACCATTTAACTGGCCCGTTCCGGAATTAATATGGGCTTCTCATTAAAATGCTAGTTGGTCTCGTAATAAAGCCCATTTTGGCCTGATAGGCCCATTTTCGACCGGTAACAAAGCCCGTTCCGACCAAAAATATTCCGACATCAAACGTTCGGACAAAAAATATTCCGACATCAAATGTTCGGACATAAATTGTTCCGACATGAACTGGTCCGACATAAAATATTCCGACATCAAATGTTCGGACATGAACTGGTCAGACAGAAATTATTCCGACATCAAATGTTCGGACAGAATTTGTTCCGACAGAAATTATTCGACATCAAACCTTCCGACATTAAACGTTCAGACATTAATTAGACTTTTAAGGCAGCCCGTTCAGACATAAACTGTTCAGTTAAACTTTTGATACGAAGCCCAATTTCGTCTCGAAATAAAGCCCATTTCAGCCCGTCAAAGGCCCATTTTCGACTTGTAACGAAGCCCATTCCGCCCGTTCCGACATCCACCGTTCTGACGGAAAAATTCCGACAGACATGAAACAATCCGACATTAAATCCCCTTGCGATTTCTGGCGTTGTTTATCCAGGAACGATCTGAAGAGCTTGTTCTTTTTTTTTTTTTTTTTTTTTTTTTTTTTGAATTGAATGTAAAATTTATTCAAAACCAAAAAAAAAATACTCTTTTTACATCATGTGCAACTTAAGTTTGAGATTTAGAAAAGAACATTCAAGAAACAAATCCTAACTTTTTGCTTCAAACCAAAGTTGGAGAGCTGCTTCATACTTGGTATCTCCCAACAATCTAATTGTGGAGATACGGTTCCTAACGAGCTTGTCGATGGACTTGATGAGTTGAGTAGCAGAGTGTGGCTGCTCTCCATGCCGGCGTGAGTTTCTTTCGTGCCATATACTGTGTATGGTGGCTTGAAAGACATACCTAACCAGGAAGAGGGTCAGTCATGGCTGGTCAATTGCAGAGATGAGGGAGACGATGGATCTGAAGAGCTTGTTGCTAAAGAGAATAGACACAAGGAGATTCTGGAGGCCATTTGCAGAAGCTCCTCTGAAATGGAAGAAGACTAAAGCGAGTGATTTGAATGTAAAATCTGAAATGTTTGGGCAGGAGGTTGAAGGTAAAGAAAAGGAACTATATCTGCTTAAGAATCAGATTGAGTCAGAGGAAACAGATAGAAAGAAGAAAGATTTGGTGCTAATTCTTTCCAAGATTGAAGAATCCGGCCAGAAGCTAGCGGCTTTGGATGAATAAGTGGAGTCTCAGCGTAGACTACTTGAGAAACTGTCAGAGGAGCTGGAATGTGTTGGAGAATCAAGCAAGGGCTTCAGATTCGACCTCGAGGTGGAAAGAAAAGAGGTTCCAAGCATTAATAACGATCTCTGATTAACAGCTTGGCTTGAAATTCAAAGACAAGTTGAGTTACATAAACAGCTGAAGAGAAAAATGATCAATGTGCTTGTTAAGCGTGGGAAGCAGCCACCTACCGATGATGACACCAGCCGACAAAATCATGGAATCTCAGCTTCTCTTACAAAATCATGGAATCTCACCACTCGCCTGATCTTGATCTTGCAAATTACAGATTGAGAGAAAGATGATCAGTTTTATGTTTTGTTCTTCTTCCTTTTTAGGCTAAAGAAGAAGATGGTACAAGACTGAGAGCTATACTAGAGCTTGTGGCTGATTATAAGCTCAAAATCAAGCTCCCAGGGGACCTCATCGCTAAGCTACTGTTTCAAAGAGAAAACTCAACCCCTCTGGTTCGTTGCTCTGTGGAGCATGGCACTACTTCCTCATCAAATCCACAACCTGATTCTCCTAATCCAGCAGCTCAACTTTCAAGTAATGGTTATTATTAGAGTTTGGTTCTTCGTTTTGATTGATAACAAATAGTCAGGTTCTAATACTTATAGTTATGTAATGCTTTTATGTCAAGAAAACGGCATGTATTTTTAGTCCTTCTCATTACTCAAGAATGTCACATCAGTCTGTGGTCATAAACAAGGACATGCACAAGAACTCACTCACGTTGCATTTTATTCATGGTTATTTCAATGATTCAATCTAAGAGACGTATACAACAACACAAATTAAGATTCTGAGTTTCTCAAGAATCAAAAGAAGAAGAATCATCAACAGGATGCCAGAATCTGTTGTGAAACCACATGGTGTCAGCCTCCACCGCGTAACCATCCTGGTTCCTGTGCCATCCATAGTGAGCGTGCGTCCTGTTCTTGATCGAGAATATCGCGTGCCCGAAGCTCGCTTCTCTGAAGGCAGAGTACTTCGGCTGAGGCTCAGTCATTCTGCAGTAACCATGCTCAAAACATTCAATATTCATCATCTTAAATCTACTCAAACACCGGTTGCAACGATCAGAAGTGCTTACTTGGTAGCCAATCCTTCAATATTTCCTCCATCACCAATGGTGATGTAGACTGGAGCAGATTGATCTTTGACTGGACTACACAAGCCGTTAACCAACTTGTAAGCTATGTTAGATATGCGTTCCTGGTTTTCACAAATAGCTCAAGTTTCTCAGGATCTATAGTTTAATAAAACCTTAAGGAGACAAAAAAGTTTTGTTTATCTTACTGATCTTTCATAGGCATGGACATGGCCTGCAAAGACAACATCTACTTTGTTCTTGACGAACCACGACTCATACATCACTCTCATTGTTTCACCTTCCATGTAATGGTAATCGTAGCTGTTGTACCACGGTGAATGCATCAGAACAATCAACCATGGAGTTTCCGTTCTGTTCACCTTTGGGAACTCCTCTTCAAGCCATGTGTATTGCGGAGTGTATGTACCTGTCCAAGAAAAGGTGGAACATTCAGGTTCTCGGACTAAAGAGTATGGCATGAAACAAAAGTGTCAAGATTTTTTAAGCTGCCTTTACCATAAGCTGAATATGAAGATAGCACAATTATGTAAGCAGGTCCTCTCTTAATCGAGTACCAGAATGGTTCTGTACTGCCTGATGCTCTGTAAGGAGTACGGTACCTATGCGTAAATGGCTTAAACGGTTTGGTTTCTCCCTGCACAACGCGTTAAAACAATCCATCTCAATCTCAATCTCAGTCTAAGTAGCATTGTGAAGCCTAAAGCCAAAACAAAGAAGATGAAGCAAGAAGGTTTACAATCTCGGGGGCAAAATCGAGTTCATGGTTTCCTGCGGTCCAAATCCATGGCTGATAAGCTGTGCTTCTTTCAGCAAATCTTCCCCAACTGTCCCATCTATTGTTGTCGTGGTTTGGATAAGTATCTGCGTATGAGATATCTCCAACAAACAAAACCGCTTGCCCTTTTGTTGGGCTGTTTTCATAATGTGTTAAGGTTATGTTTGAGTCAAAAGTCTGTCCAAGATCCCCTGCAAAACAACAATTTGCAAGTCATGTTCAAGTCCATGCAAAGCTACTAAATTGCATGAATATGTTTCAGGACAATACCAATGAGACCAAAGGTGTAAGGAACGTCAGGACCAATCTCAGGAGGAGTGAAGAACCAGAACCTGCGCTTCGTTTTTCCCACACCTACCACATAATAGTATCTGGTGTCATACTGCAAAAGAGAACCAGAAAGTCAGATAACAACAATGGCAAAGATTGTGACAACAATGATGATGATGAATAGATGATAGACCTCCAAGTGTTTGATAAGACAGTGATGGATATAACCAGAAGTGTAGTTGTAGAACTTGTAGGTGTTGGTTTTGCCACGAGCTTTGAGCTTTTTGGAGCTGTTATGTTTCCAGTAATAGACTGTGTTAGATCCTGGCGCTTCTTGTGTCACCCAAGACACTATCACTGCCTTTCCTTCTACATCTCCTTGTGTTATATGCACCTTTTTATGTTCAAAACCCAATTTAGATCAATTGTTTAATTTACACTCAAAATAAAAAAGATCAATTGTTTAACAAAGATATGTTCATGTATATTTTTATAAACGTCCAATAAGCAAATCTTGAATCGTCCAATAATTAGCTTTTTTCCCAATTAGAACAAAGATTAAAAATAGGACAAAAAGTGATGCTTAATATTATTAAAATGTAAACACCCACCTAACAATTGGACGTAAATGAAATGAACAACACCAACCATAAAAGCTTCGAAATTTAATAATTATAAACAGAATCCACAGCAAAAACTCAGAAAAAGATTGTTGATATAAAGACAAACGAAAAAACTGAAACAATTTACCTGTTGAGGAGCATTATAACCAGGAGGAACACGAAATACATCGCTATCAAGAGGCATATCAATGGTTTTCTCAACTTTTCTGACAAATTTACTGGTGATGCCTCCATTACAGAACAGCACCAAGCTGTTCAAGACCAAACACACAACAAGAACAACGGAAAAGAAATCGGATCCTCGTGCATGTTGACCCATTTTCACAGATTTTCTTTCCCTGTCTGTGTGAATATTTTTCTTTTCCTATAAATAAGGGAAAATTTTCCTTTTAAGAGAAAAATTAGGGGCAATGTATTTGGTTTGAATATTGGAGTATTCTCGATACTGATGATCTTAACAATTCAACTCTGTTTTGAATTTCTATCGAGATTTGAGGGTAAAACCATAACTTTCTTGTTATTTGTTCCCTTATTTGTTTGACCCAAATAATTGTTAAAGGACATATGTGAACGCTTGGAAAGTTTTATACTCCCTCCGTTTCAAATTAGTTGTCGTTTTGGCAAAATGTATCTGCAAATATTTGGACGTATCTGCAATGCAAAACACGTCCAGATACGTCCAAATATTTGCAGATACATTTTCCCAAAACGACAACTAATTTGAAACGGAGGGAGTATTCCTTTATAATCTGTTCCGGACACACGAATCTAGGCTCTCCTTTTTGTTATCTTTCTGTTTCTGACAGCTAATTTGTTTTCTTCTTCTTAATTTTGTTTAAAAATCTGTAGGAATTTAAAAATCAGGCCGTTGTAAAGAAAAAAAGACAGCAGTGTGGGGTTCAAACAATATGAAAAATGAACAAAATTATCGGTCAATATTTCAGTTTGATTTTTTTTGTTAATTGATGTATTTCGATTTTCTGATAATTACGAGTGCAAAATGAATGATTTTATAGATACGTTTTGGTTCTGGTTCAAATGAAGTAATATTTAATTTGATTCAAAAATACAGTCTAGTTGACTTTTGAAATATTAATGGGTAGCAGTGTCGGCACTTAGAGAGGTAAGGAGAAGAGGAGCAACGAGTTCCACCACTTTCCTTACGAATAAGAGACGAAGCAAGTTGAGATCAATCGTATCTCTTACTTTTTCACTTTTCGACGAATGGTATCATACCATCATCCAAGTCCATATCTATCAAAAAGCCAGTCATGTTCGATCTGTGGACCCAATTCAACTCTTTTCCTAACTTTCTTCTTTTGTCCAGTCCACTTTTTCATGCACAAAAAGTTATGTGCCGCTTTTGCAAAAAAGGTATCAAATCATGGGAAATAAAATCAGACGCCATATCTTTTAGAGATGAATTAACAAGCACAAACCAATCAAAATTTAATTTTCGAATCAAGTACTTTTGAAACTTTTTTGTTTGACAACTGCTACTTGAAACTTGAAAGAGTACCTCGTTGGATTACATCGTTTGTAAATCGTTACTAGAGAAATGTTTTTAGTCCTAACATTTTTAAGACACTCTTTGGATATGTACATTTTTCATGCCAATAAACTTACGCTAATTTTCATCCTAAAACATATTTTATACAAAAGTCAGGATGGCCGAGCGGTCTAAGGCGCCAGACTCAAGTTCTGGTCCTCGTAAAGAGGGCGTGGGTTCAAAAACAAAACTTACGCTAATTTTTTTAAGCTCATGTTAAAGATAGCTAGTGATACAAAAGAAAGATGAGATCAATTGAAAAGGCGTACAGAGAGATTGACATAGAAAATTAAAAACTCATTACAGAATTCGCAACTAGTGAGAAGATGGGGCCAAGTTTTCCTATTAAATTATGCTTAACTCAATTCATCAAACTCTCTAATCACAGCAAATAGTAAACTGTGACACTTATACTCTCTTGATTCTATCACCTTCAGAAACCAGAAACCCCTCGCTGGCTAGCGTTGCAACAGCCTTCCGTACCTGATTAATGCGTCAAAACAACAAGCCAAGACTCTTGTTAGTTTCTCTGTCCTTTGATGAGAAGATCAAAACATTTTATTTGCAGCAAAAGTTTATAAACTGACTCACATCATGAAGATGAATTTCAGTGTTTATGTTGCCTCCGTGCTTCTTCAGTTCTTCAAGTAACTGCACAACATTTCCAATGGAACTTAGCAAATCTCTTTGGTTTAATGGTGTCTCCAAAAGTAATACGATTTTGCTTTGCTTTGGTCATATAACAAACTGGGAAAATGAAAGAGGAAAGAATTCATACATCGGATAAGCGCATTGATGAACCTCCGATTTGCAATTTCTCAAGAGATATGTCTCGAATTGACGACACAAAGATATCTCTTCTCATTCGTTCACTCGCTGAGACTCCAGTGTTGATCAGATCCATGTCAATAGTCCCTTCACCAAAATAAATAATAACAGTGTTAATTGTTTAGAAACAGATGTGGATGAAAGCTAGTGTTTATCCTCATGACAGTTACTGTGTTAAAAGTTACAGTGAGGAAACTAACCGGTGGCATGATCGGTTGCTGATTGCTGCATTGCAACTCTGAGAAGTCTAAACGCCTCGTCCACGTCATGTTTTTCAACCTGTATCCATCACAAGAACAATTTTTAGTTGGTGTTGAAATGAAAAAAAAAAAAAAAAGATTCAGGTTAACATATAAATGTTTTTACTAACCCATTCCGAGAAACGCATCCGAGCCAAGGCCTCGCTAAGTCTGATCAAGCTTTCAATTTGCCTAGGAGTCGCTGTTATGACCTGTGCCAAATTTCAGAAAGTTAAAGCATGAGACTAAACCATGGCATTTTTATGACAGAGAAACAACAATGAAGTTCCAAAAGCACACCTTTA